TGATGTCAAGTGTAGTGAGAGCATTTTATAAATCCTCATCATTTTGGTTTGGTTATCACATTAAGATATTTGTGAGTAAACTGTGACGAAATGAAAGAAAAAAAGTCTTGTTCTTATACAAATAAGGATTATAACAATCTTAATAGAATTAACAAAGCACATTTTGTATTAAGATTTAAGCCAAATCTGTAAAATAACATTTGATCTTCAGTTGAAAATTGCAGTAATTAACTGTCTTATCATAATCTTTTATATTGACCTGTGCTTTGAATTCTTTCTTTTTTGGATGTAAGCTGCCACAGGAGAAGAATTCTTTCTTTTGTCGACAAATCATCTAACTCTGAAGTCAGTTTGTCCAGGCTTGAAGCTGCCCCAAAGATTCTTGCTTGTTAATCCATGTTGCTGTATTGTACCTATTGTAGCGGCACACACATACCCACATACCCCCCTCCCTGTCTGCGGCAGTGCAGTCCCTGGGCGTTTGATAAGTCTTTACCTGGAGCCTAACCAGCCCCTGCCACATTTGATTAGAGCTGCCATTTGTGCCCAAAGCCGGAGGGGAGCGGATGCATGGTTAGCTCCGGACCAGGGGAATGCTGAACACCAGAGTGGAGAGAACAATGGGATCACAGCCACTGACATATACGTACACATATACACAGGTACACATATACACGGGTAGCAGTTGTGCTAGACTGATAATGCGAGAAAGTGGAGCTGGTTTGTTGTGTCAATAGTTAGAACTTGCACTCTGATGGATAACTGCACCCGGGTGTATTTTGGGAGTTATTGTCCTTTAATGAGAACAACCTTTGGAGGAGACGTGTCAAACTGGGGTCCTGAGGGCAAGCCCATCCTTTGGCGATTTATTTTTATGGTTGGGGCATATTGTATTCTGGGTCTTAAAGGGGCGGTGCGGTCATTTTTGTGCAGGAGCACGTCAATAATGATTATTTCAGTATAGTTTAGTCAGCCATTATTTTCAGAAAACTCAAATATATTATTATAGGTATCATTTATTTATTTAACAAACAAAGTATATTATTGATGAAATTCAGAAACAGTTCATTCCTTTTTGATATTTTGATTGACTAATGCTGTCGTCTTTGTTATAAAAGGTGTGTTGGATGATCAGAATATGATTAACCAAGCCTATAATGGTAGTATTATACTGCATTCATTCAGACCACACAAAGTGAAAGATATATATTGTTTCACTTGGAATAATTATGTAAGATAGCCTGCATACATTTTATTAATTCCCTATACGGTTACATTTGCCCCTATTATCTGCATTAACAATGTATGAGAAGCGTATAAGACATTAAACTGTTGCAATAGAAAATGGGAAAACCAAGTAATGATTTGAATCCTAACATTAGATTTATTGCGCTGTTCTGCTCCTATATGGTTTTAATAAAAGAATGTCTCGTGTACTGATAAAACGAAGGAATAATTAATTTGAAATATGCATAAATCCCCTTTATTAACTTCTTGAGGTAATATAGGTGAAACCAAAGGGCTTTAATAAAATATATTTTTTCATGTATCACCTTCATTACATACATTACTACTATGTATTTCTCAGGAAAATTAAGTTTGATACTATAGCCTGGCCTCTCCATCACGTATAAAGATTGTAGTGATCACCTGACAGGGGACGATGCCCAGTCAATACCTCATACAGTGCTCTGCTCATGTAATTACAACACACCTACTGCGATGCATAGTGTTAATAATTCATGAAGTTAAAATCAATGGAAAAGACTTGATGACTCATTCTGGTACATTTTGTCAAAGATGTAGCCGCAGATCAACTAACAAGCTCCTATGACAGCGTGAGGCTCCAGCGATTCCTCCCTCATGTATGTTTGCTGATTTGCATTGCGATCACATTATCATTTGTGATTAGAATAATGTCATAATGGGCCAATTACAGCCTCTGCTCCTCAAACACTCTGTTGTTTCTTCACCGAAGCCTCTGCCTTTTTGTATTGTCACTTATTGTGTTGTGGTGCTGTGGTCTGTGTTAATAAATGTGTTAGAGTAGTTTTGCAATTCTTAAGATGCCTTGCTTCAATGGGTGGGCAGTGCAATATTGAATAATATGAGTGGGTTTACAATGGAGACTATAAAAAGCATTGTTTTCATTGTATTCACTTCACTCGCTTCTGACAAATTTGATTGTCTGAGCTTTAATACAGAAAGGCTATAATCCCGTATAGTTATTAAGAATTAAGTTCACTTTAATTTCTCTTTATACAAATAAGAGTTGCTCCAGTCTCATAGGCATGTTTTCAGTTGTGTGGTATAGTTAGATTACATACTGTATGCTTTGGGACACAGAAAGTCCCTAAAGCGTCTGTCCTCTGTACATGTGCTTATGTAACTCAGCCAGCATACATGACTTTGGTATGTGCTTAGTATAATGTAAACAATTAATGTAATGTTTTTTGTTTTTTTTATCCTTGTTCTAAAGCTTTTATGTGTTGTTAAATACACTAGGCCCATATTACACTATTTTCTGATTTGTATTATAATGTTGTTTCCTTGTCACAAACATACCCGGAGTTGTGTTTTGTTTCATTCCCACATATTTAACACTCCAAGGGTCCTGTATTGCCCTTGATCTTAGGGCTAGCATTAATGAGGGGGTGGGTCCAGTTCGGGCTGTACTTCGCTGCTGGAGGCTGGAGTGGGACGTACAAGTACATATATGCTGATCTATGATCGCTGAAGCATTTAAAAGCACTGCCAGTGTGGGCCATGTCTGCAATTTTTGCCTCATTACCAGCTAGCAAAGAGGGGGGATGGGAAAAAAATTATATATCGGTATAGTACAATAGCTCCAGAGACCCACGATGCAAGTATGCACTGGTAAAGGTGCCAGGAATATAAAAATTTGGATGGGCTATGACAGAACTGGCTGCGTTTGTGTTCCAAATACGAGCACGTGCGCCCCTCTCACTCAGACGTACCCCTGTAAGCCCATGCACGTGCACCCATGTCAGCCTCTTTCGTTTTCTTTGCGTTCCTCCATTCGTTTGCTTCCTATTACGCAGCAGGCCAGTGTCTATCTCATGCGCTCTCCATGAGTATGCAGAGCAGGATGCGCAGGTGTCTGTACAGAGCAGTGCTCATGTGCGTTATATGTATCTTGAGCTACTGCACAAAGCTCTACTGATCGCTGCTGCCAAGAGAGCACCACATATGAGACATGTCTGTGCTCCACTGTCACAGCCCCAAGCTTTCAATGAATGCACGCGCTGATCCTTGTCAGAGTCCGGCCACTCCACTGCTCCATGCTCAGTTTTCTTTAGTTCTGATGGTAGCCTACCTACTGGCGACTAACTTCTTAAACTAACCACAACAATACAATGGGAATAATTTGGTCACGAAATTAAATGGAGCTGATGACAGAAATTGTACGAGAATGTGAAGAAATTCGACATCGCAGCATTAGAACCACAAACAGGGCAGGAAAACATATTTAAGGACAGAGCTGTAAACAGCCTCATGTGAATGAGCAGGTTTTGTACAGATCGTGACCAAAGCAAACTACAGAGCAGTGCTAAGCTGATAAAAGATGCCGGCGAGGGGCTGTGCTCTGCTGCGGGAGGGCATCTGGGCGGCACACGAACATCTTGCGCGGCTCACAAACATGTTGTGAATGTTAAGCATTTATCTTCCTAATATATTTCCAAATAAAAGAAGTCACGAAGCCACGCCCTCAGTCTGCTCCACTCCACCTGATACTCAGGCACGGCACACCTCTTGTTTAGAGCTCCAGCCCCACACTTGCACTACTGCTACGATTGGGGGCAAGAGAGGTTCTTGAACTGAAAACTCTCCTTCCACTTTGTGATGTCATGTGGTTATACAGCTCCACTATATATTTTAAACATCACATATCTTCACTAGAAACATTTGGATGATTAGAGCCCTGGAATTGCAAATCTCTACTGAACAAAAGGGAAAAGGTAACTACTGACTTGAAAACTGCCGCTTCATGACATCACAAAGTGGAACAGAGCGTTTGAGCTTTGGAAATGTAGACAGACTAATATTAAACATGTGTGAATGAAACAAACTCCAACTTCAGGCATATTTTTGATGAGGTAACAGTATTATAACATAGCTTAAAGCTCACAATCTATTTTGTGTAATATAGGACCTTTTGAAATGTGGTGTGAGCATGGTCCTTTACATTGCTGAGTTTCAGATCACATCACAATATTCTATAGGCCAGTTATATTTAATACAGATCGGGGTGGCTAAAATTACTACATTTTATTGTAATTTAGCAAGTTCTAGGAAATGATTAGGTTTAACATTTGTGAGTTTATCTTTCAGATATTTCATGGCAAAGTACAATGCACTCAATAGGGAATTCTGCATCTTGCTGACTGTGAGTATGACAGTCAGTCTGAAAAGTACTTTACAGTTGGGTGGAGGAACCTGCTACTGTAGAGATAATTCAACTTCTTTAAAGCAGGCCATTATACCTGGAGACTTCAGCCACCACCAACTACACTAGTGTCTTGCTCAAGGACACAAAACCTAAATAGTCAGTACCATACCTACTGCTGTTGTACAGTGGAAACATGTCTAGATTGAAGCTTGTTGAAAATAACAATAAAGATGTTGAAGCAGGCCATACAACTGAGGCCACTCCAGCCAACACCCACACCCTTAGTGTCTTGCTCAAGGACACAAAATCTATAGATGTTGTGTTCCAGTCTTTACTGCTGCTCCACAGTGGAAACATGCCTAGAGTGAAGCTTGTTGAAAATAACAGTGGTAGATGTTGAGGTGTGTGTCTTTGGCAGTCACGTTTACGATGCCATTGTGGTTTAATGGTGGGTAGTGGCTATTGAGTAATATGAGTGGGTTTACCATAGAGGCAAAATTACCATTGTTCTGAAATCACTTCTGACTAATTTAATTCAAGCTTGAGACAATAACAGTGTTACATAAGTTTCCCCTGTGTGTTTGTGCAGTTGATAAGTGGGGGGTCGATCGTGAACGCGGAGGCAGTATGGGACCACGTGACCATGGCCGACCGCGAGTTGGCGTTCAAGGCGGGCGACGTTATCAAGGTGCTGGACGCCTCCAACAAGGATTGGTGGTGGGGACAAATCGACGAGGAGGAGGGCTGGTTTCCCGCGAGCTTCGTACGGGTGAGTGGAATGGGACTGTGGAGATACGACACACATCTGCACCATTGCATTACAGAGTGGTACAATATTAAACAATACCAACGATTAGAATAATGTGAAATGACAATAGTCCTGTCTCCTAAAGTTAAACCAATGGCTCAATGACCTTCAGTGGTGGTGGTTGTAAATGCACTGATCGATATTAGCAGCATGTTTGTAGCAGTTATGTGAAGCACTGTCTTTTTCTTTTTGGTGTTAAAGGCCCCATATTATGCCATTTTATGATCTATGTAATAATGGTTCCTCATCACAAACATACCTGGAGTTATGTTTTGTTTTATTCACATGTTTGACACACAAATCCTGCATATTTAGGCAGAGTTCTTCTCTCAAACAGAAAACACTATGTTCCACCTTGTGATGCCATGTAGGACGTCCTCCACAATGTTTTTAAACTCCACATGCCTTCACTAGATTCACTCTGATAATTTTATGCCTGGAATTGCTAATCTCTTCTAAACAAATGGTAAAAGGAAGCTGTTATCTTGAAAACTACTGCTTAATGACATCACAAGGTGGATCAGAGCAATTTGAACTTTGGAGATGCAGACAGACAAATAATGAACGGTTACTCAAACATGTGTGAATTAAATAAAACACCACAACTGGTATTTTTTGATGTGGTAACAATATTATAACATGTCTTAAAGCTCACAAGAATCAATTTAGCATAATATAGGACATTTAACATTTTTGAAGTAAAGTGTTCATATCACATATACAGTACAACAGTCTAAAGGTCTCACAAGTTACATTTAAAATAGCTTAGACATTTCAAATATTTCAGTGACTGTCCATCCAAGGTATGTAAGATAAGATAAGAAAACCTTTAGTTCTCCCACAATGGGGAAATTTCAGAGTTGCATGATAACAGAATTTAGTGCTTGCTTCAGTCCTGTGTTATTTTTGAAATATATTTTCTTTAACCTTGAAGTTAGCATGTTCATTTTGACACCAGCCAACCATGTGTTTGTCTGACTGATTTATCTGTCAATCATGCAGTCATTGAGATGGGCTCCCATTCCAGACTGATTAATTTGTTTATTTTGGTCACAGGTGTATTCTGACATTATTCCAGAGACACTAATAATTACTATACAGGAAGGCCTAAAGAGAGACAGGATTAATATACAGGATGACCTAGGCTACCTAGCCTACCCTTTATTCCTCTGTCATAGCATCATTCATATTCATAAAATAGAGAGAGAGAGAGAGAGAGAGAGAGAGAGAGAGAGAGAGAGAGAGAGAGAGAGAGAGAGAGAGACAGAGAGAGAAGAGAGAGACAGAGAGAGAGAGAGAGAGAGAGAGAGAGAGAGAGAGAGAGAGAGAGAGAGAGAGAGAGAGAGAGAGTGTTTGTACTATAGCACAAATTCAGTATAAAAAGTATAAAGTGGAAGAAAATGATGCACACTTTAACAGAAATACAAAATTAACTATGTAAAATATTGTTAAAAATTGATTGTCTTGGCTGGTGCAGCATTGAACAAAAAAAAATTAAAAATAAAAAGACAAGAACCTAAAGTGTGAAGAGGCTATCTCCTGCATTGGTACATTGTATGTGCTCCCACAGCTCACAGTGTCACGATGAGTCTCTCTTTTTTATCACTCTCACTTCTGTCTGCCACACTCACTTTTTCCACTCAGCTTTTCCTGAAGGATGGTTTTGACAGGGCGCTCTTTAGCCAGCCAACTTTCCCAAATAGATCCTACCGGGAATATGTTTGGAGTTGGACAGTAACTTTAGATACTCAACTTCTTCTTTCTTTGGCACAAAATGTGTTGCAAATTCTTCTTGGCTTATGAGGAAGACAACAAATAGTAGAATAGCAGTCGTTGTAGCTGTAGTAGTAGTGATAGTAGTAGTAGTAAGTATTAGTAGTATAGGTGAAGTGGTGATAATTTCAGTAGAATCAGAAAACATAGCTTTTTTACACAGCACCTTTACATGAATCCATATTATGTATACTTATACTTCCATCTTTGACCTTTGACCAAAATGAGCCAACTTTTCAGAGAAGCTTAACTCTGAAATACCCTTGGGTTTTTGAGCCATTATTTAACTATCAACATAAGCTTTCACATTATTCTGATTTTCTTCAACCTATGCACACACACAGAGTCACATGCAGATGCCACGTGCCCCAAACAAAGCAGATTAACAACACAAAGTTCCACTCAGTGAATATTGCCTGGTTTAATAACAGGAGGCCCAGGAGAGGTGAAAAGCGCTAGCTAAGTGCCTTATCTGTGTTCAGGGGCAACAAAACAAAAGATGCTGATGTCCCCTTTTACTTTGGCATCACCTTGAGCTCATGTCCTTGAAACGCACTTAAATTTACATGATCTCACCTTGTGTTGGCTCCACTGAACAATAAGGACACTTCACTGAGTGGTGTGGTACAGGTCAGGTCAGTATGGCATGGTTTGAATGGATCTTATATTAGGGATGGATAACAATATGGATAACAATACTAATATTAAGATTTACACATAAATTACTGGAGAAAGTAACCAATTTTAAGTTTCTGGATTATGATTTGATGCATTTAAACCTCAGGCTGTATATATAAATGGACATAGTTGACCCCCTAGCTGGCACGTTCCAAATAAGAAGTAACTCTCCATAATTGCTGCTGTCAGGCTCATCATTCTGGTCGTAACCCGCTACCCACGTGATGTTTTTATTTCACTATTTTGTCCATAAATCATGATATGAACCTTAATAGCAGGCGCCTTCTTTCCCCAAGCTTGCTCCCGCTAGTGTTAGCAACAGGTTTGATTGACAGCGTTGCTAAGCCTTCCTGCCCGCACCACTGGCTTGGCAGGGATCAGGCGGGTAGGGGCGTTACCTTCAACAGCCTCGCTCCAGATTGGCTCTTCGGTTGCTATGATACTTGCAGTTGGAATTCCAAATATGGAACAGCTCCAAATTCACCCCCATAGCTGGCGGCCTCAGTCAGCTTCATTTGACTGGAGCTGAACGCTATGGGTGATGTCACATTCACACAGTCCTCTTCTTTATACATTCTTTATACATGCAGTCTGTGATTTGAACTCTCTAGTCATTTTAAAGACTGAGGATAAAGTATTAAAAATAAATACTAAATATTAGTGCCAAATATTTGGAATAGAGGGTTAATATCCATATGTGGGAAACTCCCTTTGTATGACCAGTAATCACTTACCACCTGAAGGGGATTATTTTTAAAGCTTTGTCAAGACAGTGGTGGCCATTCCACAAGCACAGGATGTAATGAGAAACAGCACATTTTGAAGAGTAAGAAGGAGGAAGATATATTTTATGTATAGCTTACAAGGATGAAAAAAGGGAACTGGAGATAGTACTGTTTAAAGTAGCAGTCTTTACACCTGTGTACTTTCAGAGGAGTGCTTTGTGCTGATTTAGCATTGTTGACAGTTTTAGCATTGCAAATTGTTGAATAACTGGGCCAGATCCTGTTTTTTTTTGTTGTTGTTTTTTACCCTTTATTTTACCAGGACATCTTGACAAACTGTTATGGTTACTTTTTTGTTGTTGTTTTTAGTTAAACCCAATTGTAAAATGTCTAGAATGTAAAATATCCACTACAATAATAAAATAAACATATGTAAAATCCTATTAAGTACAGATTTTATGAGGTCAAGGGAATTACTTCTGAAGCTGTGGAGAGTTTGGAATTGTTTGGATTGTTCCATGCCCTTTGTCCAGTGCCTGTGACATTGTAGTAACTGCAACGTTTTTAGAAGGTCAGGAGGCCACTTTTCTATCACTTTTCCCCAGGGCAGTAGAAGTAGTTTTCCTTCCCCAAGCACTACTAAGGAGTTGATAAGCAATGATCTTTAATTTTGAATTCATTAATCGTATTTATAAAACTGTGCCACACTGACCAGTCTGATACCACACCAGTCCACCCTTGACTCTTACACCATATGAAGGTAATGTATTCACACCAAAATCATCATTTTGAGGTTGAACTCTTCTCTTCACTGGACACCCCTCCATGGCCACCATCCTTCACTTATCCACCCTCTCCTCCATTTCTTCTCCTGATGGGGCAGGGCAGACAGGCTGACCCAACTGCCCACCCAAAACACTTGTCTCTCTGTGTGTCTTCTCTCCTTAAGGTGGACCCCCACCCTCAACAGCCCCAAACAAAACAGGTTTTCTATATCAACCCTATAGCAACTCCACGGTTCCAAAACACTACGACCAAGGTGCGTTGATTTACCAACAAATGTCATCCACCAAATCATCCAGCCTGCCCGCCCACCCACCTCTTGCTAATATTTGTAACTGCGTCATTACCAAGACATCCACATACTGTAGCACCATCAACCGAAATGAACAGTTAGACGATGAGAAATATGAGTCAAAAGTAAAGATTGAACACAAATTTTGGTTATAATAATTACATCTTCAAAATTTCTATGGATATTCTTATGTATTTTACTGTTGACTCAATTTGGTGGTCTTAGTGTGGCACCACCCGCTGCTCTGCTTGTCTGTGGCACTGCATTTCCATCTTGTGTTTGGCATCGTACCCGCCGGTTCTTTGATGTTCTCTTGGCAAACTGTGTGTCATCAGGTGTTGGCTTCTGGGCATTGGATACTTGCTCTCTCTCCCTCTCTTTCAGTCTCTTTTCCTCTCTCTCTCCCTTTCTCGCTCTCTCTCTTTTTCTCTTTCTGTCCCTTTTAGTTCTTCTCTCTCTTCCTGTTAAATGAGCCAGCAAAAGGACACGCTCTGTTTGTAAATGTTGTCTATGTGTCACGGTATATCTGTAAAATACTGGGATGCTGCAACATACTAATACCAAAGTGCTAACAGGTTTAACAAAATGGGGTTCTTTGAAAGATTGGGCTTAAGTGATCTCAAACCTGGTTTTAACCAGAATTTAACCAATATTAGGGTTACATCACCATTTAAAAGGTCAAGTAGTAGTTGTTGTAGTAATAGAAGTAGTAGTGGTAGTAGCTCTAGACCTGTCTCAATAACACATTTTGAAGCAAGACATAGTGCTACAGAGAAATATTGCAATAAACAAAAGCTGTAAAACTACTTTATGCCACTGACACAAAGCAGTACACCATTTTAAAATATACAGTTTCATTAAAAGGCCTGAGCTGCAACACTAAATAACAGAAGGAACTAATAATTACCAATAGAAGTGATTTATTCTCTCCTCTGCATCTTAAATCTGACCTTATTACATAAAAATGGCAAAAAATGTCACCACTTTTACAAAGAAACTGTAAACACAATAAATCCCGAGCCCCAAAGTATATTGTTCCAGCTTTCATATACTGAACAATAAGTCTATTTAGTGATTATTGTGACAGGTCAAAGTAGCTCTAAATCAGACATAAATTCATAATATTTTTGGGGAAGGTGTAATAGTGATAATGTTAATATTATGAATAATATAAGTTTTAGCTATAGGACTAATCCTGAAAAAAAACATTTGCAGTGGCAGTAGCAACAGTAGTACTAGTAATAGTAGTTGCCATGCAGAATTAGAAATATGAAAGATGGTGACAAAAATCAGGACCAGATATAAATGCTTTGTTAGTAGATCACCTGTAGGGTTTAAAATTTAGGTATGGATTAGTAAATAAGTAGTAAATAGGTAAAGTTTAGGGTTTAAGTTACGCTTAAGCATGTAGTAACTATGCTTAATATTTGGATCACTCTTTAGGAAATAAATGTAAGCCGATGTAATGTCCCCATAAGACATGTAAACGTGTGTGTGTGTGTGTGTCAGTGAGGAAGTCTTGGGATGATGATCATGATTAACTGAGCCGGAGATTTGTTTATTTATGTTTAATCGTGAGTGAGCAGTTGCCAGAGCTGGACACAGGATCCCCCCGGGCAGCCAGTGAAAGAGGCTTTGTGCACTGTGGAGTGGTTGGCAGCGTGCGCCTAACCTTGGCGACATACTGGACCACCAGGCTGCCTCCACATCCAAGAGACCAGGACTAAATAAAGACTAGAGTTTGGATTGCACTGACAGCTAGGATTCATTTGGTCTTAAATCAAATAAGATATGCAAACTACAGATCCTTCATGACAAATTGGAATACATTGCACCTGCAGCGTTAATTATGAGCACAGACATTTGCAACTGTATTTTTAGTAGTAAGTTAATAAATATTTATATGATACTTAATGCATATTATCTAAATCAATCATTTTAGTCAACTTAACTCCAAGAATGGTACTATGGGCAAAGCAGGATCGCAGTATAATTACCTCAAGGGCTCATATCACGCTATTTGATGCCATCTGATCTATGTTATAATGTTGTTTCCTCATCACAAACATACAGTACCTTCATGCACGCAATGTTTAACACAGAGAGCCTGCATATTTAGTTCTTCTTTCAAACCAAAAACACTTTGTTCCACCTTGTGATGTTGTGTGGCAATATAAGAGGTGTTCCAACATGTTTTTAAACTCCATATACCTTCACTAGAATCATTTGGATGATGCTTATCTCTACGGAACAAAAGGTAAAAGGTAGCTGTTAACTTGAAAACTTACCACATCATGACATCACAAAGTGGAACGGAGCATTTTGAGATTTGAAGATGTAGACCAGGGGTGTCCAAACTTTTTTCATCAAGGGCCACATTACTAAACACAGATGAAGCAGAGGGCTGATCGAGGGCTGTAGACTGATGCTCAATACTGTGAATAATTGAAATATGTGCATTGTTACGAACTGGCTCAAGGTTCGAACAATGGAGAGTCCACACCTGTTTAAAAAGAATACAAAAATAGATATTTATTTAAAAACAAGGTGCAACTAAAGTTGTGGCCACACAGTGGAGAGGAGAGAAGAGAGTGGGCAGTCTCCAGCAGCCAGCTTTTAAAGGTGGTGGGCCACGCCCACAATCAGGTGCAGCACGTTGGGTTGGCCCTCCCACTCTCTCTGAACTAACCTGGGGGTCGTAACATGCATGTTTAACATGTTAGAATGAACCACTAGTCTTTATTCATGCTAAGATTCTTAAAACCACACACTAAATATTAATATTAGCTTTATCAGGGTAGATTTTCAAAAGTAGTAAAGCAGTAAAAAGTTTTTAATTGATGCTAGGTAATTTGGGCCAATTCACCTGGAAGTCTGAGGGCCAAGAAAAAATTGTCTAAGGGCCACATTTGGCCCACGGTCCATAGTTTGGACATGCCTGATGTAGACAGACTAATAAAACATGTGTGAATGAAACAAAACACAACTCCAGGTATGTGTTTGAGGAGATGACATTCTTACATGGCTTAAAGCTCACAAGAATCCATTTGTGTAAATATTTAAAACAATTTAATGTTAGCCAGAATATAGTACATACTATACATAATTGATTGGCAGTCTACTGTGAAAGTCATATCTCACAAACCAGCTACTAACAGACATTATATTAAGTATTCTCCATTTTAATATGCTTAGTATAAGCATATTTTTCTGTCTTTATAGTATTTAAATTCTGTAGCAGGTTTTCATTTGAAGGCACATATTTAAGTGTAAGCTTTTGGAGTACTTTTATAATAATTTAGTTCGTTTTAAAAGTCAAAGTCGCTCTGGTTAAATGAGACCCAAGGCTAACCAAATCTAATAAATAGGACGTAAGCATGGACAGTTTTTAGTCTGGTCTAAAACTGAAGAGAACGTTTGTTTCCTTTGAGACAAATGTACAGACAGAATTAAAAGACCAATACAAGGAGATAATAAAACAGATTTCCCTTGATGTGCGGCAGACTGTTGGGCAGACACTGCTTTAGTCATTGTTGAAAAAGTTCTTCAAAATACAAATTAGATTATAAAATATTCTCTTGCATGTATTTATAATTCTGTTTGGAAATATCTATGTATCTTAAAGATGCTATGTTACCCAAAATGGATTCTTGTGAGCTTTAAGGCATGTTATAATGTTACCTCATCACAAACATACCTGCAGTTATGTTTTCATTCACACACTCAAATCCTGCATATTTAAAGTGACTTCTTCACTCAAGCAGAAAACTCTATTCCATCTTGTGACGTCATGTGGTAATACAGGAAGTGCGCTACTGTGTTTTTAAACTCCATACACCTTCAGTAGAATCATTTGTATAATTTCAACCCTGGAACTGCTAAGCTCTACTGAACAAATGATCAAATTTAGCTGTTATTTTGAAAACTTGACCACATTTTTAGAAAACACAACCACAGATATAGTATTTTTGATGAGGTAACAACATTCTAACATGGCTTAAAGCTCACAAGAGTAAATTTTGTGTAATATAAGACCTTAAATTGAAATATGTTTGTTTTAAATATTACATGAGTTCAGCTATGATTAGTGTCAATTCAAAACTCAAAATATAATATCTTTACATAATATAATATATAATAAATAACAACAACAACAAAAATAATGATAATAATAAAATAAAAACTAACAGTCAGACATGTAATTATATTAAGTATTCTTGAGTATTTTCCAAATAATGCAGTTTAAATATGTTTAGTATAAAGGCTTCATTAGACAATTTTTTTCTTTATACAGTAGTCTTTCGTTATGCAGTAGTATGTACTTTAATTTTCTAATAAGTCTTTATTTTCTTTTTTCGAACTTCTTTTCATGGTACAGTGGTAGATTTTAAGTAATCCTTTGTTGATCCAATCCAACGTGTGTGGTGTGAGTGCGTATAGTCCTGTTTTACGCTTGATAGCAGATTGTTGTTTTTTATTCCTCATGTATTTGAAGTCTGCACCTGCCTCACTGTAGCCTCCTGTGTGAGTCTCCTTTCTTCTCTTTGTGCGTGTGTGTGCTTCAGCTGTGGGTGAACCAGGAGGACGGGGGAGGGGAGCCAGCCGAGGGGACAAGCGAGGTTCAAAATGGCCACCTGGACCCCACCAACGACTGCCTGTGTCTGGGCTCGCCGCTCCAGAACCGGGACCAGATGAGAGCAAACGTCATCAACGAGATCATGAGCACAGAGAGGCACTACATCAAACACCTCAAGGACATCTGCGAGGTACAGCCCCGAGCAAAACAAAAACATACTGTACGGGACAAACGGGGAGAAGGGAGATTAATGATGAGCAGAGGATCGTGGGTAAATGTGCTAACTTAAGTGGATGTGAGGAGGCGGGAAGTCAGTTGCCCTTTTAACTTTAGACCTTAAAATTGCATAATCATTTTATGCATCTGGCAGCATCTAATCATATTTTTTATTAAAGGTGCGCGATGTAAGCAGCCATCTGTCTTACATTTATTTAATTGCAGGTGTTTCTGTTTCTATTCTTTGTATTGGTCTATATAATAGTAGGCTTATCTCTCCACAGATCTGACACGTAACTGAATTATTAAAGGGCCCATATTATGATATTTTCTGATCTATGTTATAATCATCGCAAACATACCTGAAGTTGTGTTTTGTTTCATTCACACATATAACACACAAACCCTGCATATTTAGGCTGAGAAAACACTCTGTTCTGCATTGTGATGTCATATGGAAATACAGGAAGAACTCCACTGTGTTTTTAAACTTTATACCTTTACTCAAATCGTTTTAATAATTTCAGCCCTAAATTTTAAAGGTAGCTGTTAACTAGAAAACTACATGGCATCAAAAGGTGGAGCAGAGCATTTTGAGCTTTGGCGATGTAGACAGCGTCATAATAAAGGGTTACACAAACTTGTGTGGCCTTTAATTATTAACTTGATAAATCAGTTTAATACCAGACTGGGGAACATTGTGGGTAAAGCAGGTGACAGACCTTCCACAGAAAGGTTACGTTGTGGATCTAAGATTTAAGATGATATTGTCATTTAGAAATTACATTTAGAGCATCAAACACTGCATGGTTTTGATGGGAAGTGCGATACCAAAGCAGTAAATAACCATAAATAACCCAATTTTAGTCTGCGTTAGGACATTCTGCTGTTTCTGGTGTAGAAAAAGTTTCCTTGTTTTATGTTGATAAAATGTGTTTGTTGCTAAAGACACTGTGCTGGGCCTTCTCAGTGATGAAGTAAAATGAAAGCAGCCACACAAGAGGGTGGTGCCGATGATTGGATTTGTCATTACTCTGTGATTCATGCTGCACAGATGAGCCACAAGTCACACTTAACGTGAACCAAATGATCTGGGTAATTACACTTAAGCATGGTTTTATACACGCCCATAACGTGACATCTGCCATCTCACTCAACTGTATATTTACTGCCCTTATTATGTGTGGAACTAACTAATTACAAAAACTTGAACTATTCTCATCATGAATAATTGAATAATTCTCACTGTGTAACTTTTCTGGACCGGATCTGCAACCTGTTTGTCTTCATGGAGACGTTAATGCTTAAGGTATTAAACAAATCTGTCTTGCATTTATTCAACTACAGGTGGTTAAGTGTTAGAAAACATCTTAAAAAAACACTGCAAGTGGTTTCCACAAATCTAACCTGTAATTTGGCTTGCAAGTTATGGCCACACTGTGGGACATTCTAGGCACATCTCCATGGAGACAAGCAGGTGCCAGACCCTCTCCCAAACAAGTTACACATGTGCATTTTATTGCAGTTTTGATGCAAACTAGGTACATTTGCAGCTTCCTGGTCAAAAAAGTTTAAATCTATGTTTGCTGCCTTAAGTGACCACCCCGATTTCAAGTAGTTTGTGACATCACGCAAGACTGTCCGAATTACCGCCGGGTGTTTTCAGTTACAAACACCTTGCTTCAGGGGTGGAGTTAGAAGTGTGGATACCAGTTTTATGCCTAAAAAAACCCAACACAAAGCAAAACAAAAAAAAAACTCTTTGGTATGATTTAAAGGTGCACTGTGTAACTTTTTGGTTGGGGGTCTGTCACCTTCATGTTTCTATGGATATGTTACAACTCTGCTTAGAATGTTCTGAATATGACATTAAACAGATCTCCCTTGCCTGTTTTTTCATTTACAGGTGGATTTATAACAAAAAAAATCCTAGAAAACATCCATACTGTGAAACATTACAGACAAAGCAATAACTTCTCCATGAAAAAAAAAACACATTTTACGGACCCTCCACTAGAAAAGTTACACAGTGCACCTTTAGGATTTAATTGTTATGGTAACTATGCTACATTTACTGATTATTGGTTAAAAACAGTGCAGGTTATTTACCAAAGCCAACATGCTGTCTTGTGCATAAACTACTTTGCATCAGTTATCCTGCATTTACTCTCACAAACACACTGAATACAGTAGGCAACGTGGGAGAAGTGTCTTGCCCAGTGACACAATAGCAGCATGCACTAGTCTAGGTTATTTATGTATAATATGCATTTATTCATTTCTTTTTGCCACATATAAGAAGTAAGAACCTTTTCCACTTCTAGACATCCAATATTTAGCTTGACTGAATTCCTTCACAAAACAGCAATCCAAGATTTTTAGAGGGAAATCTCATAATCTCGATTTAATCCTCCATAAACAAGATCTTATCAAAGCAACCCATCTTTTTAAATATGTGCGTCGAAGCGTATATTTACCATCGCGCTTTGACATGTCATGCCTGCAAGAAATCCTGGCATCTAGAAAGCAGCTATGCATACAAACAGATGAAATGGAAAACACTATTCCCCTATCACATCTATGTAAATGCGGTATTCCGGGCAAACTCCACACTGCTGCTCTTTTATACTATTTATTTTTGGTCAATCTAAACGCAAGGTCCACAAGTAAAGTTATGGTAAAGTTATGGCAGGGCAGTCTTCATGGAAATATTATTGCTTTACCTGAAGTGTTTGAACAGTACGGCATTAAAACTCCTATATTGCATAAAATGGATTCTTGTGAGCCTTAAGCCAGGTTTAATGTTGTTACCTCCTCAAAAACATATCTGGAGTTGTGTTTTGCCATTCACACATGTTTGAGTAATCCTCCATTATTAGGCTGTCAGCATCTCCAAAGCTCAAAATGCTCTGTTCCACCTTGTGATGTCATGTAGTGGTAGTTTTCAAGTTAACAGCTCATTTTACTTTTACTAGAGAGAGAGCGTTCCAAAACAATTCCAAAACACAACTCCAGGTATGTTTTTGATGAGGAAACAGCACTAGAACATAGATCAGAAAATAGCATAATAGTGTACATAATATCATCTAGCATTTATTAAATAATTGATTTCAGATCAATATTATCGCCATAGAGACAAGCAATTGGTCAGTCTTCTACCTGAGAAGTTACATAGGGAACCTTTAAGTGCACAGATTCACTTTTCCCTCTCATAAAGTAAATATAAATATGTATTGTGTTTTTTCTGATTGGATAAATAACTAGTCACTTGTTCAGTTTTTCTGCTGCATTAAATTAAAAGGATTTTCAAACTTGACCTAATGTTGGCGAATTATCACACATTATCTTACAAATTGGCTTTTTTCTTTAAAACAATTGCCAAAGAGTGACTAAGCCTCATCATCTGAACCACCAAAGACTGGATTATTTAAGTGGATATAATTGGACTACAATGAAATCGGAGAGAATTGTGGGAAGTGTAGTGTGAAAAAAAAAAAAAAACTCTTACTACATGTCTTTTCCCCGAGTTCCAAAGCCACGGGGCATTTAATTAGCTGCCCGAATTAAACTGACAAATTAAGGCCAAGAGTCTGCCCTACACCAAATAGTTTCTGACTTTACAATAGGTCCAGAAGTCACTGTTCATTTTAATCCACTTAAATTATACTGGTCAAATGTCCAAACATGTTTATTTTAGTGAGATGCTGAAAATTAAGAGAAAGAATTAATAACCTTTGGCCTGGCTTGCTATTTCTTTGGACCTTTAACCAAACAGTAGTGCATTAGTCAATCATGTTTCATAATTACTAGCTATATCTAATATTACAGTACAATATGTGTTAAAGTGCATTTTACAGGTTAGACGAGTCATTTCACTAAAACATCATTACATTTAGAATTTACTGCTACTAAAAGTTTAACATTACATTCTGGTTGGACAAAGCTTAATATATTAAAACACTTAGTTTGTTAGGTGAATGTTCAAACTGTCAGAAAGTTCCTTGGATATGAATTATCTCTGGATTTTGGATTGAATTTTGTGGCATGACAGAGATAGAAGGTGTCCTTTTTAAAAACAGCTCTGGTTCTTGTCATTTTCAGCTTTATTTTGTATATTCTTTATTAAATGCTACTTGACTCTCATTAATTGTCGGACTTTTACCACAGTTTGAGGTGCCAATTTAACACTTGCCAAACAGAAAGGCATTATCATTCATACCTCACAGCAAAAAGGTCCAGGGTTTTATTACCAGGCCTTGCTGTGTGGAGTTGTGTGCATGTTCTTTTTATGTTCTTCAAATGTTCTGGCTAAGTACACCTAAGGATCCTTAGGCGCTGTACCCTCTCCTAACAGATGGCCCAGAGATATTTAAGGATGGGCCTATTGTAGAGGTCAAACTAACCTGGTGATTTTCCATTTTATTGCTTCAAATGTGACAATTATGTGTATTAGACTGCTGTGTTATACATTATATCAGATCTACTAACTTTTGCTTTGTTTTGGTACTCATATATTCTTGGCAATAACATTTTGGTTGATGTATGTGCTGTTTCAGGGCTATTTGCGCCAGTGCAGGAAGCGCGTGGACATGTTCAACGATGACCAGCTCAAAGTCATCTTCGGGAACATTGAGGACATCTACCGCTTCCAAATGGGCTTTGTCCGAGACCTGGAGAAACAGTACAACACAGAAGAGCCACACCTCTCCGAAATAGGACCCTGCTTTTTAGAACACGTAAGTATCAGTTGCATTTTGTTTAGAGATGTATGTAAGTGTTGTAGAATAAGTTAGAGTAGTCCAAGGGTTGAAGAGAAGCCAGTCCATTCTACATGCTATTCGTATCAAGAAGGGACTGAAACTGGACCACAGAGCATGAAAATCCTCCATCCAAACTTGAGATGATCCTACCACCTTCGCTTGTAGTATGTGTGTTTCAAATGGGGAAAACAATTCTCATATCATTCAGCAAAATATAACATTTCTTTATAAATAATTGATAAATAATACTATGGTGCCTTGATTGTTGATCCTCTAAAAATCTGTGCTATTTTTCTGTCTTTTGTGTTGTTTTTATCCTTTTTTATGTGTAAGCAGTCAGGTAATGAGTTAAGGACCCAGCACGCTGAGGCATTCCTTTCTAGTGCAGTCCAGTGGCTATACTTCCAGTGTAGGGAGTATTACACCGCTGATGATATAGGCCGAGATATCAAGGACTGAGCTGGCATCAAGTGTCCTCAGACTAATTTTGATGGCTCATTTGGCTTGATAGTTAATTTTGAGATACTTAAAAAAAATATGTTGACAGTGTGATGCATTTCTGTTATATTTAGTACAATTAAAGTCTTGTAGATTATTGTGCTTTGTGATGTTTTGGTGCTTTTGGAGACACTGGCAAAGCTTTAAACTACATTTTGTTACTCTAATTGAGTTTGTTTATGTCATGCATTTGTCAAATAGATTATATGCTTGTTTAAGTTTGTCCTCTCTTAGTATCTGTTGACAAAAATTGACATTGCCTTGTACGTTGGTGTGAAGTGAAAATTACAATAGATTTTTTTTGTTCATGCACTGTGATAGTATATGATGATTCAAAACAAAATATAACTTTTGAATGGTGAAAAGCGCTCAAAATGGCCTCTACTTTAACAGGAAGCTTAAATTGGTGTCACAAAAAGCATAGTTTTTATGTACTCATTGATTGCCGTGCTTCATTTTAATGATTTTGTGGTCATAGTCTGAACAATAGTTGCCTCACAGGGCTTCACAAAATTGTTGATTGAAAGGTGCATTGTGTAACTTTTCTGATGGAGGGTCCGTCTGGAATGTTTCATGGTATAGTATTAAAACCTTTCTATCTTCATGGAGACCAAACCAGGCCAAATTACAGATCAAATCTGTGGAGAGGCAACCCCACTCACGGTCAGAATGCTTGATTTTCTAGGCATTTTTGAGCTATAAAACCTCCTGTAATTGCATAAGTGTAAGGTAGAGCTGTTTAATGTCATACTGTGGAATATTTTAAGCAGAGCAATGACATATCCATAGAAACAAGAACAAACAGAAAACTAGAATATGAAACAATAAAACAGCCACTGGTCGATAAAACACACACAGTTTAGGTTTTGATTGATTGATTGATGTCACACAAAACGTTATTTTGTCTGTCCTCATCCATTATCCATCTGATATCTAACATTATTGTGTTATGTACCTTTGGAGCAAGATGTAACTCAGATACTCAAAATACCCCAAATCTCAATATTTTTACAAAGAAAATTGACATATGATAGAGTTGTGTAGGTTCTGATTGATTCATTAATTGACTGATTAATTGACTGATTGACGTCACAAAAACATACCATTTTGTTTGTCATCGCCCACTGTCCAGCTGATATCTAACATTATTGTGCTTTGCCATTTACCTTTACAGCAAGACGGTTTCTGGATCTACTCAGAGTACTGTAACAACCACCTGGACGCGTGCATGGAGCTGAGCAAACTGATGCGTGACGGGAGGTACCAGCATTTCTTCGAGGCCTGTCGTCTCCTGCAGCAGATGATCGACATCGCCATCGACGGCTTCCTGCTCACTCCGGTCCAGAAGATCTGCAAATACCCTCTGCAGTTGGCCGAGCTGCTCAAGTACACCGCACAGGAGCACAGGTGAGACGGTGGCTGTGGCTTATACGTTATTCAGGATTTTTAAAGGTGCATTGTGCAGCTTTTTTGGTGGAGGGTCCGTCATCTGCTTATCTTGATGGGCATGTTATTTCTTTGTCTAGAATGTTCCACGGGAGAGATTAAACCTATTTATCTCAAGGGAGACAACTATAGGGTACATTACAGGTCAGATCTGTGAAGAAGCAACCCTATTTACAGAGATAATTATTCTATTTTGGGGGGGGCAATAGAATCACCTGTAATGAATTTAGTTTAATGTCATACCATGGAACATTCCAGGCAAAGCAATAGCATCTCCATGAAGACAAGCATGTGACAGACCCTCCACTAGAAAAATTGAGAGATACCTTTAAACTTCTTTATAACCCTTTTGTGTAGTAAGGCTGGAGTTTGTAAGAAGCTAAAATAACGGCTGTCAGTGGTGTAAAAAAGCAAAAATGCTTCGTGACTGTAACTTGATCAATGACAGATCCTAATCGATACTAACACTAGTACAGGCCTGTCATGATAACAGATTGTGAAGCACAATATATCGCTACAGAAATATATTGAGATAAACGATAATGTTGAAACTACTTGCCACTGATACAATAATAATAAAACAAGATAATACCAGTAAATCATTTTAAATAGACAGGATCAATAAAAGACATCAGCTGCAACAAATAAATAGCAGAATGTACCAATACTTAGCAATAGAAGCCACTTATTCAATCTTTACAGCTCGAATTTTATCATATTACAACAAAAAACACCCAAAGTCTCTTCACTTTTACTAAGAAAATGTATAAACAATAAAAAAAAGCAAAAAACAAAAACAGTATAGTAATTATCATGACAGATCTACACTAGTACACAAAAACATAACATAAATAGTATAAAATGTTACTTTTATTAAATTATGATTGTTGTAGATTTGATTGTTGAAATTGTGATTGTTGCTGATTTGTTGTTGATCAAGGCACAGAAATAAAAGTTTGACCTTGTAATATGCTAAATGTACTTTTTGGAGTCTTTCATTATTGTCTAATTTCTATATAGAAAAAAACATACCAGCGGTTGTTTTGTTAAGGCATGTTTGAGAAATCCTGCTGATTTTGCTTCCATCTTGAGCTTATACCACTGCGTGATGTCATCAGGTGGTGATGATTAGATTTGATTTGACTGTAAGACTTGATTATTGTTAGTATACATTGTCTGCTTTTTGTTATATCGGTAACAAATCGGCCAAGGCTTCATCCCAGATTTTCACTAATGTCTTCAGCATTTGGAGAGAGTAGAATAAGTTGATCAGTTCATGACAGAGACTGGTCCATTACTGTTGCATCATGGGGCTCCAGATGTGCTCCGCGCAGCTGTTTGGCACCGTTTACTCAAGCATGAACTGATAGACGCTCTTAGCTTTCAGTGAAGACAACATTACATCCTAAAATCTGGCATGGATTTGAAATTTAGACAACAGGAGCGCAAATCTATAATTAATTCCTGGAATGAAACTGTCCATTGACTGATTGCATAGTGAATCACTGTTGGGATAAAGTAATACAAATGATGCTGTTCAAGGCTTTGGGCGTATTTATGTCTGTTTGGAGATGTGTTTTCGTAGCAGAGGTAGTTGGTGTGGACATATCTCTGTAATGACACAGTCACACAGAGAAATCTAGACAATGGGAAAATAGTTGCTTGTCTGACAGGTAAATGATGTCAACTTTTTTGGATAATCAACCAGAGCTGAACAATTTGAATTAGGATTGACTAGGGTTTATACAGATTGGAAATAACAAGAATTCAGATACAATATTGATAAATGTTTAAAAATTGGGTTAAATGTGTATGGCTAAACCAAAACATCGGCAGCAGCAGATAGAGTTCTTGTCCCCTGATCTATTGTCGGTGGTTTGAGTCCTGTTCTTGACATAATCATCATTGGTAGAGTGGTCAGATCCACTGGTTGGCGGTGCGATTCCAGCTCCCATAGATGACTACTGCTGGTGTGACCTTGGGCAAGACACATAGCTTCCCTTTCCTCCAGTGTCTCTGTACATTAGTGCATGAATGTGTGTGTGAATGGGTGAGGGGTTCCTTGATATAAAGCAGTTTGAGTGCCTTGAAGGTAGAAAAGCCCTTTGTAAATGTGAGCAGTTACCATTTATCTAAATATGTTACTTTTGTACTAAGGCTATAGGCGTGAACCAGGTCTGAACTAGGGTTGTCAAAAAATGATACTCAGATAATTCAAGGCAAGGAAATCTTATTTGTATAGCTCAGATCATACACAAAGTCATTCAAAGTACTAAAACTATCATTGAAACTTGATACTCCTTGTCTTTAACCCTTACAGAAACACTGGTGTTACACCCATCAGTAACTAAAGAAACTATTATTAGAATCGGTTAAGGAGTTCTCTGTAAGACTAGTAAATCAATGCCTAGTAGACAGGGTGGGTTTTCATTGTAATGTATTGTATTGAGTAAAGCTTTTAGTATTGAAATCAAGTTTAGACTTAGACTTAGACCACAAGGGAAATTATCTGGACACAGTAGCTCACACGTCATTAAATGTAAATGTACAAGTAAAAATAAATAAGACATTTAGTAATACACATGTACAGTATCTCAGCTGTATACAAGAGGTTGGAAGGAGAAATAGTGCAAAGATGAAATAGGGATTGACATAGGGTTGTTGTATGGAGTATGGTGTGAATTATGAAGTTTGAAATGTCAGTAACAGTGACAAAACCAGTCGAAACCAGGACTTGTGTCAAAACAACAGAGCAGAAGCCTCAGTGTCAGATCCATCCGCTCAGACTGGATAATAGTGTCCACCGCAGATTAGACGACATTTGTGGCTCCACCAGTTCACTGTTCCATGCTCACACATCGCACAGACAGGCTCAGTCCTAATCTAAACATTTGCAGATGCTATCTCCGCTAACAGACACTCAGCGGACCGTCCAGATGTGCAAACCCAGGCGTGATGCTGCAGAAATGTAAGTGAACGGAAAGAGTCACTGAGCCAGAGACAGGGACAGATGCCAGAGCGGTTGCCAGTACTGCCAAATCACAGCGTTTGACTGTTAGGATCCCGGAGGAGTTGCCAGAGACTGTCACATTATCGACCATGGTGAGGATTGGATTAGCGTTTTAAGATGTTAGATATTTGATTGCCTCTGTGATTGTGGAGTAAACAATATGGTCTCGAACAATAAAGAAAAACACGAAAATAGCCCCATACGAAAACATGGCAGTGTTCATTGGAGCGAGCTTGATAGATACTGACCAGCCCAGATGCTCTAACCCAGTTGTGTGGCCATCACATTTTGTCCTTGTCAAATTCACTCATATCTCTATGTATTTGGCTGTTTTTCTGATAAATCTCTTTTGAAAACCTGTCAGGGATCAGGGTGTTGTGACAAATCGAGAATATATTACAATTTTAGCACAAATCTTTCCCCATTGGCAGATATAGTTAGCTGTATTTCAAATGACAAATATGGCATAATATTTTGTGTTGTCCATGTTCAGTAGAAGTATGAATATGGTGGGTTAGTGAGTTTTAGTGGTGGTCAGAGAGGTTGTTGGCTAAATATCACTTAAAGGGGCCATATTACGCTATTTTCTGATCTGTGTTATGTTGTTTCCTCATCACAAACATACCTGGAGTTGTGTTTTGTTTCTTTCACACGTGTTTAACACACAAATTCTGCATATTTAGTCAGAGTTCTTCTCTCAAAAAACACTTTGCTCCACCTTTTGATCTCATGTGGTAATACAGGAAGTGCTCCACTGTGTTTTTAAACTCCATACACCTTCACTAGAATCATTTGCGTGATTTCAGTTGTGGATTTGCCTATCTCTACTAAACGGTAAAAGCTGTTAACTTGAAAGACATCACAAGGTGGAACAGAGCATTTTGAGCTTAAGAGTAGAACACTGCACTCGACTCGATGCAAAACAGTGTGGCACATTTTGAAAGTTCATTGCGGGGGCAGGCGGGAGCGGGACTGCACAATGCGGGAGCGGGCGGGTGGGATGATAAACTGCATTCCCACAAACTAAATCATATACAAATGCTTAATGTATGCCTATCCTACATCATTTGTGCTGGATATTTTATTTGGTATTAATAAAAACATTTTAAGCAGCCTAAATTTGCGGATGTGGTCTAATCTCGCGCACATTTTAGACAACTCCTTTCCACTTCTTTATGTTTGATAGAGCTTAAGAAAGCGAAGGTCCCATTCTTGCAAGATTTGCGGGCAGGAGTCGGGCAGAATATCGCAGATGCGGACGGGAATAAAAATTACAATTCTTTGCAAGTGGGAGCAGGACTGAAAATTCTGTCCTGCGCAGATCTCTTTTTAAGAAATGTAGAGAGACTAATAATAAAGGGTTACTGAAACATGTGTGAATGAAACAAAACTCCGGGTATGTTTCTGATGAGGTAACAAAGCTCACTTCACTGCAAGTACTTTACATTACATTATTCATTCAGTCAACACTGTGTGAAAAGCTAGTGTTGCCACAGCTTCCCTGGGGTACACTGATAGAAATGAGGTTGCATTGCAGTCTCCACCCTCCAGTGTGTTGCCTAAGGACACAAAAACAGTATGCATTAGAGTGACTGTCACCCCATTTACAGCAGACCATGCCCTTCTGATCCACAACACTCAAAAAGCCTTTAACAAGAATTAAATAAGTGAACCAGGGCCACAAACCAGGGCTGTTTATTTGGCCTCAGCACTTTTTGATTTAGGACTGTGTTTGGACATTTATTTTGACGGGCACTGAATAAATCCTGTCACTCCAAGTAGCATAACTTTACAGCAGTACAAGATGTCCTAGGAGCCAGTGGGACCTGTCTAGCCTTGTGTGCATGGAGCCAGTCAGAGAGTTAACGGAGGGTATAGGACGAGAGCTTGATGCGGATTTAACTGCACTTTGTTGTTTAGTGTTGGAGTAAATTTACAACCATCGGCCAAGTTTACAACCGCTGTGTAGTTTTAATAGGCTATCTGTCTTCACTTCCAAAGCATTTACACGCCTATATTAAAGACTGGGCCTGCCCCTTAAAGATGTAAGTTCAATACTCCAGCCAGTAATTGGTATAGGTGGTCAGTGCAGCCAAATCATTGTAAATAATTGTAAGGACCGTTACTTCAAAATAATATTATTAAATACTATTACATTTCCCAAGTAAGAGTAAGAAGTATTTATTTTACCATACTACACATGTACGGAGTAATCTTAGACTTAGATTTAGACTTAAACAAACTTTACTGATGCATAAGGGAAACTATCACAATATATTCATAAGAAAGAGCAACAATATTAATGCTAATAATAAATTCACAATAAGTAGCAAAAATAACAAGAGACTTGTGTCAGATAAGGCATAATTATGTAAATGTATATGTACAAGTCAAAATATATATTTTTTAATATATTTAAATAAGTTTTGCATATTGCATTTATAATTTGGGATTTAATGAAATTGGAGAGAGAAGATATAAAATAATCCACATATGTTGGTCAGTTCAGAGAATAGACCATAGACCTGTCACAATAAAAAAAATATATAATAAATAATAAAAGAAATAATATAATAATAATAAAACAACAAATCTGACGCTTAAATTGCTTATTGTTACAGAGATATACTGCAATAAACGATAATATTGAAAGTACTTTATTCCACCAGCACAATAACAATAATGCACAATAATCCCAGTAAACCTTTTTTTTTTAATTGTCAGTATCATTAAAAGGCATAAGCTGCAATAAATAAATAGGAGAAGGAACCAGTAATTATAGAAGTTACCTTTTCAGCCCTCTACAGGTCAAATCTTACTGTATTACAACAAAAATACCCCAAATCTCCACACTTTAACGGATAACTATTATTAATGTGACAGTCTTAATTCTGTAGAACATAGATTTGTCATGTATTCACCTTGGAGGAGAGTAAATATTATGTAAAAATATGTATTCTTCTGGTAACTGTAAGTGTTTTGTTTTTTCCTCAGTGATTATCGATATGTGGCGGCGGCGCTTGCTGTAATGCGTAACGTCACTCAGCAAATCAATGAGAGGAAGAGGAGGCTGGAAAATATTGACAAAATCGCCCAGTGGCAAGCCTCCGTCCTGGACTGGGAGGTAGGTCTTCAATTAAAGGTTCATTATGTAACTTTTTAGGTTGGAAGGTCTGCCAGCTGCTTGTCTCCATACAGATGTTATTGCTTTGCCTAGAATGTTTCACAGTATGGCATTAAACATCTGATTTAATAAGCATCTTTCTCAACAGAGACAACCTGATGACACTTTCAAATTCCAGGTCAGATATTCTTGTGATGAGGTGTAAGAATGTGTTTTTCGAAGTATTTTTTTTTAGCAATATGAAATCTCAATTTGTTGTTGTTGTTGTACATACTGGACAATTAATCGATTTTGATCAGAGCAGAGCAGAGCAGAGACTACTTGTCTCTTACACGACAGAAGCTATTTACATTTTCATTCTTATCACAGGCTTTTATTTACAAAATTATAAACCACCTTCAGTTACATTTGTATATCTCATTGTAATTGCTCAATAATCCTGCTTTGTCAGTAAGAAGTTAGGAGTAAACTTGTATCATAATAAGCCTTGATTTCACAATTTAGCACATTTTCAAAACCTTGATTATTAAAAAGCAGAATTAATTAGATTATTGCCCAGCCCTAAAATAAAAGCTATAGGTTTAATGCCATACTGTGAAACATTCCAGGCACAACAATGAAATCTCCAACTCTCCATGGAGACAAGCATCTTACATGCCTCTACCAGAATAGCTATGTCGTGCACCATTAATTTAATGCAGTTTTATCCCCAGCTTACTTTGCAAAACCCTGTATTTATAAAGCCAGAGTTTGGTCTCAATATTTCATGAGTATTTGTGTTTCAAAGAGTGAAAGTAATGCATTATTATTCATAGCGCAGATGGCGGCTAAGTTAGCTGCAGCTGCTAAGACTAACTTTTGGCTTTTACAGAAGCTTGTGTTTGTTTATTTACAACACTGGCAGTGCACTGGGGCAACTGATACAAAGACAACATGTGAAAAACTCAGCCAAGACTGTAGTGTAATATTGGTGGCGGAGTCGTTAGGTATCCTGTCACTTAACAGGGAGGTTGTAGGTTTGATCTGTGACGCACAATCTGTCTGCATGTCCTCATTGCCATAGCATCTTGCTTTGTCATCCATTGTAAACATATGTTGGTGTTGGCAAATTGGGAACGAGGGCTGAGCATTTTTACAATTTCTACTGTGATTGTGGTGAGAATTTGCAATAACATTTTCTGTAGTTTTAACGGTATACTGCATAACTTTTGTGGCATAGGATACAGGGTATTAAGTTCACAATTCAAATGTAAATGCAGCCATAAACAATTGTGAAAGTGCTTAAAGGGCATTTATTACACTATTGTCTGATCTGTCTTATAATGTTTCAAAAACATACCTGGAGTTGTGTTTTGTTTTATTCACATATGTTTAACACACAGACACTGCATATTTGGGCTTTTCTTCTCTCAAATAGTAAACACACTGTTCCACCTCTTAATGTCAAGTGCTCCACTGTGTTTTTAAACTCCATACACATTCACTAGAATCATTTGGATGATTTCAGCCCTGAAATTGCCTCTCTCTACTCCACTGAACAAAAGATAAAATGTAGCTGTTAACTTGAAAACTACCGTTTCATGATATCACAAGGTAGAGCAGAGCATTTTTGGGGTTTGGAGATGTAGACAAACTTAATAAAGAGTTACTCAAACATGTATGAATGAAACAAAACACAACTCTGGGTATGTTTTTGATGAGGTATCAATGTTCTAACATGGCTTCAAGCTCACAAAAATCCATTTTGCGTAATATAGGACCTTTAACAGCATTTTAGGACATGTATTGAGAAGATTAAAGCAACTCTTGTACAGAGCAAGACCATATGGAGAAACATAGTTTTTATGCAGAAACTAAATGTGAGCATTGCTTATTATGCAGTTTCAATTCCATCGCTAACAACAGCCACCTAATCAGAACGTATGAAACAAGGAGTCTTCCAAATTTTGTTGTGTTGCACCAGATGTTAAAAGTTTATAATGCCAAGAAGATAACATACAGTAATTATCTTAATGTGCCATTGTTCCTATCAAAACCCCAAATTTGAGCTCTTACCGGAATTTATGTCTTGTTCCAAATCATCCTAAAATGTTGTCGCTAAACAACGTAATAGCTGCTTTAGGGTGAACATAAGGTGGCGATTAGATGACTCATTGCTATACATTACACTTTACAGCTCCATTAAGTGACATAAGGCTGTGTGGCTATTGGCAGGGCCTGTATGTTAATCATGAGGTAATGTTGTGTCCAGGGGGATGATATTTTGGATCGTAGCTCAGAGCTGATCTACACCGGGGAGCTGTCGTGGATATACCAGCCGTACGGACGTAGCCAGCAAAGAGTCTTCTTCCTCTTCGACCACCAGCTCGTCCTCTGCAAAAAGGTAAGGAACATACCTGTGCATCGCGGGGTCTACGGTTAATACACCCACATTGTCATGATAATAAAATGTTTTCAGATGTTATTGTCTTACACTTAGATTTAGACTTAATTGATCCACAAGGGAGATTATTTGGACAGAGTAGCTCACACATCACATTGTATTATAATAACAAAGAGCAACAATATAAATGGTAATAATAAATTCAAAATAAGGAGCAAAAAATTACAAGAGACTGGGTGTCAAACAAGTCACAATTATGTAAATGTATCTGTAAGTTAAAGAATCTAGAAATATAATAATACAAATATATGTGCTACAATGCGGTTTATCTGTAATTTAATGCAAAAAATAATATTCACAGAGGATAACATTATTTATATTAGCTTTCCATGATTTCAAATTAATTTCCACAAAATCTGTAATCTGTAACGATGTTTATTTTACCATTTGCATATATTGCCTAAAGAATTTTGTAATGTGATCTGAATCTAAGCTGGGTGGTAAAAGCAGCTAAAAAATATGCTCTGGGTGGATATTCAAATGACAATTGTCAGACTTTTTATTTAGCACTCCAGCCTAAAGATACTAAACCATTTTCTTAATTTTGGTAGTTGTGGTTTAAGTATTTGTCAAATGTGATATTACCCACATATAAATCTATCTACCCTATAAAGATTACAACATAAAAATGAATTATAATTATAATTTTTATCAGCTTTTTTTTAAGGCATTTTAAGATGCTTTTTTTTTTTTATTATTAATTATATACTCAATATTATTTTGGCCCACCTCTAACTTTTATGCTTTTAGTATGCCCATCACTGCTCAGCTAATTGAAAAAGTTGAAAAGACAGAAGGACATGTTCAACAGTAATTTGACATTTTGGCTTCAGTACAACTATTTACTCACCCAAAAGTACAAACAGTTTATTTAATTACGTCATTGTCTATAAAAGAGAAGAGACAACACTGGGCTGGATGTGTGCACAACATTACTCAGACCCCCTCACTGGAATACTTCGTACCTGTCTTTAAAGTGAGTATTACAGGTTTTGATGATTGTCTAATTTTGACTTAATTTGGTGAGATCATACCTTTTGTAAATATGAATTTCACCAACAAAGAAACAATTTGTGAAAAAAAGTTATAATACTTGTTAAAAATTACAGAACATGGAGAGTTCTGTTTTAGAGAGTCTCACACTGATGACATCACATTATCCAAAATTTAGGCACAGTTTACACGCAATAAACATTTTTATTTTTTTTATTTTTTTTTTGACAGTTTAAACATGTGTTAAGTGTGTTTTAGTAAAATGAGTCATCTCACCTGTCATATGTACTTGTATGTGCAGTGTGTGTTTGTATCTATTTTACGCATGTATCGTTGTATCTTTGGTTCTTGGGGCCCTAGTGCAGTGACCCTGTGTACTCCTGTCAGGACCATCTTCACGCTTCACAAACACAAACACGCACACACATTCACAGGCACAAGCTGAGGTTAACAAACATGTTGCGTCATCCAAAAAAAATCCATAATTTCAAAACAGAGTAAAGAGGAGGACGAAGCGTCTCCTACTGTGGGGAACTCAAAATAGCTTCAAGAGGTCTCAAGCACATGAGGGAAGTGGCTAGATACTTTTACTAGAGGTTCTTTCAAAGCCTTTACAAACATTTTTCAGTCTACTTTTTTGCTTTCATTTTTTTTTTTTTTAGGTTTAAATTAATTGTTCTACTAGGTGATGGAAAACTGCTTATGTAGCCACAACTGCCCTGCAGTAGACTAACAGAAACAAGGTTGCCAATACCATGCTCCATTGGCCCATCTGCCTACCATCAATCACTTATACACACATTACATTCACCCGGCAATGTGGGTGAAGTGTCTTGGTTAAGGACTCAATGACAGAACTTGGACAAATGGGACTCAAACCTCTGCCATTCTGGCTGGTAGATTAATGCTCTAATCACTGAGCCACTATTGCATTTTGTGGCTACAGTGGATAGTCCGTAGTCAGTAATACTAATAACTGTTTTTAGTCAGTAAGTAGTAGTTGTAATTATGCTTTAAAACTGCATTTTATTTTGCCTTGAAGGGCCCATATTACACAATTTTACACAGTATTATAATGCAGTTTACGCATCAGGTTGTGTTCACACATGTTTAACACACAAATCCTCCTGAATTCTTTGTTATTAGGTTCTTTTTACAGACCAAGAGTTTGTTTTTCATACCTGACAGTTTCGACTGCTCACTAGCGCTCTTCCACAGAGTGGTCACGTGATGTATGATGATGACGTGTGAGGTATGAAAAACAAACTCTTGGTCTGTAAAAAGAACCTAATAACATAAAATATCAAAAGACCAAATGAATCTCATTGAACCTCCTGAGTTCTTTTTTTCAAACAGAAAACACTCTGTGCCACCTTTTGACGTCATGTGGTAATACTGTGCTCCACTGAGTTTTTAGAATCCATACACCTTCACTAGAATCATTAGGATCATTTCAGCTCTGGAAACAAAAGTAAAAGGTAGATGTTTACATGAAAACACCTGCTTCATGACATCACAAGGTGGAACAAAGCATTTTGCGCTTTGGACATATAGCCAGACATATAACACGAGATTACCCAAATGTGTGAATGAAAAAAAAGAAAATACTAGATATGTTTTTGATGCGATAACAACATTCTAACAGCTCACAACAGTCAATTTAATGTAACATAGAACCTTTAAAGTTCGTCGGTGGCATGCTGTGGTAGTAGAACATGACTCTTGCTTGCTTACTTCTCCATGTTTTTTCTCTCTGCGTGCATGTCCGCTGCTTTAGCCCGTTAAATAAAAACAGCTTGAAGACACAGATAAATTATAGATTTTCGTCTCTGTTCTGAACTTCCGTCTGCAGGATGCTGGCTCCGTGTGTATATTGGTGAGCCTCGAGGCGAGTTAGCTGAGCGTCGCATGTGGTCCTCCATCTTTACCTCTTTCTCTCGCTCTCTCTCTCTATTTCCTCTCCCTCTCCTGCCCTCTCTTTCTTTCTCTCTCTCTTTCCATCCCACACTTCCTCTATCCCCTCCCCTCTATCTCTTCCCCTCACTCCCTTCCTTTCCCTCTTTCTATTGCTCTCTCATTTCCTCTCTTTCTCCCTCTCCCCCTCTCTCTCTCACCCTCTATTTCTCTCCCTCTCTCACTTCCTCTCTCGTTCCTTCCCCTCACCCTCTTCATTTCTTTCTCTCTTTCCCACCCCTCCCCTTTCTTCTCTCCGTCCCTCTTTCTATCTCTCCGATTGGAACACAGATGCCGGATTGGTCGTGCACGCTCATCACAGGCCGATTTTCTCTGCATGTCTCTTCTCTGACCTCCTCGTGGAGCGTTGGTTATTTATAACCGCCAAAGCAAACCTGCAGATGACGAAGATAAGGACTCAGAGACTTCAGGGGGTGACGTCATGGGTGCTGATGTAGAGGATGTAGGCGGAAGTCATATTGAAAAACAATACAGTGGGAATTAGCAGCCTGCTTCTCAATAATGGTTGTAAATAAGCCACCTACGAAGATTCAGCTGTTACTAACTGTGATATTGTCTTGTCTATTTTGTGTATTTAAAAAAAAAATAGTAAAAGTGTGTACCAATATTTCAAAATAAAGATACAGTTGAGTGTTTTGTGTGTTTAGGAGAAAGGGCTTTATGAGCTTTGGTGTTTCAAGTTTGCTTTATGCAGTGTTTTATGTATTTGTGTCCCATTTTCATTGTGTAATTATTGTATTGTTTAATGCTTTATTCTTTTGTCCTTAATAAAAAATAGATAAAAAACACAGCTGAGTGGGCAAACCTCCAAGTTGATAATTATTGCTGTGTTTCAGATGACATTTTATAGGTCAACAATGTTCAGTACAGCTAAAGTGAATATTGAAATAAAAATGTGTATTCTGGACTACGTACTTCAACTGTAGTCAAACTTTTCAGCACCACCTAATAAAATAATTATGGCCTTCCGAGTACCACCAGATCTAAACCAGGACTATTTTACTATAGATCTAAACTACGGCTGAAACAGGCTAAAATGGTTCTACACTATTTTTAAATTGTGCATTGTGTAACTTTTCTGGTGGCAGGTCCGTCTGTCAAATTTTTTTCTTCATGGAGATGGTATTGCTTTGTCTGGAATGTAACACTCACAGTATGACATTAAACCTTTCTAACTTCATGGAAACCAAACCAAGTCAAGTTACAGGTCAGACCTGTGGAGAGGTGACCCCACTCACAGTCAGTTTTTCTATGTATTTCTGACTTATAAAACCACCCGTAATATAATAAATATAAAGTAGAACAGTTTAATGTCATACTGTGGAACATTACAGGCAGATTGAAGATTTTTGGGCGTAACAGGAACTTAATTTCTCAATGTTTACTCTTAGTAGCCATTTAAAACAAACAGTTTAAGTTATTTTATTATGTAAGCCTTGTACTATGGTTAAATTCAGTTGTATACAGCTGTAGCAAGTACCACTCTTCTTGTTCTTGTTGCGAATCATTCAAAGTGACAGATTTACGCGCTGAACTTGGCGTCTGTCTGTGTTTGTGTATTGTAATTTTGTTATTGAAGCATTCAGATTGATGAAAGCAAACGGCAGGCAAAAGTTAAGCGCAACATAATGCTGTTTCAATTTAATTTGGATTGACCGCGCAATATCGTAACATTTGAAAAATCAAGGAGGTTCGCAATGATAATTATGACTGGTATGAATGAAAAATCTTGATTGTTAGGTTTTACTGGAAAAAAAATTACACAAAAGTTTGCTCCACAATAGTTTTTCATTTTATCCAAATAATTAACACAGGAGACACAACACATTATACTCAAACTCAATTGTAAGACTAGAATGATAGAAGGTATTCATATCATCATTTGTCATAAAGAAGCAAAGTCATTGACATTTCTACTCTAGAAATTCAAATTTGTTACTTATTTTGTTTCTTATTAAGGCTTAAAAACATTTGTATGTAGATCAGATGACAGTTAATCATTCAAGTGTTCAATGGTTGTCCAACTACAATATTATGTTATATTAAGCTACACTGAAATTCACTGGATTTGCGAAAAAAAAAATGATGACGGATGCATGCAATAAAATTATGTTTAGGCTTTGAAATTTATTTCAATCCCCTCACACATAATTTTCTCAGAACATGAACATCACTTTTTCATGTTGATGAAATGTGATCAAATCATACTGAATACACATATTTATCTTGTGTTACCGTAGCATGACAATTTGTCTTTTTGTAGTTTTATTTTTTATGTATAATTTCATTCTGTCTACATAATTATTTTTAACATGCAAATCAAATGTCCTTAGAGGGTTTTAAAGTAAAATAATACAAAAACATTTTTTAGTTTTCCACATTTTTGCATTGTCTTAAACAGACTCCAACACACAGGGAGGTACAGTGGAAAACAGTCTGGTTGGAGCTCAGAACTTTTAATAATAATAATAATAATAATAATAATAATGCATCAGCTTTATATAACACTTTTCTGGACACTGAAAGACACTTTACAGAGCATTATTCATTCACTCTACATTCGGTGGTGGTAAGATACTATTACTACTACTTTTCCAGTGAAGTAGCTCTGGTCTCTGCCTGTGGAAATAGGAATAACACATGATTACATTTTGATTATATACTTGGCATTGTACATGTTTAAGTGTAGTTGAAGCACCTATTATTCTCTAATACCAGAACAGTATCACAGTGAACATTAGAATTGTACTTTCAGAAGCAAAACTCACCATGTGCTGATTTTCTTCCTCAGTAACAGTTAGGGCATCTGGTATACAATCCTCCTACTGTAAATGTTCACTAGGAACTATATTTTGAAAAAATATAATTCTGTTAAAATAATTTTAGTTGGTTTACTTATTTTTTGTTTTGTTGGTTCTCAAACATCTTCCTTTTTCTGAAAGATACTGAGTTTTTTATTTTGTTTTGGTTTCTGTTTTAACTGATAACCTCACTTTCAAAATGGTGCAAAAAGTTTTGGGAAAGGGAATTCCAGATGGAGGAGCTTCCCCAGAAAAGTCATGTTTCCTCAGCCTGATTAAAACATGCAGGTCTAACATAAATTATATAATTTCAGCCCTGGAGTTGCCACTCTCTACTGAACTGAAGGTAAAATACAGCTGTTGAAAACTACCTCATGACTTCGCAAGGTGGAACAGAACATTTTGAACTTTGGAGATGTAGATAGACTTGTAATAAAAGAGTTCTCAAACATGTGTGAATGAAACAAAACACAACTCTGGGTATGTTTTTATTGAGGTAACAACATTATAACATGGCTTAAAGCTCACAAGAGTCAATTTTGCATAATATAGGACCTAAATGTTGTATAAGGCTGTATATAGGTCAGGTTTTCACACACGCTCTTTCTCTCGGCAGGATCTGATTCGTCGGGACATCCTGTACTATAAGGGCCGCATCGACATGGACCGTTATGAGGTGCGGGACGCTATAGACGGGCGCGACGACGACTTCAACGTGAGCGTGAAGAACGCCTTCAAACTGTGCAACAAGGACAGCGAGGAGATCCACATCTTCCTGGCCAAGAAACCCGAGGAGAAGATCCGCTGGCTCAGGGCCTTCCATGAGGAGAGGAAGATGGTGCTGGAGGACGAGAAAATCGGTTTGTCATGTTTCTTTTTTTTTCATTTGTTATTTGCATATTGATACTTTGCAGCTGATGACATGCTAACTGTAGGCACTGCTCTTTCTGAAGCTTTGTTACTCATATTAGACTTTAAACTGATCTTTGTTTTAACACGACCGTAAAGAACTGACTTAGCAGGAACTAGCAGGCTATTTCAAATGTGTTTAAAATAATTGCATATTAAGACTGTCCTAAAACATATTTGATAGTTCTAAAATGTGAATTGTATCACCATTATTACTGCTGAACATTCCACTATAGATATACATGCAGCACACCCCCAGTATGATGTCACTGCAAAGTATAAATTGTAAGGTCTTAGTATGCTTAGTATCCTTATTGCTCATGTTGGTCTTATACTAGTGCTTCTACAAAGTGAGTAAATGTGCATTATTGTAACTTTTCTGATGGGGGGTCTGCTAGCTGCTTGTATCCATTGCTTTGCCTGAAATGTTCCACAGTATGGCTTAAATTATTTATCTTGTATTTATTCAATTACAGTTCTTGGTATTGTGTTGTTACTACTTCAAAAATACCTTGGAAAACATGTGTTATTAAGGCGAATGAGCTTGCCTCTCCACAGATATGACCTGCTACTTGGCCTGATGACGTCCCATGCTTGTTTCCATGGAGCTAGATAAGTTTAGTGCTTTATTTGCCTTCCAGCAATAACATCTCCATGGAGACAAGCAGGGAGGCGGACCCTTCACCGTATATCATACCTTTAAGTATTTTCTCCCTGTGTTTTGGTATCTGTTATCAACCCAAAACATACACGATAACATAATTTTCCAGCTAAGGAAGTGAACAGGCGTAGGTTAGGATCTGGAGTTGGGTTTTGGCACCGCACTGCTCCTGCCCACTGCTCCTGCCCACTGCTCCTGACAGGTTTCCCCAGAGACGCTGAAGGATGGGTAAAATGCAGTGAATGATTTCCCCACGAAGATCAATAAAGTAGTTCTGACATACTGTTTGGTTGTAACTCAGTTTTAATTTACTTAATCTTGAATGCATCACGTCCCAGTTTAGAGCTTGTTTTTTTACTGATTTAAAGTCTACAGTTGTGGTTCTGGCTTTGTTCCGTTTTGTCAAAAATGTTTGATCCTAAAAATGTTTGATCCTAGATTGTTGATATTGCATTTTGAGTAACCAAGGTGATAAAAGTGGTGTTGAAATATGGATTTGTCATGAATGTTTTTCCCATTTGTTACAGTTTTCATACTGCATGCTACATTGCACAGTTGGTTATGTAAATGGTTCTCTAACTGAAGTCTTTAATAGGCTTGTGTGGGTTTAATCCTCATATCATTTTGTTTTGTCATGCTGTAGTAGGTTTAAGTCCATGTCACAGTTTGAAAACATTCATGCATTTTTCGTTATTTGCCTATTTCAGTTTTTGTGTTTAATCTTGTCCTGGCATATGTAGTTTGTCTCGGGTTCAGTCCTGGTTTAGTCCTAGTTCAGACCTGGTTTAGTCCTGCTTTTGTCCTGGTTTTGTCCTAGTTAAGCCCTGGTTTAGTCCTGGTTTAGTCTTTGATTTATCCAAGTTTTGTTCTGGTTTAGTTCTTATTTAATCCTTGTTTAGTCCTAGTTTATTCCTAGTTTAGTCCTGGTTTAGTCCTAGTTTACTCTCGGTTTAGTCCTGGTTTAGTCCTGGTTTTCCTGTCCTAGTTAAGTCCTCTGGTTTTGTCCTGGTTTAGTCTTTGATTTATCCCAGTTTTGTTCTGGTTTAGACCTGGTTTAGTTCTTCTTTAATTCTGGTTTAGTCCTAGTTTATTCCTAGTTTAGTCCTGGTTTAGTCCCAGTTTACTCTCGGTTTAGTCCTGGTTTAGTCTTTGATTTATCTCAGTTTTGTTCTGGTTTAGACCTGGTTTAGTTCTTATTTAATCCTGGTTTAATACTTGTTTATTCCTGGTTTAGTCCCGGTTTAGTCCTAGTTTAGTCTCGGTTTAGTCCTAGTTTAGTCTCGGTTTTGTCCTGGTTTACTCCTGGTTTAGTCCCAGTTTACTCTCAGTTTTGTCCTGGTTTAGTCCTAGTTCAGCCCCAGTTTACTCTCGGTTTTGTCCTGATTTAGTCCTGGTTTAGTCACAGCCACGACACCCTATAGACATTCCATAAGAAGAGAAACATGATGCTGGGGGATGAGTAAATCCATTCGTCATGCACTTGTGTTCACCTCTGCATGTTACACTCTCTATGTTTTTACACCAAACACTGCATCATTGGTTACATCGGCGGTCTAGTAGTGCTTTTATATTTAATAACCGTTTAGCTGTTTCACTCTGTTGGTTGGTCAGAGAAAAAATCATTCGTGAGCATGAGAAAATCGATTGGTTACACTGTTTTTCACTGTTACAAACTGGGTATATATTATGTCTTTTTTTTTACATTCATGCACTTCATGATTGGTTACACCAGCTGCGTTCTTGTGGGGAAACTCCTTGGGCCATGTGTATAATATATAATCCTGGGAAATATTTAAAGGGCCCAAGTTACCGTATGTGTGTTCTATGATATAATGCTTCCTTATCCTTATCAAACACATACCAGGTGATGTGTTTTGTTTTTTTTCACACATGTTTAACACACAGGCCCTGCATATTTACGCAGAGTTCTCCTCTCAAACGGAAAATGCTCTGTTCGAACCTGTGATATCATGTGGTAATACAAGAAGTGCTCCACTGTGTTTTTAAACTCCATACACCTTCTCTAAAATCTGGATAATTTCAGACCTGGAATTGCTGATCTCTACTGAACAAAAGGTAAAAAGCAGCTGGGAACTTGAAAATGATCACTTCATGACATCACAAGTTCGAACAGAGCATTTTGAGCTTTGGAGATGTACAGACTAATAATAAAAGCGTACTCAGACATGTGTGAATGGAACAAAACATGAGGTAACAACATTATACTGTGACTTAAAGCTCACAAGTCAATTTTGTGTAATAGAAGACCTTAAAAGTTTACACCAATTAGACCAGGGGTGGGCAAACTTTTTGACTCGTGGGCCACAAAGGGCTCTAAAATTTGATTGAAGGGCCGGACCTGGAGCAAATGGAAGGAGTTTTTTGGTAATCCATCTCATAAGAGAAAAAAAATATCCCATGTTATTGAAATATCCCATATTTAAACATCATTACAAAGCATTATAACAAAATATCTGTCTCTCAAGTCCCACAATATTTACTATTTATTGAAATGACTTTTAAAACACTGAAAATTATTATTATTATTCAAGTTCAGGGGGCCGGATTAAAAAGATTAAAGGGCCGCATATGGCCCCCGGGCCTTAGTTTGCCCACCCCTGAATTAGACTATTAATAGGTGCCATTTAACAAAAAATTGCTTCACTTTACTTAAATTCATGGTTTTATACATGGTTTGAACTTCTAAAATTGGGATGTCATAGTAAGGATGATAGGGGGTCCGCAGCCTCAAAGGAACCCCTGTGTTAGTGGGATGTGCCCTTCGTCCCAGTCCTGGTTTAGACCTGTTACAACAGCATGAACTCAGTCAGAGCTATCAAAACAACTGTAAACATTACAGCACAGGAGCTACATTCTGCACTGCAATGTTGAATCTATAGCTCCAGTTGATTTGTTTTTTAACACTGTGAGAGCAAGGTGCAAGTTTGAATGTATGGAGATAATCAAGTAAAGTTGTGCAATATGGCCAAAAATATCATAATCATGTATTTTCTTCATCATATTCTCTATCTCCATGGAGACAAGTAAGTGCCATCATTGGGTCAGTGGACAGTTGGTCAGTTACATCTGTGGAGAGGCTTTGAATCAGTGTTAGATAAGTTTAATGTCATACCCACATCCCCATGGAGACAAGCAGGTGGTGGGCTCCTCTCCAGAAAAGTTACATAGAGCACTTAAAAGGTGATGATATTGCTTTGCCTTGAAAGATGCACAGTATGACATTAAACTTAAACCTTACATTTAATACAAATGCTTGTCTTTTATTTGTCGTAAGTTAATGAAAAGCATGCATTCATACTGTAAGCAGGGTAACATCTCCACACATCTGACCTATAACCTGGCTTGGTGGCATTACTTGCTTGTTACAATGGAAATATATATGCTTAATGTCATACTGTGGAACATAACAGGCAAAGCAATAATAATCCACCACAAAAGTTACACAGTGCACTTTTAAATCATGTGTTTTATGAAATTGACCTGTTTCTGTTCAAATATATTAATTTACTGTCAATTGGTGCTCATAGTTGTGACAAATGTGACTGTGAAAACGACTTAGAGCCTGTTTACACGACTAACGCTTGCGGGTAATACCGAAATATTTTAATCGGACGTGTCTATCATTCAGACAGTGACAACATTTTTGGGTCTTAAAAATGCAAAAATCTGAAAATACCCTCCAGAGTGGAAAAGTTAAATACGCTCTGCTGTAGCGTTTCCGTCTACACTGCCCAAGATGCAAAACTCTCGTCAGATCTGCTCACGTCACGTACGCGTTTACGCGTCACATACATACAGTAGACAGAAACCTGGCATGCATACCCAATTGAATTCCACACACAGATTTCCTCCCGAAAATGTTTGTCTAAACGCGGAATAAAAAGTGAAGACTCAACGCCACTTTTGGGTCTTCTCTTCAGACCATCATCATATAAATGTAGCCTTATTCTTGAAAAGGTTTTAGTCTTATATTACATTTTAGTGGAGCTGTTGAGGACCAAAATAGTTCACTTTTCTGGTACAAGCATGAAACTTTGCCAGATTACTTACACCCCCAGGTCTAATATTTCTGGATATGGAACCAAGTCTAATATAACAGTGGAGCTGAGAACTGCACATGTCACAAAATGCACGACATGAAAACGAAGCTGGCATAACACTGCATAATCCATTTCTTATTGTCTAATTTGCTTAGTTATCAATTTTGTAATGTTGAACAACTATTTTTTTATAAACTCCAAAGCATTAAGGAGGTCACATTTTCCTTGCCATTGTTATTGTTATTGTACATTTAGTGACCTTGTGGTACTAAAATTGCTTCAATTACTCCATTTACTACATTGAAGCTTTTTATGTGTATTGTCCAGATGTAGTACTTGTTACGATCTCAAGGGCCTTCTTTTAAATACTTATTTCCAAATACCATACATATGAATCTAAAGAAAGAAAAAATGAAATAAGATAGGATAGTTTTACAAGGTCTTATAATAATGCACTATGAAGTGATTACTTTTTGTAATTACTGTATTGAATTTGCACTATAAGATTCAATTAAAGTAGTATACTTTTTATACATATTTTTGCTTGAAAAACTTTCTTAAATTAGGGTCAGTTGTCCAGACACTGAAGCTCATTGTCCAGATGTATTTGTTATAATCTATAATCTCTATTTATGTATGCTTTGTTTACTATATTGCACATAACCTTCTAACTACGCCATGAACTACTATTTATTTCTTTCCAATACCCTGCATGTGATTCTAAATTAGACATAAGATAGGGTAGTTTTACACTGTATCCAGTTATGCACTATAAGATTATTTTATTTTGTAGGTACTTAGCTAAAATCATTTAAGAGTAAACAAAGACTTTTTTTTTGCTTGAAAATACTTACATTGGGCTTTATTGTCCAGACACTGAAGCTCATTGTCTGCATTGTCCAGATAGAGTACAATCTTAAATGCCTTTTAAAAACAAAAAAAAATCTCTCTCTTTATTTATCACAGTATTTATCCTTTGGTTACATATTGTCTGTAACCTTCTGACTGTGCTATGAAAAAAAAAAGATTTTTATATATTTTTTTCCTATACATTTTTGAAAATATACTTTAAAAAGGAGCATTATGTAATGTTTTTGGTGTAGGGTCCATCAGATGGAGATGTTGTTGCTATGGTTCACAGTATGAAACCTTTCTATCATCATGGAAACCAAACCAGACCAAGTTACAGGTCAAATCTGTGGAGAGGCCATCTCGCTCACCATCAGAAAGTCTGTTTTTTATGTATTTTTGAGCTGTAAAAGCACCTGTAATAGAATGAATGTAAAGTAAAGCTGTTTAATGCCATACAGTGGAACATCTCAGGCAGAGCAATGACATCTCCAAAGAAACAAGCAGGTGGTGGACCCAGACCAAAAAGTTCCATAGTTCACCTTTATGCTTTATGCTGCAATGTCCAGTTGTAGTGCAATTTTTAATTCTTTCTTTTAATCTCTCTCTATTTCTGCTTTTTCACAATATCTGTCCATTGTTCACCATAGACTGCAGCCTTCTAACGGTGCTACAAATAACTAATTTAAGATTCCTGCTTATTTCCCTGTACCACACATGACTGTAAGAGTCTTGGGGTAATCATATCTGCATAAGTGGAAGCATTAGTGATAATGTGTGATAATTTAACATTATTTTACAAAAAAGCTGGTTTAAGCAGTAATTTAGCACCCATATCCAGAAATGTTGGTCCTAGGGATGTTAATGATCTGACAAAGTTTCATGCTTGTACCATAAAAGTGAACAATTGGGCACCTTTTTGGTCCTTAACAGCTCCACTATTTCATTTGTTCTGGTTTGTTTTCAGGTTTTGAGATCTCCGAGTACCAGAAGCGGCAGGCAGCCATGACGGTGCGAAAGGTGACCAAACAGAAAGGTGAGGCAACAAGAAGATACCAGGTGAATCCCCTCTTTCCTTTTCCTTTGGCTGGTCTGCTCTGTCTTCTCATCGCTGTTTACTCCTCCCTAACCCAACCCCTTTTGATTTTACTACTGACTTTGTTTTATGAATGGACCTAGATTAGATCTGCGCTCAGTAAGATAGCCAAGTCCAACCGCTGTATGTCTTCCAGCTTTATTGCCGTATTTTAAGTTAAATGTCTGTCTCTGCACACACAAATATTATTATTATTATTATAGCCACAAAGCAGCTGTTAAGCATCTATGAAAAGACAGAGGGATTTTGCATGTTTTCAGTTTAAAGGGTCGGACCAGTGAGGAGGGCATGTGGGTCTCGTGTCACACTTGTTTTAACATATGGGAAGCCAGCACAGTGTTTTCTTTGTACTGGGTGAAAGCAGTTGAAATATATTATAAGCTGTTACAGACATTTTTTTCTGACTCTTCCAGACCGTGTCACTACATTTATTTATCTTTTATTTAGCGTAGTAAAATAGATCCATGTTGCAGATTAAAGGGCCCATATTACGCTATTTTTGGATCTGTGTTATGTTGTTTCCTTGTGAAAAACATACTTAGAGTTGCGTTTTGTTTCATTCACACATGTTTAACACCAAATCCTGCATATTTAGTTCTTTTAGTACGGAAGCCGAGAGGGGTCACAACAAACACAAATGCTGCAACAAATACAAATGCCACAACACAAACGCAAATGCCGCAACACATTAAAAGCCACAACACTTCAAAAAGCCACAACGGAAGTGACCGCGGGACTCCATTTTCCGATGGACCGATCAAGCGGCAAGTGAAGAAGAAGAAGAACTACAACGTGAAACGAATAATGATAAAACAATAAATTACTTTTACTTACGTTTTCAACTTCTTCGTTCCTTTATTTTTCACGTTGTAGTTCTTCTTCTTCACTTGCCGCTTGATCGGTCCGTCGGAAAATAGAGTCCCGCGGTCACTTCCGTTGTGGCTTTTTAATGTGTTGCGGCATTTGCATTTGTGTTGTGGCGTTTGTATTTGTTGTGGCTTTTGCATTAAAATAGAGTCCCACGGTCATTTCCGTTGTGGCTTTTTGTTGTGTTGTCACATTTGTATTTGTTTGCGGCGTTTGCGTTTGTTGTGACCCCCCTCGACTTCTGTATTTTAGCAAACAGAAAATACTCTATTCCACCTTGTGATGTCCTGTGGTAATAGAAGAAGTGCTCCACTGTGTTTTTAAACTCCATACACTTTCACTAAAATCATTTGGATAATTTCAGACCTGGAATTGCCCATCTTTAGTGAAGAAAAGGTAAAATGCAGCTTGAAAACTACCACAACATGACATCACAAGGTGGAACAGGGCATTTTGAGCTTTGGAGATGTAGAGTAATAATAAAGGATTACTCAAACAGGTGTGAATGAAACAAAACACAACTCCAGGTGTATTTTTGATGACATAACAACATTATAACATGGGTTAAAGCTCCCAAGAGTCAATTTAGTGTAATATGTGAACTTTAAATATGACAACAATAACAATAGGTTGATTTTTAGCCATAATTTCCATGGCAATTTCCAACTTGAAGTTAACAGTGGCTGCGGTTACATGCACACTCTGATCATTATCAAATTTTGTCATTTATAAGATTATTAAAATCCGTGTAGGCTGCAGTCTGTTGCAAGTAATCTGATTTTTTTCTGGTCATGGTTCCTCTGATTACTTATATCAAATTATGAAGTTACCGTGTCATTTAAATAATATCAAAGGTCCAAAAACTAGATAGTAATCAGTTTTTGTTGTGTCTATAAAAATGTCAAGTGATAGTTGTTTGAAAAGTTGAGTTACAAAGATAACTAGAAAAGCACTCAGAGAGCGCAGACCTCCGCCAAGGACTACCCCCATTTTTTATATAAATTGCGATAAAATCAGTCTTCTGGATCAGATCCGGATCAGCCTTTGGAATATGAAAGAGGATCCCATTGTCCATCCCTGAGTCAAATTTCATGGGGTGTGGTCAATAATTAACCAAGATATTGAGAAACAAAATTTTTGGCCCCATTTACCACAATGTTAACTAAAATTTCAAAGTGATCCAGAATCCAGGATTTCTTCCGGATCACCCCCAAAATGAAATCAGTTCTTTCTTTTCACATTTCCAACAAATCCTGAAAATTTCATCAAAATCGGTCCATAACTTTTTGAGTTATGTTGCTAACAAACAAACAGACAAATGCCGGCAAAAACATAACCCCCTTGGCGTAGGTAATAATGAAGTAATGTTGATATTTTTCAAGCCAAACAATCATAAGTAGTTGATTAATAAAAATTCTGTGTAATGACAGTTATGGAGTAAAAACGTGCCTATGACAGGTTGGACTACTCATTTTACTAACATTTGTCCACGTTTGGGAATTTTCCTGGTTGGAAATCATGACATCACACTAGGGAATTCCATAACTGTTACCTAGCAACCGTGTAGTTCAATGAGCCAAAACTCCTCTAATGTGCACAGAGATTAATATCTGACAAATAAAAAATATAAGAAGACAACTTTATTTTGTGGAAATAATGTTAAAAGTATCAGAAAAATGTGTTTTGTGGAAAAATAGAACGCTCTACTTCCTGTAATATTCAATATATTTTTTCAACGTCACCAACCAGTTTTTTTTTTTTTTTTACAGCAGGTATTAGCCCACAAAATCAATCAAAATTAGAGAATCATCAAAACCTGTCATATGCACTTTAAATCGTAACCACTGCTGGAAATGTCTGTAAACACCTTTTTCTAATAATTTGTGAAATAATTATCAGATGTAAACACTATGCTATGACCCTCACAGCTGCGTGCCCATCTCAGTAACAGAAAACGCTGTCAGACCAGTTTATTTTCCTGACGAAGCAAGACGGACAGGGGACCCACATGTCAAAACTGCTGATGCTACCCTTTAAGTTTTTAGCCATTTGTTAGTGCTAGACTAGATGTTTGTACATTTACATTTACATTAGTGTTGTTTCGCTTATTCTTCACTTAATGCATGACCATAAATCCATAATTCAAAAATATTAAAAAGTTTATTGGCCACTACTCTCTACGGTTAGGATACTTTAGATGTGTCAGTTACGTGTTTTGTGTTTTTGACTGTGCTGTAAGTGTACATGACTGGCACAAGGTGAAGTACTCTCTTGAATTTCAGATTCATTTGTAGATTTCATCTTGAGAAAGAGGGCCATGTTGTATGGACATGGTTTGAAAATGATAAAGGTATATCCCACTAGCGTTCCACTGTAGAGCTAGCACAATAAGATGCCATGGCAACTGCATAGCGCCATTGAAAATACCCTGTTAAAGAAATAAGTAAAAAAAAAAAATCTTGGCAACGTAGTATGACGTCTTCCACCCATCTGTTTACAAGTATTATTTCGACTATCCAAGACAAACAGGTTTTTCTAATACAAATCGATGTCACCCTTTTCAGCACAGTGGCTGGCAAAATGTCCCTGACAAGATGCCATGGCAACTTCCTGAATATCTCATCTCCAAATATTGACTAGCCTCTAATTGTGATGCTTGTAGACTTGTAGCTAAACAACATCGTAGCTGTAGTTTCCGCGCACATGACCGGCTTCTCTCTGCTCGTATCTTCTCAAGTGTCCAAGGTGCTTTTCAAACAAACAGCAGAAAACAATCTTGCTGCATGCAGAGAGGGGTAGAGATGGATCATTGTCAATCTCATATTGAAACTAGTCAAACTGAAGTTACGCAAGTATTCAGTGTCATTTCTTCAGAATGATAAAACATCATCTTATTTATGTTTCATTATTGTTGTAATTGGGCTAAGAAAACATAAAATGGTCAAATGTGGTATTTTCAAAATAAGCAACACACAATACATATTTTTAAAGCAAAAACTAATTTACAAAAGAAGAATGTAACTTAGAATATAGTGCTATATTCTGATTTATGTTATAATGTTGTTTCTTCATCACAAACATACTGGGAGTTGTGTTTTGTTTGATTCAGGCATGTTTAACTTGCAAACCCTGCCTATTTGCTCTGAATCCGTCTCTCAAACAGAAAACACTGTTCTGCCTTGTTATGTTATGTGGTAATACAGGAAGTGCCCCACTGTGTTTTTAAACTCCATACACCTTCACCAGAATCATTTGGATGATTTCAGATCTGGAAATGCAAATCTGTACTTAACAAATGTAAAAGATAGCTGTTAATTTGAAAACTGCTCATAAGGTGGAACAGCGCATTTTGAGCTTTGGAGATAGAGCTAGAGTAGACAGACTGATGGTAAAGGGTTTACCAAACATGTGTGAATGAAACAAAACACAACATAAGGTATGTTTTTGATGAAGCAACAGCATTATAACATGATTTAAAGCTCACAAGAGTCTATTTTGCATATAGGACCTTTGAACAAACCTATTCTTATAGATAGATGAACAACACTTCTTGAGTCACACTATTGGTATTTCAAAATAGTTCCAAGTATTAAATATGAAGATACTATTAATGCAATCGATTTGAAAGTTTCCAAAGTGAAAATTAATATTTATTACTTGTGTATCAGTACCACCACCTTCTATGTTTTATTATCACTATACATTTTGTTTTTGTCTGCTCAGGTTTGATTGAAAAGCGTCTTGTGTCATTGCTTGAGCTGAATTTCACTTCCTTCTATAATTCAGCCTCATCATATGACCATAGTGTGTCATAGTAAAGGTTTAATGTAGGAATGTGCAGTAGACCATGGTGAACATCAACATGCTTGTTTCTATGGGGCATGACTCAGTGTTGTCTGTGGTCCTGTTTTACAAGGCAGGTTGGACCAACTCAGACTTTAGTTTTAAGCTGAAATGTTAGTTATTAAATAATGGTTTCGACAACAGCTGGGCCGTTACATACATTTTAACTCAGATTCAGTTGTGTCCAGTTGATCAGCTTGGGTTTTATTCAGTCAAGAATTTAGATTTTGGAGGAAGAAATGCAAATGCTGAAAGGCAAATTTACTTTAATGGTGCTCTGTGTAAATTTTCTGGTGGAGACTCCACCACCTGCTTGTCTCCATCTAAATTACATTGGATTGTATGGAATGTCCCAGTATGGCATTAAATCCATCTTGCATTTACTCAGGAACATGGGTTTTTATTGACCTAAAAACTTGCATTCTTACTGTGAGTGGACTCGCCTCTCCACCGATCTGACATGTAACTTGGCCCAAGGTGTCAACTGCTGTCTGCATAGACATAAATAAGTGTAATGCCATATTGTGGAACATTCCAGGCAGCATCTCCATGGAGAGAAGTAGGTGATGGACCAGACCTCCACCAGAAAAGTTGCAGTGCACCTTTAATTTTTGAAAAACTAAATTAATTGAAATGCAATTGAATTGTTTCCTGTTGAACTTAGGATAACATTTAAGTGTGTTATGTTACATCACTGCTTTTTGCATTTTATCTAAAATATTGTTTATATTTCTAGCATTCTTTTCCAATTGGGCAGATTTTGAACCAAGATACAGGTCAGCCGTAATTTGACAATTTGCCAGTTTAGCTTCTCCGCTCCATTTAAATTCCTATAACTACTCTGTGTAATCTTAAATGTGCTAATACCATAGGAACATAGTGCAGTCTTAGATAATTATCTCCAAGTGTATAAGTTATACTGGATTCTTTTTGAATCTGAGTCCAACCTGCGTGTTCAAACAGGTCCTGTGTATATGTCACAAATATTAAACTGACAATATTTCTTCTGCCACTTTTCTTTCCCTTTTTTCTGCTTTTCGCCCCCAATGTCCCTGTTTTTGCCCACCTGCCCTCCACCCCTCCTCACTGTTCCACTGTATTTTTGGCTTTTGCCCCTTTGCCCCCCCCTTCCTCCCTCCAGGTGTAAACAGGTGCACGCCCCCTCGTACCCGCCCCCCCAGGACCCCCTCAGCGCGGGGCAGTACGACGTTTTACCGGAGGACATGGCACAAGGAGAGGTTTTTGAATTCAGTCAATCCAAAAGAGGCCAGGCACCCTTCTGGCAAAATTTTAGTAGATTAGCCCCATTTAAGAAATAGACTCTCTACTTCTTCTTGAAGGACCAGCTATTTTTCTTAGAAGCACTAAACACTGGATCATCTTGTTCTATCCCTAATGAAGAAAAACCCACATTTACGTAAAAGGACTCTGAAGTTTAAGGACTATAAGAATTGCTGACAAGGAAGCAGCTAATGGATTATACCAGTGGTGGAAAATACAAACAGTTATAACAAACTCTCTATACTAACTTCATTTTGTTTGGAATTTGAAGCTTGTTCCCATCTTCTGAATGTCCTCGAGATTGTGGTTCTATGATTTCAATGTTATTTCTTTCTTTTGTCACTGGTAAAGCAAAAATACACTATAGGGCCCATGTTAAGTCTATGATTGTGTCTCTAAATGCTACAACCTGTGCTGCTATGTGAGATTGTGTGAATGTTTTGAACTTGAAATGGGGCAAATGAAGGACCATACAGATACAAGCCAATTTTAATTATCCATACCTTTCTTTTTGCTTGTTGTGTACAGCTGGGCACCAAAAATATTCATACCTTGGCCAAGTTTTGAGTTTAATTATTTAGTGGGTAAACCATCCAAAATGTATTTTCTTTATTCTCAAGTCAGTGGCAAAGCTTTTGTTGATTATTTTCTCACAGACATTATCTTAAGTTGCTCATTGATAGTAACAAAGTCAAAGTAATAAAGTACTGTACTTAAGTATAAATTTGATGTATATATACTTTAGTTAAGTACATTTTAAAGAGGTTACTTTTTACTTTTACTTCACTACATTTGAAAGAAGGTATTTGTACTCCACTACATTTTTGAACAAGGCTGAAAAGTAAAAGTTTTTTTTTTTATTGTGTGAGAGCTGATTTTTTAAATTATTATTAATTTGTAGTTTGAGCAAACACAAATATACAAATAAAAATAGTTAGGAAAAACTAAATTGAACAAAATTCTGCATAAATCTTTATCAAAATCACTACATTTGAAGCTTTATAAAAATAAAAATAAAAACTCAATGTACACAAAATACTTTTACTGTTTACTCTTTCAGTACATTTTTAAAGAAGTACTTTAATACTTAAAAGTAGATTTTTCATGTGATACTTTTACTTTTAGTTGAGTATTTTTGCTCTTCTGTATCTGTTACTTGAGTAGCAAAACTGAGTACTTCTTCCATCACTGTTGGTTTGACTGCAGTTATTTAAAATAGGTTTGAGTTGAAAGCTGCACTGTAGAAGTGAGAATCAAAAGACCCGTAAAATGTTATATTATCTTTGCCCTTGTCATATTCTAGTTATTTCTTTACATTTTGGCCAAATATATGAATACTTTGGGCTTAACTTGTACCACTGTATGCATTTAGTAATAGTAGTAGTAGTTTTCCTCTATCTCTCTTTCCACCTGCTCATATGACTCAGTGCTGCCACTTCATTTTGTTGGACCCCTGCCATTGGCCATGATACAAACAGGTCAGGGAACAAATCAATAGTGGGCGCATCAATACAATATTTACATCTCTTCACCAAGCACTTTTGACAGGGTATTTTAGGAGCCAGGCAGGCTACGGTGCACGTTCATTCGCTTTGGCTCACATTTTGGAAAGCACCACCAAAAATCCTACCTCTAGAAACCCCCACTACACAAGAAGCTGAAGTTGATGCATTGGCCAAGGTCTTAAGGTAATATTTCATTCTTGTGTTCACGTCAGTTGTAGGAATGGCTCTCCTGGTTGACTTAATTATTTTTGCTAGCTTTGTGGAAGGAAAAAAAGGCAGCGCATATTCAAACTGACTTTTTCCTCATTAAAGACATGCAAATGTAATTCTCAACGGATTTGGAACAGATTCTACCTGCAGAGCTAACCAGCACAAGGGGGAATGGTGGGCTGTTACATAAGTGAACAGGACAAGAGAAGATAGAAGATGGGAGTGTGTTGTGAATTAAAGTGCAAATGCAAAAGGTCTGTCGCCAACAGCGGAGGGAAGGAGTGAATACAATATGTAGCATACAGGCGTCCAGTTGCATGGGAATATATGCCCGTGTTTGTAAGAAGATTAGCTGTGTTTCAATGTGTGGTGTCATGAAAGATAACCAGGCTACTACTGTACATGTTGTCAATGGGGACTTAGCTTTAGCCACAGAATATCACAAATTGGACAATCAGGATGGCAACTTTTAACCAACAGCTGGGTTTCAAATAACACTATAACATTCTATAGGCCAATATTATTTAATACGGATGGGGGCATCTAAAATTAATGTTAAAATACAGGTTTCTGTTGTAATACAGTTAGTTTTTGGGTCTAGTCACTAATAGAAATTATTAGGTTTAACATTTGCCTTTATACCTTTTAGATATTTCAACTGAAACTGCAATGTAATTAACTTGCCCCCATCTGAGAATATGAAAACCACCATTAAACTTCAGTATTAAAAGGATAAAATTACAATTACTATATACCAATTATATTTCTAACCTTACAGTAGACATTTATAACACCCACACATGCGATAGTGGGTGTTACTTGCTACTTTGATCATTTATAATACCTTTATTCAGTTGTTAAAGGTAAAACATGTAACTTTATTGATGGAGGTAGAGAAGGTGTCAGGGGTTGTCATCTGAACATTATTGTATTGAATTTTATAGATTTTGGCAAGCCATCCGCACCAGTCTTAAAGTAATAGTCTGAAGAGCTTTAATTTATACTGTTCTATAGGGGTCCAGTTAAGTATCTGCCACCTGCTTGTCTCTATGGAGATGTTATTGCTTAGCCTGGAATGTTCCACAGTATGACATTAATCTGTCTTTATGTCGACGGTGCAGATACTGACTGAATCTGTTGAGAGGCAAGCCTGTTTACTGTAAAAATTTACATTTTCCATTATGTTATTTTAGCAATTACATTTGTACATAAAAGAATTCAAAATAGATAACTAATGCCATACTGTGGAACATTCCATGCGAATGTGTGTAGAGTCCAGGTAGAATCCATGGCAAAGGAGAAATTCAAACGTTTATTTTGGTCAAAAACATTTCACAGCTCATCCAAGCTGCTTCTTCAGTTCTGGTCAGACACTGGTGGACATCTGTCTGAGGGGAGGAGCTAACTACACTGAAACTACTCTGAAACTAACACCCTGCACCGGGCCACTCCTTTGAGGATAGTGAGGTGCAGATCTTAACCAGAGGAAAGAATTGGTTTGAGAGGGGGGTTAAAGAGGCTATTTTTGTTAGGAAAGACAGGTCCTACTTGAATAGAAATGGAGGCCTCAGACATCATCTGTTTCCTATCTACAACTCCATCCTCAAATCTCAAACAAAGAGAACAATAGGGGTAGCCAGGTCAGGGCCAGAGGTGTGAAAACACTCATTATGGGCCTGAATGATTATGCTAATCTGACTCCATACTCTGTACAGATGAATAGGCCTAGCCAACAAACAGAAACAGAAGCAAATGGGGTGTTAGTTTCAGAGTAGTTTCATTGTAGTTAGCTCCTCCCTGCAGGCAGATATAAGGCAGTGCCCACCAGCGTCTGACCAGAACTGAAGAAGCAGCTTGGATGAGCTGCGAAATGTTTTCAACCAAAATAAAAGTTTGTCCAGTTGACAAATTCAGTTTCTCCTTTGCCATTCCAGGCGAAGCAATAACACCCCCATGGAAACAAGCCGTTGACTGATCCCACAACAGAAAGTCACATAATGTAGCTTTAATATGAATCAATCCACTGACTTAGTCTTTTGGCTTTCTTAACCTTGGGCACCACACATTCAAGTACAGCAATATCATTTACAAACACAACAAAGGGTTAAATCTGCTGTTTTAATTCTTCTCCCTGTCATCCAATGGTTTCACCCTGGTTTCGTGATTTTTCAATAGATGACTGCCAGTTCACGTGCATTTGTTACATACACCAAAGCTGCTGTTTTTGGATATGCTGTTACTTTATAGTGCCCCCTATAGGAGAAAGAAGACACTGAAGGAAGTTAATTTATGAACGTGTATTGTTTTCTTATGTGGGAATGTAAGTGCAAGGTTTGTCCATGCTTTTTTGAGTTATATTTTGACCTCATATTACAGATTTTATGTTATGGACAGTGCATATACAGACAACTTGTGCAATGTGATCATAATATATCTTCACTATTCACTATGGACAGTTATATATTCTATTGTTCTGCTATGTCCTTTGTTTTTGCCTTCTTACAGGCTTATTATAATCTATTGGAGAAAAGAACAACATTAGATTTGCTTTGTATGTTGTACTATTTATGTTTCAGTAAAAGGAAGTTATGAGAAATGGGTTGAGTTGGCTGCTGGTCTCTTAGATGCAGTGTTCTCCATTAATATTGGTACCTGATAACATCTGTGGATTTTAATATACTTTCTGCACCCAGTTTAATTCCAGTTTTAAATTTGGAACATTTATAGCTAATTGTCAGTTCTATTTTCCGTCTACACTGCAAAAATAAATGTCTAGATTTGTTAAAATTATCACAATTATTTTAAAAAAAACATACATACCCCTTTGGCAATTTCATTGTATTTACATTTTAACCTTAATTATCTTGTAACCAGTCAGAAATGTCAGAAATTAAATGAGTTAACTTTAAATTAATATTATGAGTTATGTGTAATTTTAACTAAGTCTATAAATGTTTTGCAGAACAAAATTCACATCCTTCTATTGTCATTTTTACCAAGGCTGCCAATATTTGTGGATTACACTGGTAGATGGTTCCCTGTAAACATTACACCGAACGATAACTCCCTAATTTATCTTAGCACAGCAAAAAGATGTGGTTTTCCCAGGCCATTCTAACCTCAGGTCACATGCTATACAACTTACCCCCCCTCCTCCCTTATTTCCTCACCCCCATAGCATACAATAACATACAACTTCAGGCATGCAGGCGTATATTTAATACTACAATACACATACACACACACGCATATACACAAAGATTCACGCGTACTTGCTGGCCCGATCTGCTGCCGAGAGGAGAGATGCGATCAACAGTGCCTTCCAGTATACCACTAGTGATTATCTATTCAGTTTCACGGGCAGATTTGAATTAGTCATGTATTTTCCCCAGTCTGTATAGGACTCTGCATCTCTCTATCTCTTATCATACACGCATTGGGGATCCCTCCTCCCTTGTGTATGGACAAAACATATGTAAAAAGATACGAAACGACTTGGCCTCCTCTAGTAGATACTGTGCTGTCTGACTCAAATACAAGAATATATATTACATTACAGTTTGTCACCCATGGTAGTAATTTCTTGCACAAGTTTTTGAGTTTAGATGCTGCATAGACTTGCTTTCCGCTGAGAGAATATGTTTTATTTAATATATCGTAGGTCATTAGTTAGTTAGGTTTCACAAATATAATATGAATTAAAAGAAGAATCATCTATTTTAACGTTAACTGTTACACACTGTAAATAGTGTACAAAGAACAGATCATATATTTGGATATTGGTAATTTGGAAGCGAATGTTGTTCCAGTTTAGCGTGTGGTATAGACCTCAGTACCAGGTAAAAATGCATGCTTGTGGCATCCAATATTTTGCATGAGACTTTAAGACAACTCTTAACAGATCGTTTCATTTTGTCATAAAGGTTTTCCTCTCCCCAGACGCTTCATGTCCTGCATACAGCTGCAGTCCTGTGCAAAAGTCAATATTATTATGTCATATAAGGCTATCAGTACAAACTATACTGTATTATTTCAACTTAGCACTGAGTAAGCAAACTGAGCATGGGACTCTGCAATATTAAAAATCCAATGTCCAGACCCTGATTCCATTTGGGCTCACAATATTTGAGGGTAAATGTTCTTACTAAAGAGGCAGTTTTATTTTACAAATTACTGTAACTAATTGTTTACTCTTACAAAAAGTTTCTAAAAATCCCTCAAAAACTTCCAGGATGTTTTAATACTGAAGAGTCCAATTGAAAAAAACAATTTCAACAACAATTTTGTTATCATCTTCTACAGATATTATCAACAACAATAATGTACAGTGGCTTTTATCAAAGGGGGATAGAATAATATTGAGATTGCAGTAAAATACATTTACATTTATACATTTACATTACAATCACTTTTCTAAACAAAGAGTAAACTGTAACTGATCACTCATTAAAATGGAAGTATCTCTTTTTCAATATATATTTTTCCATAACTATCCTTTTTTTTTAAATTCTAAACTTTTGCACAATACTGCCTTGTATGTTTCTATCTCTGTCCACATGTGTCACTTCATATTCAGAATCTTGTAGCTTTATTTATCAACACAAACACAATCGAAAAGGCACTGCTGCTGTCTTCACTATCACATGTATTGGGTTTTCTGACATTACTTTTCCTGGTCCCATCTTGCTATAGTTATTTCTGGGCATGCCATTAACCTCCAAAGGGCAAAACGGGTATCATGTTTTATTTCTCCCCATAGTAAACCAAATAGGAGTTATATTATTGCAACGGTCAGTGGGGGATTGTGTATAGATTAGTAGAAGAAGAAAGTTTTCTGGGTTGCGCTAAAAATAATTTCAATTGTGCAGATAGACACGTTGAAATTCATATCATGGACTTGATGGGTAAAATTATTTCTCATTGTATTTATTGAATGCAGTATTAAAGGATAATGTATATGTTGACTTTATTTTGTTATGTAATTCTCATTTGAGCTGAGAGGACATTAAAATCTTAAAATCAACTAAATCCACCAAATTATTGGACTATAATCCCAGTTTCTTTCTTACACTGTCTGTCTATTTAGATGTATAGGGAACCCTTGCATTTTCAGTTACATGTTGAAGTCAGGGTACAACAAAAAGTCTTCAATCCGCCATACTTATTGGTGTTCAAAGACAACAAGAAGAAGACTGCCACTTTCAAATCTTGTCATTGTATATTACCATGTATTTTGAGGTCTGGATTTCATGTTTTTATGTTCACCATTATATGCACTCATTTGTTATTTGATTTCTTGCTGGCCTTTAAGTTTGGTATATATTTGTTGTAGAGAAATGGTAAAAAACCTGACAAAAATATATCCAGAAACTGTGAATGGGAGAGTGGAGGCGTGGGCCGTTAATGTACATTATATGTTTTGATGTAATATCCGAAGCACTGGGAATATGTTGTACTTCGCTGTAAAAAAGAAAATCCATATCTGATATAGCTGTACTTTTTGTTGAAAATAAAACCTCTACAGAACTACTACAGCAGTGACTCATGGTGTGACTGAAAAGCATTGTCCTCATTATTGTACTGGGCCATTTCCTCTCCTGTGACATCACTTCCTGTTTGTCAGTTTCATTCCCAACAGTATGAGATCATTCCAGGGATAGGAAGTAACCACAACACTTCAGCAGGCAAGGAAAAAGTTTGGAAATACACACATCTAAACCACATATTAAAGGGCCTATATTACACTATTTTATGATCTATAGTATAATGTTTCACAAACATATCTGGAGTTGTGCATATTTATGATGTGTTCTTCACACTCCACCTTGTGAAGTCATTTTATAATACAGGAAGTGCTCCACTGTGTTTTTAAATGCCATACACCTTCACTAGAAACATTTGGATGATTTCAGCCTTGAAATCTACTAAAGGTAAAAGGAGTTGTTAACTTGAAAACTACAGCCACATGACATCACAAGGTGGAACAGAGCATTTTGAGCTTTGGAGATGCAGACAGTGTGATAATAAAGGGTTACTCAAACGTGTGAATGAAACAATATTCAACTTCAGTTATGTTTTTGAGGAGTCAAATAATGAAATAATTAATGGCTAACTAAGTAGTAGTAATAGGTATACTAAATAGTACATTTAAGTGCCTTATTTTCTGAATAGCATAATACAAGTGGCAGTAAGCAACTCTGTCTGAGGTGTCATTGTCGTCTTATAATGTGGTAATGCATTATTTGTGTACCATATTGTAAGTGTCTATAGAGCTCCTGCATTTGTCGTCACGCAGTCTGCCCATAGAAACTAATGGCGTGGGTCATGCGTGAGTTGCAATGAACAAACTTTATCGGCGTTTCAGAGATTGTGGATTATTGTTGCGCAATGTTATGAGCACATTATCAAATATAGAAGAAAGTCTGAGTCTTTTACCAGATTTATAAAGCTCCAGACTGACAGAAGTGGATTTCTGGAGCTAAACAGGCTAGCAGCTAACGTTAATCAATGGACATTTTTTTCTTTATTTGGTTTCATTTGAATGATTAAACCATAGTCTTGGTCCTTTTTTTTTTTTTTTTTTTTTTTTTTTTTTGTCCAGGGAGGGGGGCCCAGCGCCAGACTTGTACCGGGGCTTTGCACAACTAAGCTACGCCACTGGCAGGAGCTCTATACATGTTACAAACACAACTAAAGGCAATCTTGACAGTTCACTTTTCAAGGATGGTTGGGTTGGAGTAGTTTTCCTTTAATAAGCTATATTCTTCATCTGTTATTTTCTTCCAGGTCTCATTGACGTCCATAAAGTCATTGTGTGTGTGCTTCCATCTCTCTGCCCCCGCTGTGTGTTTTTGAAGTCCGCAGATGCGAGACAGTTTTCGAGACAGATCTCCCTCCCGGTGTGAAGCGTGCACAATGCGAGCCGCTGTGTACCTCCGTCCGCTCCGTCTTTAAATCAATGTTCAGTGCCTTTAATTAACAGAGAGAGGAGGAAGCACCTGTGAAATGACAGAGCCTCTAAAGCATGTGTGCAGAGAGCCGCGCGTAATGGGAAAACTCCGCAGCAGCCAAGTCTCCTGCGCAGTGCGAGGCTGGTCTCTAGTGGCCGACTGTGGTACTGCAGCGAATGTGACAAGACAGGAGTTCAACTTGAGAGGTGAGGAGGGGCGCAGATTAAACGTGGACTATAGAGTGGACAGTAAGATATGGTCATATTAACAATGTTCAAAGTAAACATTTGTTTGGACACATGTAAAAAGGAATTAAATATGCCTTTTATGTATTCCCAATGCACTGATTGCTTAAAGGAACTCTACTTAACCTTTCTTAGGAGGGTCCTGCTGGTCTCCATGGAAATGTTATTTCTTTGAAAGGTTCCATAGTAGGCTATTAAACTTATCTTCTCTCAGTGCAGACAATGTTGCACCTCTAGGCCAAGTTACAGGTCAGATCTGTGGAGAGGACATCACACTCACAGTGCATTTCAAGGTTTTTTGTTTTTTCCACAATTTTAATTTATTTATTTCGTTTACCACCTGAAAAAAAAAAAGATTATAGACAAAATAGATATGTTTAATGGAACATTGCAGACAAAGCAATTACAGCTCCATGGAGACTTCAGAAAAGTAATTTAATTAGCATTTAGTTGCACAATTCTAAACAAAGGTGTTCTTTTGTAAATACAGTATAAAATAATTAATACAATCAAACTTTTATTAGAACAACAACCACTCAATTAATTTGTACCATAATATTTCAAGTGTTCAGTGGTAATCAGGACGGTAGCTTTTTTGTTTCTGGCTTAATGATTGCCCTAAAGAGATCTCACAGTGGTATAAAAATGACATGTGGCATGTAAAATAAATATTTTTAAATACCTTATCATTTATAGATTTTATAAATAAAAGCCAATAGAAAATATTGTATCCTTGAGATCACATGGCTCTCCAAAAAATAAAATTAAATAAAACCTTTTTAACAGTTTGAAACGCACAAAGTGAGAAAAATAAAAGTTAAAAGTCCACTTGTTTATCCTGTAGCTTTGGGTAGATCCATTACATGATCTCACTTGTGTTGTACTTAAGGTAGTTCCTCATTATTAGAGGGATGTCAAAACTGTCTATGACCGGCTCCTTATCTGTCACCAGGATGTATTTTCTGATGGTGAGTCGAGTTTGAGACATCAGGGTCCTGGGACAAACTGCAAAAACAAAAATACATCACTTAGTACACATTAAAATTATTTATTTCATTTCTAATTGTCTGTTGTTGTTGTTGTTGTTGTTGTTGTTTATAATCACCAAAAGAAGAGCTATGTCAGTGGCATCTTTTCTAACAGTATCTCTACCAATATGATATCAAGGAAAACGACTAGTACTAGTAAGGTAAAAGTAGAAGTAGTAGTAGGATGTTGTAGATGTAGTTGTAGTAGTTGTAGTTGTTGTAGCAGTAGTAGTAGTAGTAGTAGTAGCAGTAGCAGCAGTAGTGGTAGTAGTAGTAGTAGCGATAGTAGGAGTAGTAGCAGTAGCAGCAGTAGTAGTGGTGGTGGTGGTGGTGGTAGTAGTAGTAGTAGCAGCGGTAGCGGTAGTAGTAGTTGTAGTAGTAGCAGCAGTAGTAGTAGCAGAAGCAGCGGTAGTGTTAGTGATAGTAGAAGTAGCAGTAGTAGCAGTAATAGTAGTATCAACAGTGCCATCAGTATAAAACTAAAAAAGTATAAAAATGCTAATATGTACTTTCCCTCACCTCTTTGTTGAAGTAGAATACCCAGTGCAGTCTAATTAGGACTAGTAGACTAATAATCATTGTAGTAGTAGCAGCAGCAGTAGTAGTAGAAGAAGTAGGAGCAGTGATAGTAGTAGTAGTTTCAGTATTAGTATTTTCCCCTCACCTCTTTGTTGAAGCAGAATACACAGCGCTTCATTCTGCTTGGTCGTCTTGTCCACAATCAGCGTGGGCAGATACACATTTGCCCCAAAGTCTATGAGCAGCTGAATATACTCCACCCCGCAGCCGTAGCGCAGACACACCTCCAGGATGGTCTTGGGCTGCTTTATCCTGGCCAGCATCTTTTCATCCGTGCAGTTAAAATCAGGGTTTGCCCCATAGAGAAGTAACAGTTTAAAGCAGTCCAGATGTCCATAAACAGCAGATATATACAGAGGCCCCCTGCAGGCTGTGGCATTGGCAGCCCACTCCGGGACTTTGGGTTTGACGTCCACCTCCGCCCCGTACCGTAGGAGCTCGCGGAGGACCTCCACGTCGCCCTCTCTGGCCGCCGTGAGTACTGGGGAGCAGTTGTTGTACTGGCTTCCGTTGGGGTCGGCTCCAGACTTGAGTAAAGCCACAACACAGTCCAGATGTCTCCCACTGACGGCGGTGAAGAGAGGAGTCTGCGCCTTCACGTCCAGGCTGTCAATCTGCAATGCAACGAAATGTGAGTAACGTAAGGAAAAAACAGTTAAAGACGCACCATGTCACTTTTCTGGTGAATGGTCGGCCACTTTGATAATTTAAAGGTGCGCTATTTAAGCATTCATTTGGAGGGTCCTGCTTGTTTTCATGAAGATGTTGCCTTGCCTAGAAAGTTTCACTATGCAGCATTTAAAAATGTCTATTGTTACGGCCCCAGGCCTTGGATTGTCATTTGTTCTGTGTGTTCTAAATAAGTTTGCTGACACACCTGGATTCCTGCTGTGGGAGCCCTCGTTTGTGATTGGTGGGGCAGGTCGACGCCCACCTCACCTGCAGCCACCTCCCCCTATTTAAGGAGATTGCCAGCACCTGTTCGGGGCTGCTGGCCTTGGTGGCCAGTATGCCATTTTGTGTTTGTGTGTGTAGTTTAGTTCTGTTTTGTGCCTTTTTTGATTTGGTCACTCGATTCTGTTTGTGGGTTTATGTGGTTTAATTTGGGGAACTTGTGTTTTAGTTTAGTGTGTGTCCCTAAGTTTTACCACTCGTTTTTGTGTAAGCCTGCGTGACCCCTTTTCTGGCACAAAACTCTGTTTATTCTGTTGTTCTGTTTCTTAGTTTAGGTTGCTTTCTGTATATTTTTAGTCTTTTGTTAATTTACCTTTACATTCCTGTTAATTAAACATTATTTAATTTATTCCATTTTATATCTTGGTTTTATTTTTGTTACTTCCCTCACCCCAAACGAGCTGGGTCATAACATCTATCTCCAAGCACGGGTCATTGCCAGGCCAAGTTACAAGTTGGATCTGTGGAGGGGAGAATCTGCTTAACGTAAGAACAGAAGGATGTATTTCAAGGCAGTTTTCTTAGCAATAGAAAAAATGAAATTGAATAAATGCAACTGTAAAAGTGAATGCAAGCATGTGGCAGACCCTCACCAGAATAGTTGCATTGTGCACCTTTAAATTTGGGCATTATAAGTAGAAGTAGCATCTTAATTTTCTCTCCACTCTGCTCCAATGCTACAGTTAGAAATACCTGACCTTGGGCGATGGGTTGTGGTCACCTCCTGCCATGAACAATATGTATCTATATATACCTTCTAAACAGTCTATGCCCCTTTCTGTGAGATACTACATCCAGATTAAATGTAAAGGGTCCCTTTCACCACTAGGGGGCCCTTAAAAGTTGAGTGACCATTGCCTAACCTTACAATGAGTGTTTAAATGCTCTAATTTATGTTGCTGACAACAAAAGAACAGTTGAGTACTTAAGTAGTAAAACAATGCTCAAATTATGCCCCTCAGATTCATTAATGTTTATGGACAAAATAAGTTTTCCTGTTTAGTGTGTGTCTACTTATTATGGTACCATGTAATTAAATCTTCTTTCTACATCCCTCAACTTTAATTGAGGCTTGAGACACATAAAAACAAAAGAAAGGCATTGAGTTTAAAATCCATCATAACAGTTCAGTCTAACCTCTGGTGGTTGGTTTATTCTACACGCCATTTCTGACGTAGCCAGTCTACTTAGTATTGTGGAACATTGGTTAAACAAAGTGATTTTGGTTATTATAATAATTACACCCATTACTCCCACAAGCCAAGTTCAACATCTCACTCTTTCCATCCAAAAGCCACTCTAAAATGTACAATTATATTATTTAAAAAGTTCAACTCCATCACTGTTGCTCACCTCTGCTCCATGTTCTAGCAACAACTCCAGGCAGCGGAGATGTCCCAAAGCAGCTGCCGTACGCAAAGGGGTGACAGGTACGCCCCACCCACTCCGAGCGTTTATGCATTTTCTATAGGAGTCCTGAGATAGAAGTTGGGCCAGTAAAGCTACGTCATCACTGCTAACTGCGTTGTTCAAAGCTTGGCAATGTTCGCTGTCTTCATCTTCTTCTTTGGGTTGAAGCAGTGAGAAAATCTTGGAAATGTCCATCAAACTCATCTTGACAGTTTGGCCCAAAATCATAGTGTTTGTAAACTCCAAGAATGAGGCTGAGTCAGATATCTTCCATCTAAAATAAAATATGATACAGTTGAAATGGTTTATGTGGTGATTGGAGGGTAAACAAATGGTAAAAACAATGAAATATTGGGAGATCTCCAGCCAATGAATCAATCAGTGTCTTATGATGTGAGTGGAACACAAAATGGCCTTGAAGTCTAATTCAATAACCATGAGAATCCGGAATGAAGAAATAATTATATGTTGGTGTACTCTATAAGTAGGTTGGCGTCATTTGGTTAAACCAGAAGGCAATGTGTTTTTTACATGATATGGTAGAATCCAGTCACAAGCCTAATGTATGTGTGCTACCACAAAGGCCTGATAACGGGAGCGTGCAGGATAAGAAAAAGACAAATCTGTATTCAAATCACTGCCTAATGGAAACAAACACTGTCTACATAACTTTCATTTTCATTTTAGATGTCATTCTACCTTTAAGTACTTGTTTATGGACCTGTTTCTGAAACTTTTTAAACCCCAAAGTGTTTTAAACAGTATTTTTGGACTTAAAACAATGGATATAAGTTACCACGTAGCTGCTTAGTCTTCGCAGTGCTTTTTAGATTTTAGATAGAACCTAATAATAATTTACAGTTTTAGAATTGTATGACTTAAAAATCTATACCTGTCTACACATCTATATATGTATTTTAATATATTATAATTAGGGATGGGACAAGATCTTGTACGGCAAGATCTCGCAAGACAAAATTGCCACAAGATTGTGCATTATCTCATGAGATTTTGAATTTACATTTGGCTTGGACGAAAAAAGAGTTATGACTTGGTGAGATATACAATTTGAGAAGCTGTAGTTTCAAAAAGCAGTACTACAATGATAAAGTATTGCATAAAATAAACAAAAATAGTGAAGCCAAAATTGTGAAATGGATTACACTACCTATTTATTATAAATCATGTACAAATCTCGTCTTGTCTCGTTCTCATACACACAATCTCGTGTCTCGTCTCGTGAAAACTGCGTCACGTCCCACCTCTTTTTATGTGTTAAAACTGCTGTAGATCTAGTATGTCTATGTCCAGTCATGCTGAAAATATCAACCATGTTAACCAGTAGGTTCATTAGAGTGCAACTAAAATTAAAGTGTTAGTAATAGTTAGTTTATGTGGGAAGAATTTAAACTATACTGGCAGTGAGCCCTAAGAATAGACTGTACAACTGAAGGCCTCTATAACGCACGGATCCAGTACTCAGAAGGTTTATATTGTGCAGGGTACATGTTGTGTCAGTAGCGCCTATCATCTTACCTCCGCTGGCTCGTCAGGTGTTATGTCCAACGAATTTTCAGACGTATTCAACTTTTTTTAAACTTCTTTGAAAGCCTCTTGGATAAAAATGTCCTAGTGGTATCCCAGGGGAGAATGGTGTGATGCCTTCAAAGTGCCATTGGCTGTGGTTTCTGAGTGCACTGCTGTTTTTGTTGTTGGGGGGTGCATGTGTCTATCTGTGACATGACAGAGGGCCTGGTGGGGCTGATTCTGGAGGAGGGGTGGGGGTCTCAAGGGGTGGGGAGGGGGCTAAATTTAGGCACACAGATGGGCCCTGCTAAACTTCCATTCTTGGAGAGTGGAGGCACAGGTTTATAATTAGCAAAGGTGACAGTGACAGTCAGCTGTGCAGAGGTTAGAACTTTGAGAAAATGCATTATAATTTGGGCATTCACCTGCTCTGAATCGCTTCAGTACCAAAAAATTAGTCCTCCTGAAAAAACTTGCACTACAACTTTTTGGTAGGGGGGTCTTTCACTTGCTTCTATAGATCTCTCCGCAGACCTGACCCGTAACTTGGTCTGGTTTGGTCTCCACGAAGATCGAAAAGTTGAATACTATACTGTGAAACATTCCAGATAAAGCAATAACATTCCAGACCCTCCATCAGGAAAGTTAGTGCACCCTTAAGAACACGTGGGAGCCTCTTTTTTTCTTTTTCTTTTTTTAGTCTGTTTATTTTCTCTCAGTTCTAGAATGGTTTCACACTTTCAAGCTATTGACTGATTTCTTTCTCCCGCTCTTCTTAAGTTTGATACAAGTTTACTGTGACTATAAGTGACATGGTTAGTTTTGTATTTTGTGTTTTATTTTGACTGATTGTTTTTTTTTTTTTTAACTTTCTTTCTTTTTGAATGTGTGTTTTACTCATCTCTGTCTTTGTACAAGTCTATTATCCCAACAATGCAAACACTTGGAAAAGGTTACTGAATAACATTCTGGAAAGAAAAATAAAAAAAATTAAAAATCACTGTACGACACCGCTACAACTGCTACAACTTTTAGCTGTTACATTTCATTATAGGTCTACTACTACTACTACTACTACTACGACTACTACTGCTATTACTACGACTACTACTACTACTTCTACTGCTACTACTACGAGTACTACTGCTACTACTACGACTACGACTACTACTACTACTACTACTACTACTTTTACTACTTTTACTACTACCACCACAACTACAAGAACAAAATGCAAAAATAACTAGTGGGTGTTCCTTCACCTTATCTCCATGGAGATGCTATTGCTAAAACTGGAATGTTCGTAAAGTTTTTCAATTACATTTTTTTGTTTAATCGCCTCTCCACAGATCTGACCTCACACTTAGCTGGGTGGCATTGATCATCATCTTGTGGCCATACCGGCTTGTCAAAGACTGATCCCTTCAGATTTCAGAAGCTAAGCAGGCCTGGATCTGGTTAGTACTTAGATGGGAGACTACTTTGAAAATCAGGTGTCACAGGGGGGTGCCAGTGGCAAATGCTGTTGTGTCCTCAGGCAAGACACTTCACCCACATTGCCTAGTATGAAAGTGGTGTGTGCGTGAGTGATGGTGGTGGTGGTCGGATGGCGACTATTGGCAGCTGCGCTTCAGTCAGTCTGTGGCTACAGTAGTTTACCACCATCAGGAATGGAATGAATGAAAAATGCTCTGTAAAGTGTCTTTGTGACACATGTCTGTGAAAAGTGCTAGATAAATAAAACTTACTTACTTACTTCTAGTGAAGTAGTAGTGGAGATGAATAAGTTTAATATCATATTGTGGAACATTTTAGGTAAACATTAACCCTCCACCAGAAAAGTCTGTCTTCTTTTAACTGCTTCTGACAAAAAGCTTTCTTCCATAAATAAGTAAAAAGTACAAATGCTTTGGAAACAGCCTTGTTTATAAAAGCTGCTATACAAATAAAGTTGTACTGGATTGGATTTTCATTTTAAGATTTAAAGGTTCATTGTGTAACTTTTCTGGTGGAGGTTCCATCACCTGCTTGTTTTTATGGATATGTCATTGCTCTGCCTGGAATGTTCCACAGTATGTCAACAGTTCTACCTTACATTTACTGAATTACAGGTGGTTTTATAGCCCCAAAATACCTAGAAAAACAGGCATGGACGCCTCTCCACAGATCTAACCAGTAGCTTAGTCTGGTTTGGTCTCCATAAAGATAGAAAGTTTTAATGCCATATTGTGAAACATTCCAGACAAAGTAATAATATCTCCATGAAGAAAAGCATTTGACAGACCCTCCACCAGAAAATTTGCACAACGCACCGTTAACATTCAACTGTAAGACCTGAGCATAATCTAATAAAACCCAATGCAATTTATTAAAAAAATAACAAAAAAAATACCAACATTTTTAGGAGCACAAAACATTTCCCCTTTTACTTCCTCTGTTACTTTTAATGTTTTTAGATTTCCAAGAACCATCTCCTGAATACCATCTTGAAACAATGTCTTTCCTCGTGTACACATGAACACTTGGTTGTGTGTATCTGGGTGTTTTATCACAGTTTTTCCCACATTGGCTCAGAGGAAGTAGCTGTCAGCTGTTAGTCTGTGCAGGGCATTAGTGCAGGCTCCATGTAGTCAGCTGTTCTCTGCCAAAGCCACGCTGTCTTTATAGTGAGTAACAGAGCCGCAATCTCACGACGCAACACATTTTTAAACCAGATGGCACGCCGTACACCTTTTTTTCCTTCGTTTGAATGGTCATGCCGGTGGTTTTGTTTTGGTTTATTGCAATAAATGGTGGTGGGGCGGGCTCACTGGGGTTTAGTCCTGGTTTGGATGTCTTGGTTTGATTATGCCTTCTTCATAAACTGTATACATAAATGGACATAGATAATGCACTAGCTGCTGCATTCCAGAAAGGAAGTTCACAAGTCAGAGCTTCCGGCGCCTTCTGACCCTGGCTCCCATTGACTTTGAATGGAATATTGTGACCCATCTCTCTGTAACTGCTGCAGTGAGTCTTGCCATTTTGGTCTTAAAATGTGCATATTAACCTGCTCTACATGATCCTGGTGGTTGTGTTTTTGTTTTGTTTTGTTTTATCAAAAAAAAAAAAAAAAAAGAATCATATTACAGAGCCTGGCTACAGATTCGCACCAGTTTCTTGCTATTTTTGCTACTTATTCAGAATTTATTATTACCATTAAAAAAAAATATCTTTGTTATTATAATGTATTATGATGTGTGAGCAAATCATTTCTCTTATGAACCAATACAATTTGTCTATGTCTAATGTACAGTATATATAGCTAGTTTATGTAGGCCTATTCATGAATTTCAGCTTCTTGTTATAGGCGACATTTTGAGTACATTTCAGCATTCAAAATAAACAATACTTGGTTCAAAATATTTTTTTGCTATGGCAACGGTCCTAATTTTTGTATAATTCTGAAACTGTATTATTTTAGTTGTAGTTTAAATTGACTTTAGCCCTGGTTTCTTATTGATCTTGCATGAATTGTCTCGATCCAGCCCCAGTTTATACCAACTTCTTTAGACTTGCTTTAGTCCAACTGGTTTTCTTTCACTCTCTTACAGACCTGGTTTGGTCCTGGTGTTTAGGTCCCAGATTAGACTGGTTTAGTCTTGCTTTAGCCCTAGTTTGGTCCCTGTCTGGCTCAGATTGGGTACTGGCTCTGATGAGAATATCCTGTATTTTTGTCATTGCAGTTTTTTCCCCATTTCTTCAAAAATAAATAAAAATAAATAACTAAAAAATAAAATATATAAAGAAAAATCTGACCCACTGACACATTTCATGCAATGGAGGTACCATCAGGAGAGCAGTAAAAACATAATTGGCGTTCAGTTCAAAAAGAAGTTAAACCCTTTGAAATGACTTGTTGAGTTGAGGTGTTGAGTTTCTTTTGTGTAACAATAATGTATCAAACAGACCCAGTGAACTTCAGATAGAGGTTTCGTGGAGTGAGTGCATTTTGCTTCTTATTATGATGTGAAATTACAAAATGCATGTAATGAATGTAGTATTATTAGACACCATGACTACAATATAAACCTATACTACTCGTTATCTTTTTACCATTCACCAACATGAAAGAGGAACAATTACTTTTTATGGCACTGCTAACACCTGGCCTACATGCAAAACGTGCTGGATATTGGATCACCTTTTTTTTTTTTATTATTGAAAACATAATGTAAACATAGGCCTGTACTATCAGTGCATATTTAGAACATATATTAAATAATGTAATATGAAGTAGCCAAAGTAGTGGGAATAACAGGGGAAAGTTTAAAGGTCCTATATTACACAAAATTGACTCGTGTGTGCATTAAGCCATGTTACCGCCTTAAAAACATACTTGTAGTTGTGTTTTATTTCATTTACATATGTTTGAGTAAACCTTTATTATTAGTATGTCATCTCCAATCCTCAAAATGCTCTGTTCCACCTGGTGATGTCATGAAGCAATAATTTTCAAGATGGAGTTTAAACCACAGTGGAGCACATCCTGTATTACCACATGACACACACGATTGCAGGTATGTTTGACGTGGGGAAAACATATTACAACATAGACCAAAAAAATTAAATATGGGCCCTTTAAAAATATGGGTGAAAAAGTTACAGTCTAAAGATGGTATTCCATGTGATGAGTGACATGATAATGTAGCCTGTAACAACAAGAATTTTGTTAGGGTACTTTGCTAATATATTGTGACAAGTGAGCGTAATTGCCAGAAATAATATTGAAAGCATAAAAAGTGACAGTGAGGAAATATGTAGTGCTTTCTTCTTCTTCTTTTCTTCCTCTTCTTATTGTTGTTATTATTTTATTGCTACTACTAATACAATTTTAATTTTGTATATCATATGATCTTATACTGCAAATTATTATGTAACTGTTTTTAACTTTGACCTTTTACCTGCTGTAACACTTGTGTAAAAGTGAAAAGTGCAATATAAATAAAACACATTATTATTATTATTATTATTATTATTATTATATTTTTTCATTTCATAATGTTTTTGATTTTCCTTTGCACTACCCATACTGTCCAGCAGATGGCCTTGACGCATCAAGTGCACAGAAGCGAGTACAACATGTAAACGATTAATCAAATTTATGGCGCGTATAACTCCAGCGGAACATGGCTACTTATTTGGTTTTTGCTAGTTCATTGACTTTTCTGACTATACGCGTACGTGACACTTATTCAGACATAATCAAACGTTTAGATGTGAATAACTTGATGGAAACTGAAGAAAACAGAGGGCAAGTTATAACAGGGACGTTTGGTTCAGATGGCTCTACGGTTCAAGGTTTACGCACGGCACGTCCAACCCGCCTACGCCACGCTTACACACTTGGCTCATCTCCTATCTGCGGAAAGGATCAAAAACATTCAAGGAAAAGTCGAGGTGAGCTAGTTGAGAGGAGGATGCGACGCACATCACACACGTCGCACTATCGGGTCACTTTTTTTTTTTTTTTTTTTGCATAAATCTGCTCTCCCCCTCTTTCCCCACATCCCCGCCCCTCGTGTGCGCGCGTGGGCGGAGCTTTCGTGATGTCCCGTGTGCGCCAGAGGAGAGTGCGCTGAAACACACATCACTGACCTTGACATATTTTATCAGAGGGAAGACACAACCGCAGTTCCCAGCAGCGAAGGGTAGACTAAACACGTACAAGTTCACGTGAAAACTTACAAGTGTGTGTATTTCTGCATTGTAGCCTGCTTTTTTTATATTGCACATTCTATATTGTAGGCCTATATAGCAGTAAACATTCAATTAAAGCAAATATGTTCTACTTAAAAAGTATTATATTCAAAAATTACAATCAAAGTTGAAGTATAACAGTTTTCCGTTTCTTACTTAAAGGTGCATTGTGAAACTTTTCTACAGGAGGGTCCGTCAAATGCTTTTCTCCACTGTGATGCTATTGCTTTGTCTGAAATGTTTCACAGTATGGCATTAAACTTTTCTCTCATCATGGAGACCAAATCAGGCCAAGTTACAGGTCAGATCTGTGGAGAGGCGACCCCTCTCACACTCTAAGTATTATGTAAAACCACCTGTAATTGAATAAATGCATGGAAGAAATGTAAGTACTGTTTAATGTCATACTGTGGAACATTCCAGGCAGAGCAGTGACATATCAGTTACATAGTGCACCTTTAACATCATTTTTTAGTTTATCGTACTTTTTTCAAGTACAATAAACTAACCTAGTTTACAGATCGGTTAGGTAAACATAACAGACTTACTTAATTTGTCCATTGGAAACAGAACTACACCTTTTTGAACCCTATGACTCAGAGTCAGACAATAATACAGGGGTTACTCAAATATGCATGAAGCAATAAATCAAAATACAACTCTGAGAAGACTAATGATGAACAGTTAAAGCAGGATTAAAGTCTATTTTACATAATACAGTTAAAGATAGAGGTCAGCAAGTGAAGAATGTCAGTAAGTCTTATGAAATAGCTTAATTGATTCTTCCAATTTAAAGTAGTAAATTTAGGTGCTCTGACCTGGAACCACCATAGTGAAGAGTTGGCACACAAACACATTCATATGAGAAAGAATGTGCCTATCAAATTGGGAGTTCCTTATTTAATTTAGTTCCCTCAACAAGTTACACATGTTCACAACTGTTATATTTACAGTAAGACTATTTTAATAAATCTTAATCTAAACTATATTAAAAATCATTCCTAGATTTTAGGGACATGTTCTTTACCCCTCAAATCTCCCTGAAATGCCCACCGATGCCCCTCGCAGGCTATGGAAGGAACTATTTGGTAAAACACATGCGGGTCACAGCAACCTGCGGTTCCCCCGGCAACGGCAGAGGAACGTGGAGTTGCCGGGGCAACAGCAGAAATGAGGGGTTACCCTGACAAAACCGCTACAGGAACTCATTTAGACAGACCTCGCTGTCCTTTTTCAGACAGATAGCTGCAGACATGACAGCCACTGTATTAACGCACTGAAAGGAACATACTCCAACTCCACTCTGCCTCTGTATTGTGTCACACCCTTTTTTTTTTTTTTCAATAAACAATGATTCATAAGTTAGCAATGTGCGTAGATAGTTTTCACTGGGTTTTGCGTATAGAGCCAAATAAAATTAAAAGTTGAAGTATGGTTAACTTAACTTGACTGCCAAGAGTAAAGGGGAAATCATCACAGACTACAAGCTGAGCCAGAATCTTGATCAGAACCTTACAGTTATATTGTGGATACTTTTATGGATAATGTCAAAAACTAGATTATATAACCAGCTGTAGACAGAATTGGACTGTATCAATGGAACAGTACAATGTTGTAGTGTGTAGCCCAAGCTATACTAGTACTTTATTCAGTGAGGGTTTAACGGTCCTAAATTACACAAAATTAACTCTGAGGTTTAAACCATGTGTTAGAGTGTTGTTTCCTCCTCAAAAACATACCCGGAGTTGTGTTTTGTTGTTTAAGTAATCCTGGTTTATTGGTCTGTCTACATCTACAACACTCAAAACGCTCTGTTCCAACATATGATGTCATGTAATGGTAGTTTTCAAGTTAACAGCTTTTTACCTTTAGTTTAGTAGAAATGGGCAATTTCAGGGCTGAAATCATCCAAATTATTCTTGTGAAGGTGTATGGAGTTTAAAAACACAGTGGAGCACTTCCTGTATTACCACATGACATCACAAGGTGGAACAGTGTTTTCGGTTTAAGGGAAGATATGCAGGATTTGTGTATTAAACATGTGTGAATGAAACAAAACACAACTCCGGTTATGTTTGTGACGAGGAAACAACATTATAACATACAGTAATGGTGTAATATGGGCCCTTTAACTCATTAGGGAACCTTCTTATTTAAGTAGAATAACTTTAGTAAAATATTTTTTTTTAGAAAACGTGCTCCCCACTTAAACTGGCTCTAATTTATCTTTCTATTGTCTTAATGCTAGCCTTTCAATGCAATACTTAGTTTAACACACCAGCTGCTTGCATAGACTTCGCTATCTGTTTGAAATTAAGGCATTTGTGCTCGTGAAAGATTATGGTGAACTTTTTTGGCAGTGCTCATAACACAAAATAAAGCTAGAAAGTCACACCCAAATTACAAAACAGCCATTTATTTTTACTACTATAATAAAGTTAACACATGTAAAGCAAAAAAAGGGCCTCGTATAACCACTGAAGGATTGTAAACATCAAAACAACAATGTATTTCATGTATTTGTTATTCCCTTTTTTTAAACACACAACTGCTTTATCTTGGCACAGAAAATCACAATTTTAACAGCAATGGAAGCACATACACATGCATCAAATTATAATACATTATCTAAAGCAATTAACAATACCGACTAAATGATTTGGGTTGTTTGTCAAGTTTCCCTTTTCCGTTATTGCAGACAATGTTAGGAAGTCATACATATTCAGACATGTCCAAAGCACTAGTAAAAAACATAATCGTGAGTTCAGCTATTGACAAAATGGGAGCTACATGTTTTTCAACGGGGACTTTGCTTTGTGTGGAAGTAGATTTGTCGAGTGCAGCCAGGCAGCTACAGTAAGTATACCTGGCTGGTCTCATATCTGTTGTTTTGACTGTTCCCCTTGCTGCTGCTGCTGCTGCTGATGATGCTGATGCTGGACAAGGACCTACTCGTCCGGCTTCCTCTTGGGCTTCTTTGGGTTACGGGAGCGGCTCTTGGCCTTGCATAACGGGCAAATGGGAGCGTTGCGGTGAATCTGCTGATGGCATGATAAGCAAGCCTGGAAAAAAAATATGAATACATTTAATATAAGCTTCAAGATATAGTAAAGCATTTAAAGTTATAGCATGTAACTTTCTGAAGACGGAAAGTAAATTGCATGATTTTAACGAAAGAGAAACTTAAAACCATACTCAAAGCATTCTCTCTGTACATGATGATTATTTAGGTTTGATTTGTTTGTATTGATTGCAATGTCTTTCTTATTCTGTAAAGCACTTTGAATTACTTCTTGTACAAATAAACTTGCCTTGTCTAAATAAGTATTAACGCGATACTGTAGAATATTAGAGCCAAATAACATTTCTATGGGGAAAAAAAGCAGAAGGAAGCACTTCTTCAGTCCAAGTAAGAATCAGGTTTGTGGAGATGCAGTCCTGCTTTTTTAGTCTTATTTTAGTACATTTTCTGGGGGAAACTGTTACATACTATAACTGCAAAAGTGAGATGAGAGCAGGAAAATTATCATCAATATGCAGATTTTTGTTTACTTCTAATGGAAAGATCAGGTTTAATGTTCGTGGATTTTCATTTTGGACATTTTGGATAAAAATACACTGTAATCAATACTGGAAAAGCGGTCTCCTGAACAAAAAGCAGTTATATTGTTATTCTAGGTTAAAACTAATTTTTCTTTTGTTGTTGTTGAACAGCACATGCTTGCCACGGCTAATCCATTCCAAAGTGATGTGATTTGATAAAAGAGGTCTAGGTAATGACTGATGTTAGTTTAGCTTGTTTACCAATACTAAACCAATATTACTCTGGCAAAAAGCAATAAAATGTGATTCACCCACCCAGAGCTTCTAAGAGACATGGCTCAAATTTAGAGTATATTGAGTTACTTATGTCGGGGTGCATACTGATACCTTGCAGTCATCAACATTCTGTAGGCACTGCTCTGTCTGAAGCGCTGTTACTCAAGTTAGACTTTAAATATGAGCATTAATCTGAGCGTTAATCTGAGTTTTATTTTAACACAATCTAACCAAAAAGAACAGATTTAGTTGGAACTACAACAGGTTTTCAGATACTCACACCTTTTTGTTGAAAATCAAATCAAACATGTAACCAGTAGGGGTGTGTCGGTATATTTTACTAAATTATTTTGTTACAGTGCTACAGTTTCATTGCTTGTTTAGTGTAAGGAAATGCTTTTATGCAGCACATTTGACATATTCAGTGTTTTGATGATTAAAATGTGCATGTTTCATTTTGACTTTGCTCAAGAAGTGGTTTAACAAAGACTTTTAGTATCACAGCCATGATTTAGCAATAATTTTTTATTGAGCTGTATCGAATCAAAATCTTACTGTATCGAGATATGTATCGTATCGCTGCCTATGTATCGAGGTATCGTATCAGGAGCTTCTTAATGATACCCAGCCCTAGTAACCAGGACCATGAACACTTGTATTGATCACAGGCTCCTAAAAATACTGTATGTTTTTTTAGTGCAATGTGAGTTTGCTGGAAAGATCCTGTGTTAACCATTGAACCAAATAGGAGACAATAATGATTATCTATTGCAGTATTTATCAACCTCTTTTGACTTGTGGCACACTTTTTTTTGTTGTTGAAAATATTACATGACGCACCAACCACTAACACATCACCAAATTACAAAGTTTGGGGAAAAAATCTATTTCTACGCCACTGTGTCTCTTTTGGCAATGGTGACTGTTTGCTTTCCTTTCTGGTTCCATTAAACGTGTGTGTGAATCACTTCATTGAAAACTGGTTGAAATTCAAGAATTTATTGAATAAACATAAAACTGACTATTGGGCCAGTAGCTAGTATTGTGCTGTAATGATAAGGACTGGACAATTTGTGATGATTTTTCTGCCAAGAATTGAGATAGTGATTCATGTTTAAATGTGTCCGGATTAATTTACAAAAAGACTTTCTAGGGATGTGTCATTGCTCTGCCTACAATTTTCCACAGTGTGACATTAAACAGCTCTACCTTACATTTATTCAATTACAGATGGTTCTATTGTTCAAAAATACCTAAAAAAAAACAGGCCAGAAAAAGCTTAAAGCCATACATGAAACATTCTAGACAAACTAATAACATCTCCTCAAGAAAAAGCAGGTGCTGGTTGGACCCTTCACCAGAAAAGTTAAGCAAAGTACCTTTAAATATGCATTGACAAACAAATACAAGCGTCACATTTCAGAACATGTTACAGGGTTAGCCATTTGTGCTGTTTCTTTTTATTTTTGCTACTTATTTAGAATTTATTATTATTACAATTTATATTTTTGCTCTTTGTTATTACTTTATATTGTGATGTGTGAGCTACTGTGTCCAAATAATTTTCCTTGTGGGTCAATAAAGTTGGTCTAAGTGTAATAATGTATAGATTATAGATGTTTTTTGCTTATTACGTCCATTCAAATTGGGATTAGTTTTAGTGATAAGTTCCGTGTTCTTTACCTTCATTGGAGGAGGTTGCTGTCTGAAGGTAGCGGTCTGGCGTGCGTCTTGCTTCCTGGAGACCTGGAGCTGTTGCGCGGCGGCCGCTGCTGCAGCAAGGGATTCTGGGATGGCGGGCTCATGCGGTTCCTTCTGCCACTCTGCCTTTTGCTTTTCAAAGTAGCTGCACACAGACAGACACAAACCCGCCATGCTGTGATTCTTATTCAAAGCTGATAAATCATATCACAGTTAGAGATTATCCCATCAGGGGCTCTTGTTGTTGAACAGTGTCACAAACTAACACAAAAGAAACTCAATCTCCACATCTTTTTCTTAGGTAGAAAAAGGGGGAGGACAATGGCAGTGCATGCGTGCCAGTCCGTGTGTGTGTGGGCAAAGGGGAGGCTGGGAAAGCATTGTGGCCTTCAAGCTTAATTGGCTTATTTCCAGACAAAGCGGGAGGAATAGGATATCTAATTTCATTACACTCTCTCATCTCGCTTTAAATAGTTGCAACTAGTATTTGAATATTGTAAGTAGTGAGTAGTAAAGTTTAACCGCAGCCTTAATCCATACGACTAATAAGGTTTTAAGCAACATGTAGCGGATTCAAAGCCAAATGAAACAACATCTTGTACTTGTCTCAACACTGGATAACATTTCCTCTTGGTTTTCGTCCTGAAGTAAGGTGTGGAGCACTCTTTTTGTGCCAATCTATCACTTAAATGTACCTAGCACTCACCTAGATATGAGGTGTGATCTAATTTTCTTGTACACTGCTCACACTTCCAGAGGACAATTACAAAAAAACATGTAAAAAAAAAAAAAAAAAAACTTCTAAGATTACTTTTCTGGCACTACGATGTGGTGATTTTAACATCTTAGCTGACGAGTAGATAGTGAAAAATTACAAAACAGTGAGAAGGTACGACTTTCCTCCAGTGTGAAAGCGCCCTTCATTAGCAAGGTCAAACGCAGACATGCTCCTTGACCCACTGCTCTTGCGTGAACCGTTTTTAGTTCAAATGTACGTAGAAGTTACGCCGTCAAAGTCAAGGTAGCAAAGTGGTTCATGTGGACGTATTCAATAAAAGGTGCACTATGTAACATTGCTAGTGATAATACTGATAATGATACTTTTTTCAATCAACTAACAATTTTATTTATCCCAAAAGGACAATTCAGTTTGAAAATATACAAAATGTAGCTACTACTACTACTATTACTACTGCTGCTGCTGCTACTAATACTGCTACTATTGCTACTATTGATACTATGCTGCTACTACTACTACTATGACTACTACTACTAGAACACTAGTCCCGGTTGATTTAGTTTTGTTCTGGTTTAGTCTGGTCGTGGTTCAATCTTGGTCTAACCCTTAGTACTACTACTACTACCCATTAATTTAGCCACAAAAGTTATTGAAAAATAGTTATTTGTTAAGTCTTATATCTATCTTTGTACTCATGGAAACTTTTTTTAAAACTCAAGGTTTTTATAACTGCTACTACCTGCGAGCCAATTTTCCTTGAGGTAAAAAAAAAAAGGAAGAAAAATTACATTGCCAAATCATTTTCCTGTTTTTCCACTGGAGTTTATAGATGTAAAAGTGAAATGAAGCTTAAAACATAGCGCATTACTCTACAAAGTTATTCTATTTCTAAAGCTGTAAAATTGTGTAAAGCTATTAACCCACATAGGCTAAAGGAGCTTGGGGAATACAGACAGACAGAAGCCCCAGACATGCCACTGCTCTCTTTGTCTGTTTTATGATGACTCCAAAGCCAGGCATACATGACTCTGCTACCTGAAAGCTCCTACTGAAATTTGAACTGTGAAGTGGGACGTGCCCGGTTGAATGTTGACGAAAGGCTAATGAATCACAATCTGACCTTGACACTAGAGCCATGTGTGCTTCTGATCCAGAGGTTTCACCAGTGCAGTGTGGACCCCCGACATGACCAGCTAGTCTCCTGACGCTTTCTTCGCCAATCAAATTATGCACTGTGATAATCTGCACAATTCTACACCACGAAGAGATCTGTCACTATCGCCATCAACGCAGCTATTTATGAAATCTGGTCTAGAGTTACATTATTTAGCACCGTCTACAAGCTTCATCGGATGTACATATGGTCTTATTAGCAGCTGATAGTGGCATAGCATACGCGTTTGTTAAGGCAGTGGTCCACAGCTGTTTTGGCTGTGCACTCTTTTGACTTCATTCATATTTTGAATATTGTGAGATAGTCTGAAAATGTTTCCATTGGATTAAGTCCGTCGTAATGGGCCTTTTGAGGGTTTTGAAGTGGACTTCTTCAGCTCACAGTAAACTTTAGCTAAGAAAGAGCTACACATTGGAGTGATTTGATTGGATAAGAGAAGATCAGTAAGCAAATATGAACAGAAAGGAATAATTTCTCACCAAACACTGACTTGATCTTATGTTAAACTGCCTTATTTTACAGTGATATTCGCAATGAGATGTTGAATTGACATGTTTAGCAAAACAAAGCTAGTGTAGCCATAGACCAGTACATACTTCCAATGTGTAATGGATCTAACATTAACCAAAGCCAAAGTATTACATAAAGAGACACTAAAATGCGCGCAAAAAATACATAAAGAGACACTAAAAGGTGACAATAAACGAGAACTAGTTTGAGTTTCCTGTTTAATCTATTTTAAGCCTCATCTCATGGCAAAAAATAGCATCTAGCATTGTTTGTGAATAGCTGAAATCGGGCTTATGATTAAACGTGTAATTCAGGTATGGTTAGATTGTATTTTTTTAAGAAAGCATTTGTTATGTTTTGGTCCATTGCTTTCATACCATAAAAATACAAAAAAAGATACTTTACCAAATATATACAAAAATACTTGGTTTTAGAACAGAAAAACTGAAGAAAAAAAAAATACTACAAAAAATATAGGTTAAATTTGAGAAAAAGTGCTCAAACATAACAGCCCTACTAAGTGCTCGCCTCCCCTGGTGTTCCCGTACACCAGTTTGAGAAACACTGGCACTATGATATCACACAGGCATGTTCTGGTGCATCCTTCCACTGGGCTGGACCTGGCTGTGACCCTGACAGAATGACACATGTTATCATTAGATACTTGAATTATATTTAGTGAAAGCCTCTGGTGCTAAAGTGTAGGACCTCAGTTATGGTGAGGAGAGTAGGGATGGAACGATACTCAAAAAAGATCGAATTGTACGAGTCTGTTGTTTCGATTCCGTATTGAGTTCAGTTTTCATGTTCACGGCAGGAAAAGACCAAGCCTGGGGTGCTTTCTTAGATACAGAAAGTAAACAGCTCTATAGAGGCTCACAGCTGCTATCTTCTAACAGAGGTGAGTTTTATCTCCAAAACCGCTTTTCGGCTTTACACATGTTAATCAAATATGCTTGCGCTATCGAGATCTTTTAAAAAGCACCATCTCCTCAATTTGACCTAGTAAATAACACGTTTAGACATTATTACGTCTTATAACATGTTTAGCAGAGAAAAGAGGAGAGCAGGGGGAGGGGAGGGGCTGCTGCTGGGAACAAGGCAGAAACATGCAGACATGAGAGAGTCAGGAGCCATCTAAATAAATACATGTAGAAAACAAAAAGATCTGATTTTGATGTTTATGTCCAATTGCCTTTCAGTAGTATATCATAAACTACATTCTCCATATGAGACACAGTGTTTTTTTTTTTGTTTTTTTTTTTTATGATTTAGCCAAATATTTATTCATAATGGCCAACTTCTATGGGTCTGTTTTAGTTTAATTATAAGAACTGGTGACCTATTTTTTTATTTAATGTAGAAAGTTATTTATTTATTTGTATTATAAGTAATTTATTTTGGATATCTACAGTAAGAACACTAAACGTTCTGATTTATTGTTCAAAAGTTCTAAGCATTAATAGCAATTGCATTACAATTTTTTTTTTTAGCTCAATGTTAATAGTATTTTTTGTGTTTTAAGATAAGAAATAATGTTAATGTAAAGAAGTTATCAAAAAGAAAGAGAAAAGAAAATTGGAAGTCTAAAATCGAAAGTCGAATCAAATCGTGAATCGTCCCATCCCTAGAGGAGAATGGTGTGGTACTGGTTACAGAATACAGCTTCTGTGTTGCAATAGTCTTGTTTAATAGATTTAGCTGTTCATTCTCTCACCTACATTTTGACAGTGATTGGAAAAATGGTAGCCTTTATTTGAAAGATGAGCTATTTCAATTTCGTTACCCATAGCACCAGCGGACCATAAACAACAGATCAGAAATGACTAGAACAGTTTCTCAGTGTAAACAAGGTAAATACACTTTACTGCATTGTCTTTAAAAAGAACCTAAGAAGTTAAAGTTTCTCAGTGTGTATCTCTTTGTAACTGTAATTATAAAGCAATTCTGAGGTGTTCTCTTGGCTAATTTAGTCACACTATTCACAATATAGGTAACGCCTTCATCTTTAATGATATGCTATAAACATAATATTTAATTTCTTACTCAGCTATTGATGTGTGTGCCAGGTGATGTCAGCAGTGGCTTGTTTCACCTGGAAAGACGCATGCACCGTAAATGCTGCTGTTCTGGCTCTACTTTGTCATACGCGTAAAAGCATCAAATAAGGATCTACTCCGACTCTGGGATGAGCAGTGCTTCACAAGGACCTTTTACTTGTGGTGAAGAAAGCAGGTGCGCAAGTTAGGGCTGACATGGCATTTAAAAAAGAGCAGTCCAAAGCGGCATTGATAAAAGGAATTGTGAAGGGAGGAGAGAAGGATTCCAGTGGGTTGCAAAAAAAGAACCGGTTCTCAATTCCCATCACTGATTTATAAATGTAAGTGTATGTTTCAACTATCACTAGTGGCAAAATAAAATAAAACATCTTCAAACACGTTTTGAAAACATAAAAAAATGATCTAGTTCATTTTCAACACTAACCTTACCTTAGGCACTCCTAATTATTTAAGCACTCTCTCAGACCAGAGTGGAGCTTTGCTGTGCTGGCATGCTAACGTGCACTTTCTGATAATTGGACAATAAACGCTTTACACGCAAACAGTACGCACCGACTTATTTTGACCTCAAGAACTGTTAATACAATATATCTGCACTGGAGCAAGGCAAATTTTGCTCACATACAATGGGAAAAATCAGGTAGAGTGCCTTTAAAGTATGATGAAGCGATTAAACTGTATTGAACCATCACTTAGGATTGTACTTACTCCAGTGAAAGCTTCTCCTCTTCTTCGTTAAGGTTGGGCAGTCTGTGCAGTCCCAGGGTCATTCTCAGTGCGTCGACATGCTCTTTCAGAGGCTTGTACTCATCGTGGAGACGCCGAGTGGTTTCTAGCAATTTGTTCAGATCGTTTTCAGACTGTTTGATTGTGCTCTCCATCTGTCACAAAAAATGCAATTAAGAGTTTGTAAAGAAATTGATAATATATGCGTGATAATTGAATAAAAATAGCAATTTCAATGGAAGCAATTAGCAAATCGCAAAGGCTGCAGTTTTTGAAGTACAATGATTTTCTCAACAACAAAATAGTCAGTCTTATTCTGCATAAAACTGCTAACTCTGTAGTTTCAATTGATTGTGTTCTGAAGCCTAATTCTTGTCAGTTAATATTTCAGTTTTATAGTTAATTCTGGTAGTGATTAAAATATAAACTTTTAAGAGTATCCTATTATTAAAACATAAATCGCAATCACAATGCTAATCACAAAAATTGCAAATAGATGTTTTTTTTCCCCCAAATCGCTCAGCCCTACTTACAATACTGCCCAGTCTTTTTCATTAATACTGGAGACCAAGTTGCCCCACCATGGTCTAAAATTCTCCCACGTAGTCTAAAATCAAACTGGACTACACATTGAAGTCACAAAATCACCCTTTGTTGCCCATTGTCTAATTACAGTTGCCTAATTATACTGGGCAAAAATGACTGCTTTAAGATTATAAAAATCTAATTTATTTGTGCCACCATTTTCCCCAGAATCTATGGGAAACATTATGAATCCAAGCATTTCATACTCACCACATTGATATCGGCATGAATAAGTCTTAGTTCCTCCACATGTGCCATCTTCTCTTGCAAAAGGAGGTCCATTTCCTGTTTGTACTCTTTTAAATGCTTTTCCTCCGACTCCAGCGCCTCAAACTCGATCTTGAGACGAGCTTTGATCTTCTGCATCTGCACAGTCTTGTTGCTGTGATCAAAGAAAGACAAAACAACAGTTTAATACAATGTTAACCAAAATTAATCACATTACTGTCTTGCTGTGCAGTAAAATAAGTAGCAGTTTTCCTCTAATTGAAAAGACCAGTGCTGCTCTGTAGTAAAAGAAAAAGTAGCTTGTTTCTTATTTGTACGCTACAATATCTATGACACAGGTCTAGAAACCTCCAGTGAGCTACCTTGACAAAACAAAAATGCCGGAGAGCACTTTAGCAGCCACAAGAAATTGAGATTGACATTATAAGAAAGAGGGCAAGCCTTTGGGTACAGTTAGTTCCCTATAAAACTATAAAACATAAATCACTGTTCGTCCACAAAGTTGGGATTCATAACGATACATTTACAATGGTAATAGGAATGTAATTAACCACATTTTTGTTATTAAGCACCATGGTATAATTCTGAAATTCCTTGATGAGCTACTTGGAAGGGGGTGGAGAGCTACTAGTATCTCCTGAGCTACAGGTTGAAGACCCCTGATCTATGGGTTTCAGACAGACCAAAAAATAGCACTGTTGCCATGGAAATTCTTTAGAATGGTAGAAAGTTCTAAAAATGTCACCCATAAACAGGAAGGTGAAACTGAATTGAAACTACACCAGGTTATTTGGTGCATTATGTCACTTTTCTGGCAGAAGACCACTAGAGATGTTTGTGCTTTCTCTAGAATGTTCCACAGTATGGCAATAATGGGTTTAATTGACAAAAATTACCCACTGATGAATGGGTTTTTTATTGCTTATGTTTTGTATATTAAAATATCTAAAGGGAGTAAAATGTATTGTCTGCTTTTGACATTGACATTGACATTCTGAGAGAAAACTCAGGTATTACGTAATGATAATAACACAATAATATATGTTTTACTCTTAATAGTTACATTAATGTTCCTATATTACATTATTACATTATATTATATTCATTAGAGTTAGAATGTTGTTACCTCCTCAAAAACATATCCGGAGTGGACTTGTGTTTTGTCTGATTCACACATGTCTGAAAAGCGCTTTATTATTAGTCTGTCTACAGCTCCAATGCTCAAAATGCTCCATTCCACCTTGTGATGTCATGAAGCAATAATATTAAATTAATAGCTACCTTTTACCTTTAGTTCAGTAGAGATTTGAAATTCCAGAGCTGATGTTATACAAACGAACTCAAGTGAAGGTGTATAGTTTAAAAACACAGTGGAGCACTTCCTGTATTACCACATGACGTCACAAGGAGGAACTGAGTTTTTTCAGTTTCAGAGAAGAACTCATCCTAAATATGCAGGGTCTGTGTGTTAAACATGTGTGAATGAAACAAAACACAACTCTAGGTATGTTTGTTTTGAGAGCAGCATTATGATTTATAGGCGTCAGAAAATAGCGTAATATGATTGTGTTTACCACCACCATTGTCTCAAAGAAAACCTGTAGAAAATAGCTATACAAGATATATATATATTGTCTGTTAACTAGAGCCCGACCGATATATCGGTTGGCCGATATTATCGGCTGATATGGGCAACTTTAGGCATATTGGCTATCATCCGATATGCTTGCTGATAGGGGCCGATATTTCACGTGGGCATGTTATACCTCGTTATAAAGCTTAGACTCTCTACATTCTGTTCATTTAATCCAATTTACAGACAGATAAATGTCCTAATATGTGGCTCCACATCAGTATTTATCTACGGAGTCATTTGTCTGTGTGTGTCCGTACTGTCCCTGAACACACCACAGAGTCGCGTCACTCACGTGTGTTTGTTTACACCTGCAGACACAGATCCAAACACTGAGATTATATTCTTTTTACGGACAATCGGTTTGAGTCTGGATTAAAAGGACATTTATTAGTGCAGATTTGTGATGTGAGGAGGAGCCTGTATGAGCGGTGAGTGTTGGAAATATGTCGACTCTGAAGCTAGTTTTTGTCATTTGTTATGGGTTAGCTGCTGTAGCTCCCGCACATAAACAGACTGTTTTCTATTGGTCTGTTCTAAAGTGACTATATTGGCCGTATATTTGCTACTGGACCTGCACTGATATGTAAATGAGCTGTGAACAGACGTGTGTGTGACATTTGCGCATATAATTAATTACTGCGGCGCGCACGTATTTACGGCTAAAGGCTAATAGCGCTACTTTCTTTACTAGTTATGGGTCCGTCGCGAACGAAATGACTCTTAGAACCGGCTCTTTGAAGGGAACGACGGGAGCCTGATCCTTATTGGGAGCCGTGTTTTCTCTTTCTCTCACTTTTTTTCTCTTCACGCCGCGTGATTCGTGGTTTGACAGCGGCAGCGGCTAAAAACGAAACTTTGAGAAATTTGCGTGTACGTAGGATTTAAAAAAAATTAAAATAAAAAAAAAACGAGCATATTTGACTGTAGTTTAGCATAAAATAAATAAGTCCCGGTTTAGTCCTTTTTCAGTCCTGGTTTAGACCTGGTTCAGTCCTGATTCAGTCCTGCTTTAGACGTGCTTTAGTCCTGCTTGCAACAAAACAATCTGAAGAGCCGCTTGGGAGCCAAAAGAACCAGCAGCTTTTAGTGAGCCGAGCCAAAAGAGCCGGTTCTCTAAAAAGAACTGGAATACCCATCACTAGTGTCTAGAATGTGATGCAAAAATGCCATTAAGCCAACCTACTGTCTGTAAATATGATGTAAAGAGGCAGAATAACAATAAATGTTGCCTAAATAAACCCAATTTAAAATCCACCAGAGCCAAACCTAAGTTTTTTAAACAATTCAACATTTACAGTGAATTTTTACATCACTAAATATATCGGCGATTATATCGGCTATCGGCAGCGCCAACTCCCATTATATCGGTTTCATATCGGCCACAGCAAAATCCATATCGGTCGGGCTCTACTGTTAACCAATCACATATGTGCATTTATTATTCTGCTAGTTGTCCTCAGCCTGCATTGCTCGCTTTGCTAACCAGTGTTGGGGAGTAACAAATTACATGTACCTGAGTTACGTAATCAGAGTACAAATTATGAGTAACTGTATTCAGTTACAGTTACAGTTTCAGTGAGTAGTAATTAGATTACAGTTACTTTGTTGAAATAAATGGACTACACAGCGGTATTTTACTATTTTCACGTTTCGGGCTATATCCTTTTTTTTTTTTTCGGTAATTCCACTCATTGCCGGACACTAAACCAGGTCTAAACCAGGTCTAAACCAAGTCTAAACCAGGTCTAAAACCAGGTCCAAACCAAGACTAAACCAGGTCAAAAACCAGGTCTAAACCAGGACTAAAACCAGTTCTAAACCAGGACTAAACCAGGCCTAAACCAGGACTAAACTAGGTCTAAACTAGGTCTAAACCAGGTCTAAACCAGGACAAAAACCAGGTCTAAACTAGGTCTAAACCAGGACAACAACCAGGTCTAAACTAGGTCTAAACCAGGACTAAAACCACGTCTAAACCAGGTCTAAACCAGGTCTAAAACAGGATTTAACTGGACTAAATCATGCTGCATGGACCGTGTCTCCTCGTCTTCTATCAATAATATTTTTAATATGGTTAAGACTGGGCTTTTTCAAATTTTCATTTTAGCAGACAAAACATCTTATGTTACGATATCCTCGTCTTTGCTTCTCTACAGCAAATCAGGTAATCCAAAGTATTCAGATTACGTTACTCAGTTTAAGTAATTTAATGGATTCTGTTACAAACTACATTTTGGGGTATGTAATCTGTAATCTGTATGGGAATACATTATAAAAGTAACCTTCCTGACACTGTTGCTAACTAGCTAGCTTCACCACAGCGGTAATTATAGTCTCACATCTGGCGTTTAGCAGATACACATCTGGAGTCGGCGCATCTGTGATCTCAATAATGAATACCGATGCGTCGCGTAACACTGTCTAGTCAAACAACACGGCGTTTCCTTTTTTGCGTGTCTGACTAACGATAGGGTTAAATGAATTGCGAGGATCTATAAAAAGAGGCAGGCAGGCTGGAGGCTAACCGTGGCTAGCGCAGTAACAAAAGCCAAGTCAAGAAGCCAGCCAGGATAGCGCTAACATGAGCTAATAAGACGCTAATAACATCTCGTCAACAGATGTCTCTGCGTAACACTCGTACCGTATTTCCAGGATACTCTCCAATTTGCACATTATTTCTTGCTCGTCCGTCATGATGGGAAGGAAATCAGTGCGTTTCAACAAGTTAGATCACTAGACTCTCCGTAGCAAAGGCCCGATGGTGGTGGTCTGGTCCTTGTGTTGATAAAAAACACAATAGCCCGACGTGAACGCGCAGCAGCAGCAGGGTCGACGTGCCCGCGCTCGCTACGTGTGTCCGCGTGGCTACGTCCCGCGAGCCCTTTGTCCCCGCGCACAGCAGCACAGCGGGAGAGCAATGGGTTTGTGAGTGCCCATTTCCTAACGCATAATGACTAATAAACAAACCAACAATGGACACGGGGCTAATGGTTAATGCCTGGATAATAACACATTAGAGGTGACTGATATATATAATAAGCATGATTCTGATCATTGAGATTATATTTTGTGGTATTGTAAAATTTAGGCCAGGGGTAAGCAATTATTATTATTATTTTTTCCCCATGGAGCCAAAATGCTAATCAAATTCTGCAAAATATTAATTGTATTTCTGTATAAAAGCAGTAAATAGCATTGTTTTGACAAGCTGGTAAGACTGGTAAGAGTTTATGTTATGACTAAGCAATGAAAAAGTGTGGCTGACTTACAAAAAATGTCATTTATAAAAACAACTCTAAAATAAAAGCAATATAGCTTTAGTCCATGCATGAGGTAAAATTATAAAATATGTTTATTTTGTAATTCAAGATCATCTTAAACAGGCCGATCAGAGTCAACAAACGATATTGGAGTGTTGCACTGGATCAAAACCTATGAATACATGTGCTCATCAGACTGAAGGGCTTGAATTCTTGTTAAGTAGAAAAAAAGTCTAAAAACTTAGACTTAGATTTAGATAAACTTATTATTATATGGACGGAGTAACTCACACATCATAATGTAGCCTAATAACAAAGATAAAAAATATAAATGGTAATAATACATGGTAATTAAGTAGCAAAAAAGATAGCAATAGACTGATGTCAAAAAAGACATAATTATATAAATGTGTACAAATGTACAAATCAAAACAAAATAGAAAGATAATTAATAAAATATAAGACAGTGCAACAATGATGATTGACAGGACATATGGTTATCTGTTATGTAAGGGTGAGTTGTTGTGCAGTTGTAGGGAGTATTATCTGTTACATAAGGGTGAGTTGTTGTACAGCTGTATGGAGTATGGTATGAATGTATTCCTGTATCTCTCACTGATAAAGAGCCGCGTGTGGCCCGGGAACTGTACAATGCCCAGGTCTGATTCAGGCAGTGAATGGTAGAATATTTGAAAATGTATTTTTGTACAGAATACTGAATAACTTAGTGTGACCAGATTTTCAAAATAAAAAAACTGGGGCATCCCTGGTTTGGTTGGTAATAATAAAATTGTGAAACGTAATTGAGGAAAATTGTTATGCACTCGGCACTAATGTGAGTCAGTATAGTCACATTTTCTTTGTGTTTTGGTCATTTTTAAGCAGCTTTTCTGTATTTTACCTAAACAAATGACAATGTATGCCTCTCTTTACTGCTGGCAGGTATCGGATTGGTAAAAAATGGGGACACCTTGCACATTTCTTGTATAAAACTGGGAAAAATCACTGGTTTTGGATAAATCTGCTGGTACAGGGCTCAAAACTAGGACTGTCCCAGGTAAATAGGGACATCTGGTCACCTTAAAACACCATTAAAATGTATTTTGTAACTGATTCTAATTCATGGGCCAATCAGAGTACTGTATTCTGAATACTTGGAATACTTTTACTCTGAGTTGCATTTAAATTATAGCGTAAAAACAACACACAGGATTAAAAACAGGTTCATCTTTGTGTCACTGTTTGTTATGCATTTCCTATCACCCAATGAAGAAGGGTAAATGTACATGCACCCACCACAAGAGCTGGTTTCTATTTTTGTCACTACCGCAATGTGTTCCTTTGATTTTAGAAAAGTAAATGTATTCTGAATAGCACCAAATGAAAGAGTAACTGTACTGGAATACAGTTACGCCTAATCAAAATCTGTATTCAGAATAGCCTACGTATTCTCGGTACATGTAGCCCATTTGGCTAGTCACACTCATCAAGTATGTAGACAAGATTTAGTCCAGACTACTTGTTTTGTAAGCTCTTAAATGGGTCTGAAAGTGAAACGTGAATGTAATCAAATCTGAAATAAATAGTAGTGTATAATTGCAATATAAATAAATATATAAGCCTACTACAAATGCAATACTTCATCCATCTTATGTCAGTCTTACAAAGCTGATTTTGAGGTATGGGGAGGGGGGCACATAAGGGCAGATACAATTCAGCCTATATTTAAAGTGATGTAATACAGTATAGCCAAGACTTACTAAAATTAGGCCTACTGTGTGCTGCAAGAATATCAGTGACAACAGCTAGCTAGCCTGTATTGGCTGTCCTCATTATTTGATTTGAGATTTAATGTTAAACGTTCATTCCTCATCACAAATATATCTGGAGTTGTTTTGTTTCATTCACACATGATACACAAATCCTGCATATTTGGGCAGTGTTCTTCTTTTGCTCTGTTTCAACTTGTGATGCCATGTGGTAATACAGGAAATGCTCCACTGTGTTTTTAAACTCCATACACCTTCACTAGAATCATCTGGATCATCTCAGCCCTGAAACTGCCAATCTCTGCTGAACTAAAGGAAAAGGGTAGCTGTAAACTTGAAAACTACCATTGCATCAGAGGGTGGAAGAGAGCATTTTGAGCTTGAGGAAATGTCGGCAGACTAATAAAAGCAGTTACAAGAAACAAGGTAGGTACAAAACAGGTATGTTTTGATGAGGTAACAGCATTATAACATGGGTTAAACCTTACAAGAGTCAGTTTTGTATAATACAGGACCGTAAAACTCCAAGGTTATTGGAATAGTTGGAAACATCTACAACTGTCAGAAGTAGTAGCCAATTTTATTTATTTTTTATTTGGTTTAGTTACGCCTATTTGACCTTTATCAATACTGGCCAAAACAAACCAGTTCAAAATTACATTTGAAACAGTTCAGAGACCATATTGTTTAATAGGTCACTTATTACAGCAGTGAAGGGAACACTTTTATAAGCCCTAGTCACCTACTTTAATTTTTTGTTATGTTCACTATAAACACTGGTATTTTTATCTTTCCTGTTCATTAACCCAAACACAGTGAGAACAAAAAGCAACAATACAAGGAAATACTCCTCACACTTATGTTGTGTCAAGCAGGAATGTTGCCTTATTTTGGATACAAGGTTAAAGGTTAAATGTTGGTGGGTATGTATGTTACAAATATGTACTGCCCATAATGTCAGATTCTATCAAATAATTACTACCTGTGCCCTATTCTTTAAAATGTTCAAATATAAAATTAATATTTCTTTATCAGCTTTAAGGTTTAATATGACAATATAACTGTTCATAGCCTAAAGTATGTCACTATGCACACCATCAGAGACTTTGGTCTGTTTAAATCTGAATAAATCTATTTAGACTGGCCTTTAACACTCAGTAATGCAGTGACACTTTGCACTATTTGTTTTATTTTATTATTTAATGTTTTTGCATGTTTTATATTGTGTTAATTTGAATGTAAAGCACTTTAGTCACCTTGAGTATTGTTAAGGGTTCCATAAATAAAGTCTGATTGAGTGAACAATGGCCAGCTGGTTGTGTTAGACAAATATTTTAAGTATAACAGAGATGAGCCACATACATAGCATTTATTTTCCTTTTCTTTTTCCTTTTGTGATATAATAACAGTTTCAAAATAACTGCTGCTTCAGTAAATTCCCTGGGCTCTGAGTGGCCTCTGGATTATAAATAAAGAAGTTGTGAACAATACAATGGTCCATTCTGGTCCACTCTAATCCTGAAAGGTATTGCAAGCAGTTTCATATGACTCCAAAGGCTGCTGCTCCTGCACTGTTGTGGACAAAAACTTCAACTTGTGATTAAAAGACTGCATACAATGTCTACTGTAAGTAAAGTTTCAACTTTAATTTTCACTTTGACTTGTTTGTTAGATGGAAAAGGAGACTGTGTTTTTTTTTTTTTTTTTTTTTATTTACAACAATGATAGTTTTAATATGGGCTGCAAATTATACTTGACACCTTAGGTTTAACAAGACCTTAGTGTAGCCTTTTATTTGTTTGCCTTTTAGTTAACAGTGTTGACAGTGTAAAAAGCATAATCTTTGTACCTTAGAATACAGGTTGGATTTTTAATTAAGTTTAAGTTAAATACAGTCTATATTATTACAAAATATTAAAGGTACACTGTGTAACTTTTCTGGTAGAAGGTCCACCACCTGCTTGACTCTAGCTGTTAATGTGATTACTCTCCGTCCAATACACTATGTCATAAACTTATCTACCTCCACAGAGACAAACAGATACTCACAGTGATAATGCATGTATTTCAAGGAATTCCTAGCAATAAAAACTTAGTAGTTTCATGCCATACTGTGGAACTTTCTAAGGAAAGCAATAACATCTCCACGAAACAAGCAGGTTGCAAAGCCTCCAGAAAAGTCACCAAGTGCACCTTTAAATATCAGTTTATTTTTTGAGTGCAGAGAAAACCAAAAAATATGTACCTCATAACATTTGAAAAGGCTATTATAATCTTACATTACAATATTTATAATGTCAGTCTTTGTACATGCATAAAAAATGTCATAATTTAAAGGGCCCATGTTACACTATCTTCTGATCTGATGTTCTAATGTTGTTTCCTCATCTCAAACATACCTGGAGTTGTGTTTTGTTTCATTCACACATGTTGAACACACAAACCCTGCATATTCAGGCTGACTTTTTCTCTCAAAAAAGTAAAAAAAATAAATTCTACACACCTTGACTGGAATCATTTGTAGACCAGGATTACTTAAACGTGTGAATGAAACAAAACACAACTTGAAGTACTGTATGTTTTGAGGGGGTAACAACATGATTTAAAGCTCATAAGAGTACATTTTTCATCATATAGGGCCTTTAAATCAAGAAATTTGGGAAAATATTGTCATGAGACTCCCCACTTACCCTTGAATTCCATGTTAAGTAAGACTAAAAGACTGGCATTGTTCATAAAGTCATTCATTACTTTGTACTTTTAACCAGTTCAGTCTAAATTATATTGGGCTTCATTTTTTATTATAGCCACCAGCAACCTGTGATTGGATACTGCTTGTTGAACAGAAAAATGTAAGAACAATTTTTTGGTCATTTTCTGAACCAAAAATAAGACTGTAATTCCAGATAGCAACCAACAAACATTGTATTTAGCTATTCAGTGGCCTCATAGGATAACTGTCTTTGTCATTTCTTTGGTCAAATTGAGTTTTCTGTCTCATTTTATGATCACAAACAAACCACCAGTCAAACCAGTCCTCTTATTGACATCTGCTGTTTATTTTTGTATTGTTTTAAATGTGGAGTCATACCATGCAACACTCTAGGCAAAGCAATAACAGCTCTACACAAGAAGGTAGCGCACCCTCCACCAGAAAAGTTGCGCAGTGCACCTAAATAAATGACAATTGTGCTATGAGGCAAACCTTTCCTTGCTTTAGCTGTGCATGTTTTTTGCATGTGCTCCCAGTTTCCAAAGCCTTCTTACTGTAAGCTTGTTCTGTTTCTCCATTTTTAGATAAATGTTAGAGTGACAACAATGGATGCCGAGCTGGAGTTTGCGATCCTGCACAGCACCACCGGCAAGCAACTGTTCGATCAGGTACAGAACAAGGCAGTGGTTTATCTTCCCGTTGAGAAATACTGTCTGCTACGGGTTAGGTCAGAGAGGAGGTGTAGCTTGTGACAAACCAGCAGCCCACAATGACATCCTTTGCACACACCAAAACTGACACTCGGCATGAAAAAAGTGAAGTTTTGTTTAGGGATTTACTTTATTTTTTTCCTGTTATTATACATCCTTTACTAAAACACATCTGACTCTTCTAAGATTTTAGTTTTAGTGTTAGAGTGTTGTCAAAAACAGACCTCGAGTTGTGTTTTGTTTCATTCACACATGTTTGGGTAACCCTTTATTATTAGTTTGTCTACATCTCCAAAGTTCAAAATGCTCTGTTCCACCTTGTGATGTCATATCATCAAGATAACAGCTACATTTTACCTTTAGTTCAGTAGAGATCAGCAATTCCAGACCTGAAATTATCCAAATGATTCCAGTGAAGGTGTATGGAATTTGTATTAACACATGACATCACAAGGTAGAGCAGAGTGTTTTCAGTTTGAGAGAAGAACTCAGCCTAAATACTCTGTTTTTGTGTGTTAAATATGTGTGCATGAAACAAAACACAACTCCAGGTCTGTTTGTGATGAGGTCAGAAAATATCCTAATATCTTGTAATACTGTAGGTCCTGTAATCAACACCAAGTAAAAGTACACAGAAGGAGTCAGGAATGCTAGTACAAGGAAGAAATAATGTTAAATAAAATGTTTATCATAATTTTCTATTCGATTATTTTCTTTTCTATTCAAAACAATTATTCTATTCAAAACAATTTTACTGAATACAAAAACTATCATGGCCATTATTCACAAAAATCTCAAATTTCTTTCTCCAAATACTCAACATTGTTCCAAACCGCATGCTTTACTGACAGAGGACTGGCTGTAGGACAATCATTTTAAGACACTTTGTTGGAGCTTGGGAGACAGTTCTTAACCTTTGGAGGCAAAGTGTTTTGTAGGCTATGAACTAGAAAGCAGGGGGTGTGTATACTTGCCAGATTAAGTTGCATTCACATGACATCATCACATTTTATTATCCCCGTAGTTTAATTCTGAGGCGGACAACAGGTCTGACTTCTATGTGTAACTGTCACACTGCAGATTTGTAGACTTGGTTTATAGGTTTTATCTCTGAGGTTGGGCCAGTCCACATAAAAACAAGTTTAGTGTCTGTGTAAATAAACTGATTTTTTTTTTATTATTATTATTTAACCCATCATGATGTCAGGGCTAGGAATCACAGGGTCTTTCACGATACATGACACGATACGATATTATCACAACATGACGATACATGCGATAATATATTGATACTCTGTGATAAATTGGTGTTTTTTTAAGAACCAAATACGTTTTAGTAAGAACATGTCTTTGTTAAACCATTTTGTTTAATCATCAAAACAGTGAATATGTTCCACTAAATAAGCAACAACACAAGTGAAGACACTTAAGACACCAAAAAAATACTCTTGGCGATATATTGATTCAGCAGTTCACAATAACGATACTGTACCAGCAAATTTAGTATCATGATATATCGATATTTTGATATTTTTGCACACCCCTAATGAATATGGAGCGTGTTTGGAGACAAGCTCTAACAAACAGAAATAAAGTTCAACATCTGTGGACCATATGTTTGGATATTTCTTTCAAAAACACAAAATCTCCCATAGACTCCTGTTTCTCCATTTTAATTCAACATTCAGTTCTAAAATGTGAACACAACCAATTGATACTTTGCAGTGACACCACTCTGGGGGTGTTCTATGGTGCAATGTTCAGCGATTACCATGGTGACACAATGCACACATGAGCAAACACTGGCAAAAAAGCTTTATGAGAAAATAAAAAAGGATTTAAACAGTACATTTTCAGGAGCTTTGGGTCAATACGAGCGTTCATGATCCTGGTTAAGAGTTTGATTTGTTTGACTGTTGGCTAATACTAGCAAGCTTGGGATTGTAATTTTATGTGTGAGAAACTCATTTGAAATCCCCAAAACTCACCACAGGGAACGCTGACAACATCAGCTGCAAAGTATCAATTGAACTATGCAAAGCTAGCCTGTGGTTTTGTGAGGTTTTCTTATAGTTTAGTGATTTTTACCATTCAGTTCTTGTGTTTCAATCTTTCATTACAGTTGGAGTTTTTAGGGTCAGACTACTATTGTTGTACATTTGTCAGTGTCTCAAGCCTAGCCAAACAACTCTAGCCAAACAACTATTTTCTTAACAGTGAGTCAAAATAAGTGATTTCTAAGTTTTACTCAAGAGTACTGTTTGAAGATCTTCATTGTGTTTACTTAACTTTGGTCAGGTTTTGGAGGAAGAAATCTCACTTTGTATTTAGTAACTTTTCTGGTGTTACCTGCTTGTTTCCATGGAGATGTTCAACAAGGAAACAAACTGGAAAGATCCACAAGAAGACAATTATCAGGTTGCAGGCCCACCACCAGAAAAGTTAGATAGTGCACCTTTAGTTTTCTGTAAACTAGTACAGTTTACACACATAAAAGTTTTAAGACAGGTTTAAAATCTAGTGCAAATATAAAGCTACCACGCCAACTTGACCACTTGACATACCTAAACTCATTTGTTTCTCAAAGCAGGCTTATCATTTGAATGTGTTTAAGGCTTTGTGGATGTCTTTCTATCCACAAGTAGTGATTTTGGTCTTTTTTTCATTTTTGGTTCTCTGGAAGTTTTTTTGTTTCATATGGTTTCAAATTTCCTGTTTAAAGGTGCCATTTTGAGCACCGAAAAGATATAATATTTGTTTTTAATTGTTAAAGAGTCCATATTACGCTATTTTCTAATTTTTGTTTAATAATGTTGTTTTCTCATCAAAAATATTCCTGAAGTGTTTTGTTTAATCCACACATGTTTAACACACACTCATGCACCCTGAGTTCTTCTCTCAAACAGAAAACACTCTCTTCCACCTTGTGATGCCATGTGTTAATACAGAAGTCCTCCAAGGTGTTTTAAAACTCCATACACGTCACTAGAATCATTTGGAACTGTCAATCTCAACTGGACTAAAGGTAAAATACAGCTTTTAACTTGACAACTACCACTTCATGACATCACAAGGTGGAACAGAGCATTTTGGGCTTGGAAATATAGACAGCCTAATCAGCCAGGATTACTCAAATATGTGTGAATGAAACAAAACACAACGCCAGGTATGTTTTTGATGAAGTAAAAACAATATAATATGGCTTAAAAACTCAGCCAATTTTGTGTAATATAGGATGTTTACTATATTTTGTTATTACTCTGAATCCCATAGGTAGCTCTGTAAAGTCACATCCCGACCAAACCATATGGATTGGAATAAATATAAGCCAATTCACAATATATGGCAGTACTTACTTCTCACACCGAGTTCTTCTTATTAACTGCCTCACCAAACCATACTGGACACCACCAGAAATATAACATTAAATTAAAGTAATGATGGATATTAAATATGCTACGATACAGGTCCGGGTTTATAGGGGGGCAAAAGGGCCCATTGCAATCTCAATTAAAAGAGTTTGCACCCTCACTTCAGGCAAATAAAATAATGACACTTAATGGGAGCAGGGAGCAGGTACTGCCGCACATCAAACTGACAGAGGTGCATTTGAATTTCAAAGGGCTGCTAATACTCGTTTGTTGTTTTAGGTATGTAAACGATGGTGAAAACATTTTTAACTGAAGTTGCAATGCACCCCTGCAGACCTGGGCCTGAATGGACGCATGAGAGTAGGTAGAGTTCAATTGCAAAAAAAAATATTTCTTTTTGTCACTATATTCTACAGATATCATCGATGACAATTATATTCAGTGGCTTTTATCAAGGAGGGCTGGAATAAAAAAAAAAAATTTAAATGGCACTTAACTGCTTTTGCAAATTAACTCTTGATATTACATTTGCACCCCTTTGAAAGTCAAATTTAGCCTTAGTCAGTTTGGTCTGCACCAGGTCTGCCATTGTGCCATAAACTTTGTAAACATGAGATCTGTTATTTTGGTGGATTTTACCAAATATAGAGCGATTTCAAAAGGGTAATAACATGGCAGATAGTATTTATGAATACTATAGCAGAGATGTTATGTGAACTATGTGATGCATAGCGAACTGTATGTATTCATAATAGTCTTACAGTTTTTTTTCAATGGTTTTTCTTCTTTTTTGTTTATCTTGATTTGGTTTGATTTTATTCAGACTTGTATCTGGACAGGGACACAGGTGGTCAAATCATTAGAAATGTTTTTCATGAGTTCAATCAGTTTTCAGGCTCTTTCTCAGAACACATAATACAGCTCTCATTCATAAACATACATGATCAGTGAATTCTCCTTGTTTTTCAGTACACATGGTGAAGCACTTTTGTCCAAACACAGTCACTTTCAATGTACACATTCAAATATTAAAGCAAAAAAGTACAATTTGTGAGCACCAAGAATCTATCAACAAATACATGAATCAAACAATGAGAGGGGCCTCAGACAGAACAGACTGAATGAATGCAGAGACATCCTTCACACTGTGTACTGTAGATCTGGTGTGTTGTGGTGTAAATGTCACACATGTTACATACAACAAAAGCAGTGTTGATGAAGTGTCGATTTGCTATTCCAACATCTTCCAATTTCCTTCATCATAAACTTTGTCTTCATCATGACTTTGTCTTTGATCACATACTACACAATCTGGTTTGTGGATTAGTTATGTCCCCATTTACTTTTCATTTATTTATGCAAAATACAGTGCAGTTTTTCCAGTCCAGAATTCATATATGTAAAGTGTGCTCCCCAATGGGCTCCCCAAAGGCGGACTGCACTAAACCAGTGATTCTCTGTGGTTCCTGAGAAAAGGACTAAAACTTCGGAACTGATCTGTCAAATGAATGAAAGAAAACAGAAACGACATCACCAAAGTGAAATAATTTTGGTGGTAAAAGTTGCTTTTGGGAGATGATGGATTAGTTTTGAATGAAAAACTGACTTTTGCTGAGATTAATTTAAATTTTGTTTTGTTGATTAATTTTGTTTAGGAAAAATTTAAAATTCAGTTTAGGATTTTTGTGTGAGCTGTTTTGCAAATGGCAATTTTCTAAAAATGAGCAAAAATGATTTTATAAAAAAAAAAAAAAAACTAACACTCAAGACTGAAGGCCCAGTTTTGTGAGGCAGACTGTACTTTAGATTCCATACATTTTCTTTAATATTTGTTACTTAATTTCAATCCCACTTTCATAATACATTCATTTGATATTCTGTGACACTTGAATTTGAAAACATGATGTCTTTTCACCACAGTGGCCCTGGAGGCGAGTTATTTTAGGCCCAAATAGGCACTTAACCCAAACCCTGTGACTGTCTCTGTGTCTGTGTATGTGTCTGTGTGTGTGTGTGTGTGTGTGTCTGTGTGTGTGTCTCTGTGTCTGTGTATGTGTCTGTGTGTGTGTGTGTGTGTGCGTGTGTGTCTGTGTGTGTGTCTCTGTGTCTGTGTATGTGTCTGTGTGTGTGTGTGTGTGTGTGTGTGTGTGGCTGTCTGTGTGTGTGTCTCTGTGTCTGTGTGTGTGCGTGTGTGTGTGTGCTGTGTAATGTGTTTAGATTGTGAAGACCATCGGGCTGAGAGAGACCTGGTTCTTTGGGCTGCAGTACCAGGACAGCAAGGGCTTCTCTACCTGGCTCAAACTCAACAAGAGGGTGAGATGCACTGTTTGTACACATAAATACACATGCAAGAAAGATATTCATTTTAGATTTGTGTAATTATTTACTCAAAAGTTGGGATGTTAATTGCGCGGTAGCTTAAAAATGTGAAAAACAGAATTACTTCATTTTATTCCTCACTTACCTTATGCTTTTCACCTTGATTAATTTATAAGCACTTTTCACGATTTCCAGAGGTCAGAGCAGAGTTTTGCCATTAATTTAATACTAACAACAACTAGCATGCTAACCGTACATTTCCTGAATGTCGAATAATAAAACGCTTTGTAACTGGATGCAGACAGTACATAGTGGACTAATTTTGACTGCAAGAGTTGCAATGGAAGCTCCTTAAATGGGGAAAAAAAAACGCATACAGGCCCTTTAAGATTGATAAACATGATGATAGATCACAACGTAATGGCAAGAATCAAAAAATAAAAACACTGAGAATTAAAGAAATAAAAATAAGTTATTTAAATGAAGTCCATCCTCCAAAAAAGTAATCCTAAATGCAGTGTTGTTAACATTTATATTTTGTAGAATCTGTTTATTTATTTGACAAAAACTTGTTTTGATTCTTTTCTTATTAAGAATGAAAATCTATTATTGTGTGAATTAAAGCAAATATGCATTTTACTGTTGCTTACTTATATTATTACAATTGTGAACTTTCTTAATAATAATATTAAGACTAAAACTAGATATTGAGACATCTCAAGCTAATAGTTTCATCAGCTGTCACCAGGTTTTTATTTTTACTTTGTTTAATTCCTAATCATATTTTCATTATTCCCTTTGTCCTTCTTTGCCGTGATTTTGTATTAACAAAACCGAAGGTGACATCAACAGCGTCAGTAGCAACTCAGAAGGTTGTGGACAGTTTTTGAAGCTGATTAAAAATGTAATCTATGTGGAGTTTATCATTTAAACAGATGTATCATTATTTGGGGACTACTTTCATCATTGCAGTTTGTTGTTAACAATATAATTTACGAGTACTTTCACCCAGTATAAGATTGAAGGTACAGTTTTGTAACATAATTATACTTTTGTAAAATTAGCAAGGATAACTTTAGACCCATAAATATAGTGTTACTAATAAAAGTCGTGGTAGAAGTCAAACAATGAAGTTAAATAATGATAATTTTTCAATATTAAAGATGCACTAGGTAACTTTTGTGATGATGGATCCACTACCTGCTTGTGTCCATGGAGATGTTATTGCTTTCCACAACCCAGATTTATGTAAACGTGTCTATCTCCATGAAGACAAGTGGGCCACTCCTCCAGGGCAAGTTACAAGTCAGATCTGTGAAGCGGCAATCTGCAATCTTCAGTCTGTAATTTAATAAATGCAATATAGATATACATCACATAGTGCACTTTCAAAGATCCCATATTATTGACTCATGTGAGCTTTAAGCCATGTTATAATGTTATTACCTCATCAAAAACATACCTGGAGTTGTGTTTTGTTTCATGCGCATGTGTTTAAGTAATCCAGGTTTATTAGATTGTCTTGAAACATTGAAACATAGATCAGAAAATAGCATAATGATTAATTAAGTAAATATACCTTCCTGTATCTCCTGCTGTCTAAATGCATTCACTCTTATGCCCCTTTTGCTTTGAGAATAAAAATTCTCTTTACATTTGTGTTTCCATAGGTTACAGCTCAGGACGTGAAGCGGGACAACCCTTTACTGATCAAGTTTCGAGCCAAGTTTTACCCTGAAGATGTGGCAGAGGAGCTGATCCAAGAGGCCACACAGAGACTCTTCTTTTTACAGGTTTGAATATGCAAGAACCAACCCCTGACATTTGCAGAGACGTCCCACTCTCATATTCGCTTCTAAAAACGATGACATTTGCAATTCAAAAAAAGAAAGAAAAAAAAAAAAAGTTAGATGGGAACGCTTTTTATTTTTATGCAATTAATATTACCTCCATCCATAACCGGCAGCGATTTTATTTATTTAATGACTTTGGCAATTTTCCATGCTGAATTAAGTAGTCAAACCGAAATGTAAAATTAAGCAGAAGTGTTATCAAAATGTTTTTATAAGAGAGCACCAGACGAAACAACAAATGTCAAAACAAAATCTGAACTCTTAATGACGAGTGGGGCTGACTCACTCCTCCCATCTCCAGGTGAGGTTTTTGCTGCAGAATACAATAGACGCAGGTGGTTTGGAAACAAGTCAGGACAGTATGCGTGATGATTTATTCAACTATTTTATCACTTTATAGGAGTGGTCCATACTGACAGAAATAGACAGATTATCTTGCTTTTTTATCAGGGGATTGTACTAATAACAAAACACAGAGGAACATGTTGTGTGTCAATACAGAAATATGTTAAATGTGCATGGTGTAACTTTTTGTGTAGTAGGCCCTCATTATGTCATTGTGTCATTATTAACTTGCCTGAAATGAGGGTGCAAACATTTCAAAATAAGATAGACCTGGGCCTGCAAGTATTAGACAAATGAAAAATGACTATAACAAAAGTGCAGAAATATACTTTTTACACCCTCATTCAACCCACTCAGTTTATGCAGGCTTGGTGCTGGCACAATTTAAAGATCACACAATTCTGATGTTTTTTTAATGTTGTTTTCCCATCAAAAACCTACCCAGAGGTGTGTTTTGTTTCATTCATACATGTTTAACACACAAACCATCCACATTTAGGCTGAAGAGGAGAAAACACTCCACTGTGTTTTTAAACCCCATACACCTTCACTAGAATCATTTGGATAATTTCAGCACTGGAATTTCCATCTCTGAACTAACTGTTAACTTGAAAACTATATCTTCATAACCCAGGCTGGTGCCACCTAGTGCCTCCGCTCAATTTCATTTCTCTCCAGTGACTAGGTCATCAATCGGAATACACTAGACGGTTTGCAAAAATCCCAGAAGTGCGAGTTCGGGCACCAGCCAATCATTCTGTGTTGGCAACAATTCCCAAGATCAAGGATTTAAAGCCTGGACAAAGAGAATGTTTGGTGAATTTTATCAAGGGGAAAGACGTTATTGCCCTTCTTCCTACGGGATTTGGGAAAATATACTAGTTAGCCACATTAGTAGTGCATTACATACGTCATGACCAAATAGCAGCGATTGGTTAAATTTAAAAAAGTACCTGCCTACCATCGAGCAAACAAATTCTAATGCTGCGAGGTCTGGCGGTTTCTAAGAAGTGAAACCGTCTGATGAATCAGGCTACTTTTTCATAACATCACAAGGTGGAACAGAGCATTTTGAGCTTTAGAGATGTAGAGAGACTAATCATAAATGGTTACTAAACATGTGTGAATGAAACAAAACACAACTCCAGGTCTGTTTTGAGGACGCTATTATAACATGACTTAAAGATCACTAGAGTCAATTTTATAAATAGGGCCCGTGAAGGTGGACTATATTCACTATGGCTTTCTCCAGAATGTATTGCTTTGCCTGGAATGTTCCAGAGTATGGCATTAAATGTGTATATATCCATGAGAGACGTTGTTGGCCAAGTTATATGATCAAATAGTTTTGAGCAAATTAACAAATACCTGCCAGATAGATAAGTGTAATGCCATACTATTGAGCATTCAGGCAGAGAAATAACATCTCCATGGATACAAATGGGCAGTGTACCAGTAAGTTTACATAATGTACCTTTAATTTCATTTTATTTCATTTTGCTTTTGGAATTCATGATATGATTCAGAGCAGTTGGCATCAGATCCCAGTAGATTAATGCATTAACACTAAAAATTAAATCTTTGTTAATTTATGAATTCATTTTTACCACTTCTTTATGTGAGATGTTACATCATGAAATGTTATGTGCCAGTTTAGAGCCTGTCACAGGAAGATAGCACTTCAGACTTAATTTATGGGCGATTTAGAAGTACGGAGTCACCTTGACATGCATGTTTGAGATGAGGAGCGGGAGCCAGAGCCGCCAGAGAAAATCTACAGGAGAATGGAACAGGTCTGTGATTGAGACTTAAATAATAAACTTGGACATTATGACCCACTGAAATATCAGTATCTTTGCCGAGCTGACCTCATCACAGCTAAGCAAAGCACAGGTATAACTCTACCTTTTCCTGGGTACTGTCAGAATGATACATTTGCCCCTAGCTCCTCATAATGAAAGACTTCCAGCCGTAGGCATTCATAATATAGTGTTCTTTATTTCTCTACTGAAAACCAGGCTCAGTGTTCTACTCCAGGTATAGTATAATCCTGACCTGAGCCCAGGCTCCAGAGCTGGAGATGGATCAGACACTGCTGGTATTATTAACTTGTTAATAGTGCTGTTAATGTCACCTGAAACCTCTGTTTGTCCCCCACTGTGTGTCCTTAAGTGCCACCTTATGCAACTGTGGTAGGTTCAAAAGTGAATTAGCCACTACTACATACTACTACTTCTATTGCAGTAGAAGATGTAAAAGTACAACTTGTACACAATGTGTTAATCTTTTTTTACTTTCAAGGAGAAAATCACAAATGATTATATCTGTCACCTACAGAAGGCCGGTTTCTAACAACAGAACTATTATAATGCTGCTACTACTACTTCTACTGTTACTACTACTACTAGTACTAGTACTACTGCTGCTACTACTACTACTACTACTACTACTACTACTACTACTACTACTACTACTACTACTACTACTACTACTACTACTACTACTACTACTACTACTACTACTACTACTACTGCTGCTGCTGCTACTTCTTCTACTAATCGTTAGTTTAGTTGATTTCTTTTTTCATCAGTGCACATAAAGCATAGACCTACATAAAGAAGTAATATGTTTGTGCGAGGTTATAGGAAGATGGCTCATTTCAACCTCCTCCTCCTCCTCCTCCTCCTACTACTACTACTACTACTGTGTCCCAAACTCTGTATTATGTCCTCCAGAAACAGCATGACCTTATATGACCTTTATAATTCTGCAATTACCATTACTACACCACACCTTTTCAAGCTATTCTGCAGTTAGTAATTTTCTGTGTACTCTTGTAGGTCAAAGAGTGTATTCTAAACGATGATATCTACTGTCCCCCGGAGACGGCTGTGCTTCTGGCCTCATACGCTGTGCAGGTCAAACATGGTGACTACAGGAAGGACTACCACATACCTGGATATTTGGCCCGAGAAAAGCTCTTACCACAAAGGTATGCCGGACAGGGGATAATAGTGTTAGCCAAAGTTCAACTCATTTAACCTTTCCTGCTATTTCTGCCATCGGGATGCTGTGCCGTGTCCTCTGCTCCATAAACCAGGGTTTTGGAGCAGCACAAGTTGAATAAGAATCAGTGGGAGGAGAGGATCCAGGTGTGGCATCAAGAGCACAAGGGAATGCTGAGGTAATACGCTAAAACCTCCAACTTTAAAGAACTTAAAAGTTTTGAAACTATTAAACACAGATGGGTACAGTAACTTAAAAGTGCACCATGATGATAGTTTCAAGGATTTCTTCAGTCCAAGTAAGAGGTAGTTGTCCAAGAGAAAAGTAAAAAAAAAAAAAAAGAGAGAGAGAGAGAGAAAAAGAAAAGTTCAGAAATTATCTGGAGTACTGACTTTACTGACTGAAAGGTTGCCTCAAAATTGTCATAATGAAGTATTGTATTAATATTATTATTTTTTTACTTGCAGTAGGATTCAATTAAAAACGTCTTCAAATATGTGACTAACCACTACGCGTCTATGCTTACTATAAAATGTGTTTATATACAGGGAGGATGCCATGTTGGAGTACCTAAAGATCGCCCAAGATTTGGAAATGTACGGCGTCAATTATTTTAGTATCAAGAACAAGAAAGGATCCGAGCTGTGGCTGGGAGTGGATGCTTTGGGGCTCAATATCTATGACAAAAAAGACAAGTATAACAAAGGAGAACATTTTTTTCCTGTTTTATTGTTATATGATAATGTTGCTTTTTTTTTTTTTTTTAGGATGACACCAAAAATTGGCTTTCCTTGGAGTGAAATCAGAAACATTTCCTTTAATGATAAGAAGTTTGTTATCAAGCCAATCGACAAGAAGTCACCGGTAATTCAACCCATCAAAGAGTTATTGCCACAGTATAAGACAGACATGGATTAAAATAAAACAGTGCATCTATTTTATGAACCCAAGAACCTTTTCTTATCTGATACAACCAGGTCGGTCCAGTTTCCAAGTAAACAGCCACTTTTTTATTTTATTTTTTAAAATTAAATTAAATTAAATTTGTTTTTATTAGTTTTTAATTAATTTTATTAAATTTTATTTTATTCATTTTTGTTTTATTTTAATTGTTTTTATTTTATTTTATTCATTTTTTTTCTATTATTTCTTTTGTTTTTTTATTTCTTTATTTTTATTTAATAGATTTTTTATGAGCTTGTTCTTCATATATGTATGGATGAGATTAATTTACAAAACAACTGTTCATCTTAGCATTCATCGAAAAGCTAAAAAAATACAAAAATACTAGTTAAGAAGTTTACCATCAAGCCAATCAACACAAAGTCACGGGTAATTCAACCCATCGCAGAGATATTTATTGCTATGTAAAGCACACTCTGATTACTGCAAACAATGCAGCTATTTAATGTACATACTATGAACCCAAGCAGGACTTCTTATCTGATAACTTATTTTTTTATGTCTTTATTTTTCAAGCCAATTGACAAGTCACCAGTAATTTAATTCATCCCAGGGTTATTTATTGCTACAGTATAAAACTGCTAACAATGCAGTACTGATACTGATGCTGTACAGTACTGATTACCAGTGTTGTGCATGAACGAGTTCAAAAGAACGCGTTCATTGAACACGTTCATTTTTCAGTGAACTTTGAACTGAACGCAACACTTTTGTAAATCAAGAACTTGAACGTGAATTTGTTCAAATTATGTGTGATGAACGACGTACATCACTGTTGGGGTTCAGTTAAACGTCGGAATTTGACGAGTGACGATCTGCTCGCACTTCACCTCGCGAAACCACAGCCGCGTGTCAACGCGAAGGCGACTCCACCGGCAGCTTTAGCGGAACGTACGGGCTCTTGTGTCTCTCAATGGGAAAGTCAATCAAACTTGACTGGGTGCGTTTAGCTGCTTGTATTTACCTTCTGTACAGGCTGACCACGGCAAACGCAAGGATTTCAAAAGTTAATTTCAAAGCACTAATTAACAGTGTATGTGGATCTGGGCTCTTTCACATGATACACAACTGCCCAGGGAGCACAATGTGCTGATGGTAAATGCACAAATACAACAATAGATACATGCTCTCTGTGTATGTTGACGGGGATACGCGCCTACGCTCGTGTAGAGCATCAAAAAATAGGATGTATCCTATTTTCTGAAATCTACACGTACAGGACGTGCTGCTCCGCGCGCTTATTATTTACTTACTGGTACATATGTCAGTAACGCGCGTCACAATGCTTTTTTAACCTGGATTGAAATGGTGGGTTTTTCGTTTTTCTTCATACAAATTTGCTAAAATCACCGCGATATCAGCAGCGGTGAAACGCCGGAGGTGCGCCCGCGTAGACCGTGATCCTGAGCGAAAGGACCGACGCAGAAGTCCGCGCTCCACCGAGATAAACGCAGCTTATGCCCGATCGCACTCGGGGTTCTCTCAGGGGCGGTCCTAGATTCCAAGTTCTAGTCCAGGATTAGTCCTGGTTTGGTCCTGGTTTAGTCTTGGTTTAGTCCTGGTTTAGTCCTGGTTCAGTTCTGGTTCAGTCCTGGTTTAGACCTGGTTTAGTCTTGGTTTATTCCTGGTTTAGACCTGGTTTAGTGCTGGTTCAATTCTGGTTCAGTCCTGGTTTAGTCTTGGTTTAGACCTGGTTCAATTTTGGTTCAGTCCTGGTTTAGTCTTGGTTTATTCCTGGTTCAGTTCTTTTTTAGTCCTGGTTCAGTTCTGGTTTAGACCTGGTTCAGTCCTGATTTAGACCTGGTTTAGTCTAAAATAAATGCAGCCTTTCATTTACAGATCTCACCTAAATATAAAATGAACTGAACTTTGAACTAGTTCAAAATTAAAATTGTGAACTATGAACGTGAACTATTCATTTTGAACAAGTGTGAACTGAACTTTGAACTAGTTCATGAAAAGTGTGAACTTGCACAACACTGCTGATTACTGCTAACAATGCAACTTTATCATACAGGATTATCATATCTTATCTATCGTATACTTATTTCTAGGCCCAGTTTCCATGTCAACAGCTTTTTATTTTGTTTTATTTTTTATGCTTGTTCATCATACACAGTCTTTATTTATTAAGCTTAATTTACAAAACAACCCAGCGTTCATTGAAAAGCTAAAAAATATAAAAGTACTAACAGTGGCTGTCAAAATTGTTAACAACGTGCATTTAGATGAAATTGCTGTTGTTGTAGAAATGGTTACAATAGCCATAAAAATAAATTAAATTCTCTGTAACCCTGAACCACCATAGCATACTGGAAACTAGCCATCAGACTTTCTCAAAATAGCAGCAATAAAATCAAAATGGCCTAAACACAAGAGTGCCAGAGAGATGCGTTGTTGTAATTGCTTCAAATTCTGAACATACCAAATATTAAAGTTGGATAAAACAGGTGAACTCACTTGATCTCATATTTGTTGTCCTCAGAGCAGCACCTGTGCAAAGCATGGACCATGTGAAATGAAAATGTTTTGAACTAAATAAGGCTGTCTGGACCTGTTTACCTGAGCTAAATGTACTTGGGATGAATTTAGAAATAGATTTTAGACTTACATGCTATGCCATTCTTGTGTTCAAAAGCTACCACTTGCGTTAAAGGTCCTATATTACCATTATTGTTACGTCCTCAAAAATATACCTGGAGTTGTGTTTTGTTTCATTCACACGTGTTTGAATAATCCTCTATTATTAGTCGACATCTCTCAAGCTCAAAATGCTCTGTTCCACCTTTTGGTGTTATGTAGTGGTAGTTTTCATGTTAATAGCTACATTTTAGCTTTAGTTCATTAGAGATTGGGCTATTCCAGGTCTGAAAATGGTTCTAGTCAAGGTGTATGCAGTTGTGTGTACAGTGGAGCACTTCCTGTATTACCACATGACATCACAAGGTGGAACGGTGGATTGTTTTCTGTTTGAGAGAAGAGCTCAGGCTAAATATGCAAGGTTTGTGTGTTAAACATGACATAACTCCAGGTACAGTATGCAGTATACAAAACATAACTCCAGGTACAGTATGTTTGTGATAAGGAAACAACATTAGAGCATAGATCCGAAAATAGCATAATATAGGACCTTTAATGGATAATTATGCTAATGGAACAGAAGCCTGTATTGATTGCAGGCTTAAAACTTAAAACTTTTTGATAGTGTTTGCTAATGTGTACATTATGTCACTATAGAGCAGGGGTTTCCATCCTTTTTCCTCCTGTGAGTTACTTTTACAAAACGAAAATGTTCAAGAGCTACTGGTTTTACTGGCCACAAGAAATGTATTTATATAAGAGCCACGGCGAGCCTTAGATGAGGTACAGTTAAATGCCTATAAAACATAAACCATTATCCACTTAGTGTACAAAGTTAGGCATCAAAATGATACATGTACTATGGTAATAGGCATTTAATCAATCAAATTTTACTTATTTAGTACAATACGTGTAATTGAGAAATCCCTTGGCGAGCTACTTGGAAGGGGGTGGAGAGCTCCCAAGCTAAAAGTTGGAGACCCCTTCTATAGAGATATATGTAGAACACCCCCAGGGTGATGTCACTGTCAGGGGCTTCAATGGGTACTGTTTATTCAGTACCCAGGGCAGGGAGGGGCCCTTCATTAAATTAGTAATATACACTTTTCATACCAAGATGATTTGTACTCAGGTCCCAGAACGCTCCTGGTGCAAAGTATCAATAGCATTTATTCAATTACAGCTGTTTTAATTGCACAAGTATATCTTAAAAAAAACAAGACAAGACTTCACCAAGAAGAATCTATATAGTGCAGTTTAATAATCTACCCTCTACCATGGAGGCCATATTTGATTAATTTTCTCTTCCAGGACTTTGTGTTTTACGTTCCTCGTCTTCGCATTAACAAGCGCATCCTGGCTCTGTGCATGGGAAACCACGACCTGTACATGCGCCGCCGAAAACCAGACAGTATCGAGGTGCAGCAAATGAAGGCACAGGCCCGAGAGGAGAAGAGCAAGAGGCAGATGGAGAGGTGCGCTCGCCAAGGCAACCAGGCACAACCACACCATCCACGGGTTCTTTTCTATTCACTTTAGTCTCTGTCATTTGGATACTTTTCATAAGGCAGCTCCAAAAAGGGAAATCCAAGTTTAATTATTTGTCAAACCAGAATGTTAACACTTGATATTATGCTTGCCCCAGAATCTCAATAGGTGGTATTAAAGGTCCTATATTATGCAAAATGGACCCTTGTGAGCTTTGAGTTACCTCATCACAAACATGAGGTGTATTTTGTTTCATTCACATGAGTTTGAGTAATCTGCATTATTAGTCTGTCTACATCTCTAAAGCTCAGAATGCTCTGATCCACCTTGTGATCTCATGAAGCTGTAGTTTCAAGTTAACAGCTACTTTTACCATCTGTTCAATAATTCTTGGTCTGAAATTATTCACTTGATTCTAGTGAAAGTGTATTAAGTTTAAAAACCCAGTGTAGCACTTCCTGTATCACCACATGACATCACAATATAGAACAAAATGTTTTCTGCTTGAAAGAAGAACTAAATATCCAGGTTAAACGTGTGCATGAAACAAAACATAACTCTGGGTATCTTTTTGGTGAGGAAACAACATTGCTGTAACAACAAAATGGCATAATAGAGGCTCTTTAACATTAATATTATGTTGAAATCTCATATGGTTAGGTCTGGATTACTGTACAGTTTATTATAAATAGGCCTAACTGAAATTACTTTAAACCAGGCAGTATAAACCATGCATTTGTCATTTTCTAGGCAAATTCTCAGGTACCTTCCTTCGAAAAGTTAAAGGGCATGAGAGGTTTTCATGATCTGTTTATTTTTTTCTCTTCAATTATTACTACTTACTTAGAAGGAAATTATAGGTCAAAATCAGTCAAGAGGCACTTGAAAACATTGAAAAATTACATGAGGTAGAGATGTGTTATAAAAAAAATTCCCTTTATGTATCAATGCACAAAGATTTTGCCACGTGTTCTGTCGTCCAGTAGCAATAATTGTGTAAATGAGTAAGGATGCACCGATCCAGCTTTCTCTGTTCAGATACCGATATCGATGATTTGGCTTTAAGTATCTACCAGTACTCGATATCAAGTGATACTAGGGCAGAGACTGAAAATATAATTGATTTCCTTTAAACGCAAACAATGTATGGTAAAAATGATTCAAATGTGTTTTATAACAGTTATTTATCATTTACAGTAATTGGAACAGCTTTGTGAAAATACAAGTTTAATAATATTGTGAGACATTGGATAATATTTTTTCTTATTTATAGATCAAAATGGGATATTGGCGGGACTGATATTATGGAAGCCAATACCCAATACACTAAAATGTTCAATTTTGACGGCGTTATTTAATATCAGTATCGTATCGGTGCATCTCTTTGCTTTGGCCTTTAGTCACAGTTTTGGAATCATCTCTATTTCACATCTGCTGCCCATGTCCAATGGGGGACTAAAATTATCAACTCTGCCAAAATTGCCCAACTAAGGGAAACTTGGCAGGTCCATTAAGACATTTTAAATCTTAACTATGTTTTAGAAAAATGATTAGTATAACAGCACATAAGCAGTAAGCATTATAAACAATGGGTCTTTACAATATAATGAGAATGAATGAACATGAGCTATTTAACACTGTGGAATATTGCGTGATCTCATTTGGAGCCCAGACATTTCTTACAGTTTGCAAGGTGTTCTCATTGCTTTAAGGAGGGACTGTCAGGAGATTTTCAGCTTTATTTTATTTATTTATTTTTCATATTTTTGATGTGTACTTATGCACAATTCTCCTGTCAGGGCTCTACTTGAGAGTGAGAAAAAGAAGCGCGAAAATGCTGAGAAGGAAACAGAGAAGATCGCTCGGGAGACCATGGAGCTGATGGAGAGATTGAGACAGATTGAGGAGCAGACAAAGAGAGCTCAAGACGGTCTGACAACTTTTTGAATACAAATGTTCCAGCCTGATTCTCTCTGAGGAGATCTGAAAAAACTGTCATTGGTGTTCACGTTTGAAGTTGCCCATATTCTCAAACCTGTGCACTGTAGACTGTATGTACTGTAAAGGGAGGGTTCTCAAACTGGGGGGCTAACACCATTCTCAAGAGTCATTTGCAGTCCATGTTACGAATCTGGGTTTACTCCTGGTTTAGACTTTATTTAGACCTGGTTAATGATGCACTATGGAACTTTTCTGATGAAGGGTCCAATACCTCTTTGTTATGGAGGGATTACAGCATTGCCTTGAATGTTCCACAGTATGGCATTAAACTTAACTGAAAGTTAGGTGATACTTCCAGGTCTAGTAGCAGGTCAGATCTGTGGAGGGGCGTAATAGCTCAAAGTCACTGGAAAAAGTTCAATGCCATACTGTAGAACAATCCAACCAAAACTTTAAAGGGACAGTCCGGAATTTTGGACATAGGACCTCACCAGAGTGTTGGAGATGTGTAGAGACACTTCTTAAAATATTCCATCCAGTCCTTGTATTTGCAGAGGTCGCTGGTGCTAGGCTAGTGCATGTCAATGGCCATAGTTAGCCTGACATTAAAAACAGTCTTACCCACTCCACAAAGCACCCGAAGCAAATCCATTATTATGTCAGCCTGTCGATGTAAATGTCTGTGTCGATAGAAAAATGTTTGAAATAAAACTAATCTTGCATTGCATTAATCGTCGCATGTTTAGGGACTATTTTCTCATATATCAGTCTGCCGCTGCCAAGCTTCGTATCAGGAAGTACAACTCGCTGCTGCTGCTCAGACATAAATCCTTCAAATGCAAGGTTGGTTTTACTTCTAAAATTATTCTATCAACGCAGACATTTACAGTCTGGTGTAATAATAGATTTGCTTCGGGTGTTTTGTGGAGTGGGTAAGACTGTTTTTAGTGGCAGGCTAACTATGGCCATTGACATGCACTAGCCTAGCACCAGCGACCTCTGCAAATACAAGGACTGAATGGAATATTTTAAAAAGTGTCTCCACAGGTCTCCAACACTGTGGCTCACTAGGAAATGAGGTCCTATGTCCAAAATTCCAGACTGTCCTTTTAATATCTCTATGGAGACACGTCCCTCCACTAAATCAGTTTATTTCTGGTTTAGTGGAGGGACGTGCTCACTCACAGTAACTGGAAAAAGCTTAATGCCATACTGTGGAACATTCCAACCACAAAATTTGCATCTCCATAGAGGCAAGCTGAGGGGTTTCCCACCACAATATTAGTTTTTTCCTGGTTTAGTTTATTTCTGGTGTAGTTCTATTTTAGTCCTGATTTTACCTTGGCTGTGTTTTTAGTTACGCAATCTAGAATCTGTCTTGTTAAGACAATTTTTATTTCTGGTTAAGTTCTAGTGAAGTTGTGGTTTGTGTCAGTTTATTACTGGGTTTGACTTCATTCTAGTTTAGTTAAAGGTCATATATTATGGAAAATTTACTTATGTGAACTTTTGGCCAAGTTATAATGCTATTACCTCCTCAAAAACATACCTGGAGTGGTGTTTTATTTTGCTCACATGTTTGAATAATCCTTTTTTTATTAGTCTGTCTACATCTTCAAAGCTCAAAACACTCTGTTCCAGCTACCTTTTACCTTCAGTTCAATAGAGATTGGCAGTTGCAGGGCTGAAATCATCCAAATGATTCCAGTGAAGGTGTATGGAGTTTAAAAACACAGTGGAGCACTTCCTGTATTAACACATGACATGTGTGAACAAAACAAAACACAACTCCAGGTATGTTTGTGATGAGGAAAACAACATTATAACATAGATCTGCTTTTGTTTTAACTTAGTCCTGGTCTAATTCTGCTTTAGTTCTGGTTTAGTCTTGTTTGAATCCTAAATATTTCCTCATTAAGTCTCTATTTTTCTGTTATTTATTAATACTTATTCTCCACCTCTCACCATCCCTGATCTGTGTGTCTCAGAGCTGGAGGAGCAGACTCGCCGCGCTCTGGAGCTGGAAAAGGAGCGCACCACGGCCCAGGAAGAAGCCGAGCGTTTGGACCAAGATCGAAGAGCCGCAGTTGAGGCCAAAGCTGCGCTGCTCCACCAATCAGAGACCCAGATCAGGAACCAGGACTGTCTGGTACTGACAGACACAATACTTTGTCTTTTTCAGTTTAGAATTTTTTTTTTTCCTTCTGGGGTTGCTATAGTAAATTATCTGCCTCTCTTCTTTGTGTGCAGTGTTTTGCATATTCATTTGGCAGGAGAATCTTCACTCTGTTTGCACCACATTCTATTAATCTAGCTTTAGGACTGGCCTGCAAAATACATTGGTTTGTGGAAAGGAATGACAGAGAGAAAGAGAGAGAAACATGTGCAATTGGCTAAACCTACAGCAAGGTACTCCTGACCAAGATCCCTGTTCATGATCTGGAGATAGGAAAAGAAAATCAATTGTCAACTGTTTTAGAGTTAAATAATTTTGCTCGTCCAAGTAGCTTCTTCAGCCTTGATAAGCCTGGGTGTAGTACAAAAGTCTGGGCCCTGAGTACAAATCATCAGTATTACATGTTCTCTATATAAAAATTGCATTGTACACATTTTGTGACAGGCCCCTCACCGCTATGGGCCCTGGGTAAATAGTACCCCCCCCCCCAGCGCGACACTCCTGCTGATTAGTGAGTGACTCCCTTTAAGTCTTATCTGCCTTTATTTCTGAAGGGAGGAGCCAACTGCAACTACCTCAACTAAGAATCTGTTATTAGTTAAGCCCCTAACTACCCTAAGGTGTGAACTATCTTGTGAGTCATATTTTACGAAACAGTTCATGCTCCTAATGAGTCATCTAGCTCATATTCACTCTTTCCAACATGAAGTCCAGGCTAACAACATCACTATATATGTTATTATTATTATTATATAAGGTGGACACAGAGCGCAGTTTGACTCCTAGTGTCATCATAGATATATAAAATAAAAACATTTAATTTTGCAACAGAATTGTGCATCACCTCTGTTTACAATGTGATTACTCGGTGGCGTAGAATGCATGAGGGCACAAACCTTGCATTGATGACTTTAATTAAAGGTGCACTCTGAGCTTGGTCTTGTCACCTGCATGTGTTTGGAAAATGTTATTGTTTTGTCTGGAAAATTCCACGGTATGGTGTAAACATATCTATCTTTCATTTATTCAATTACAGCCATTTTGGTTTGGTGGAGACGCTTGATTATCTCTGTTACAAGTGCAACATTTTATGCCACAAAACAACATCTCCATGGTGGAAATGTTTCGAATGCTGCACTTTAAAACATCCATTGTGCCACTTTAATATGAATGAATACATTTCATCAGTCAATTTCAGTACCACTGGTTACCATTGTAAAGTTTTGTAACTGAAACAGCATTCACCCCTCAACGAGATCATTATCAAGTTTAAGTTCACCTCTCCGTACTGTATATTCTTCCAGACAAAATGTTCTAAACTGGTCTGTAACCTTAGATCACCAGAGCAGATTCTCCGTGCTACATAGAGAAGCGTATATCTTTATCACATATCGTTAGGTTAAGGTTCAGGTACACTTTATTGTTCCAAGGACCCAGCTCCGTGATCTTGTTACTAGGCTTGGTCAGTGTACTACCTCAGCTGGAGGATTTTAACCTATGGTGCATGTTTGGGGTTGATGGGGGAAACTGGAGTGCCTGGAAGAAACCACCACACAAACAGAGAGAACATGCAAACTCAGCCACCGTACCATCAATACCATACATCATTATCATATATACAGTAGAATATATCGTTATCATAAATAGAGTAACATATGTCTTTATACAGCAGTTCCATATATCTTTAGCATATATAGATTACCATATATCTTTATCGTATAGAGTAGCAAATATCTTTATCATAATGTAGACAAATGGGCGTCAGTGTCTCGAGGGAAGAAGAGAAACTGCCCTTTGCAGTGCTGCTGCATTTAAACATGGCAGTGGTGGTGGCGAGAGTTGCGATGCGCGATCACACATGGTCTCCTCAGCACACACATGCATGCACACACACACACACACACACACACACACACACACACATGGGCAGTGACAGAGCACAATGACCCCAGAGCAGAAGGACTCTTAACTTCTTTTTCCATTTGTGTGCCTGTGTGTGTATAGGCCACTGAGCTGGCAGAGCTTACTTCTAAGATTTCCCAGCTGGAAGACGCCAAGAAGAAAAAGGATGAAGAGGCAAAGAGATGGCAAAAGAGGGTGAGGATTAATGAAAGAATCACGAGAGAGATAAAGAATGAATCAAACATGAGCTGAGATGTTCCCTGAATGGTAGACAAGGTAAAAAGAAGACTCTTTTCGTACTTTAAGACAGAGTTAAGAGGCTAAGTGAGCAATTTGTTTGTTGATCGTTTAATTTTGAAGATGGTTTCCAGAAGAACGAAATGTCTAAGGGTGAAATTGGCAGGATATTCTGGCTACTGTGATAATCATATGCATATAACGTTTAACTACATTATAGCACATATAAGTACGTACCTGCTAACAAGACCTGGATGTGTCAGGAAATGATGTTTGATGTTATGTACGTACCTTCAAATCGTTTACGGGCCATGCATTTAATTGGTATTTTTTGCAGCTTAAGTCATCAACGTTCCCTGAAGGTGTGAAGCTAACTGAAAGCACTGCTCTGTTAGAAGCTCTGTTACTCACGTTAGATTTAATCTGAGCTTTATTTTAACACAATCTGACCAGAAAGAGCTGACTTGGTTGGAACTACAAGAGCTGAGACATTTTTTTTAGCCTTTTAGGGGTCCAGGGCCTTTTTCGACATCCCTTCATTCCAACATGCCTCTATTTCGACGTGCAGGTTTTCCGACACTTTTTAGTATCGCTTTCTGACATGACTGCATGACGAATGAAGAAGGTAACACTTTATTTTGGGGTACACTTACTAACATCTCACTACCTCCTAATTTGCATAGTTGTAAATGGCTAATTTGTCATTAATTTGTATTTATTCAGCCCTTATTAATGTCTAATTCCCCATAAGCTTATTCTGCTATGAGACATTTACAAACACTTTCCTATTAATACACTCCTTATTACTGCTTATTAATATGATATTAGGCCATTTTTGTATATTAATTATGATTTCAATAAGCTAGTGTTGTTAAGGACTAGTAGCACAAGAAAAGTAGTTTTTATTCATTTGCGTCAAAAGTTTATTAGAATCATAATTAATGGAACAAAAATGACCTATTATCAAATTAATAAGCAATAATAAGTGTATTAATAGGAAAGTGTTTGTAAAAAAAGCTTATGGGGAATAAGTGCTGAATAAATACTAATCAATGACAAATTAACTATTTACAACTATACTAATTAGCGGGTAGTTAGATGTTAATAAGTGTACCCTAAAATAAAGTGTTACCATGAAGCATAAAGGGCCCATGCAGCCTCTGTTTTAGATTAGATATTTTCCCGAGGGCTGGTCTATGCTCTTTTTTTTTTTTTTTTTTTTTTTTACAATGCATGACTGTTTCCCACAACGATCAGTTAGGACGTTTTCCCACCGTCTGATATCCTATGTTGCCGAAATATTCTCTGACCAAGTTCCCAAACATCTTATGATATATGGGAGTGTAAAACTTTTTTCTTTGTGTTTCTAATATGTGCATTGTGTCACCATGGTAACCACCCCCAGTGTGATGTCACTGCAAATTAGCTATTGACAATCACAGTCGATAGGAAAACTCTTGATACACTTGGATGTAGCAGGAGATCGAGTTCCTGTAAGTGATGTACGATCACTGCTGTAGACATTTACAACACTGAATCACAGTACAGATCAAAAATTTAGATTCACGTTATCAGCCCAATATTCACAATAGCTGATTCATTTGAAATGGACTGACTCAAAATGCGTGAAAAAAATCTGATTCATCATTTCTGTCATTCAAAATAGTCCCATATTTGAAATGACGGTAAGAGGAGCAGATTCAGAGCAAGACAAGTAGCAACAGTGGCTTTCTTGTTACATTTTTACTTTGAAAAAACACATTCTTCAGGGGTAACTTGTATATTAAGCTTTTCCCAAAATCCCGTAGGAAGCAAACATTCTCTTTGTTTTGGCTTTAAATCCTCGATCTCGGGAATCGTTGACAACACTGAATATATGTATCTTCGCTGATTGGCTGGTGCTCGAACTTGCACTTCCGGGGGTTTTCCGAACCATCTAGTCTATTCTGATTCTTGACCTAGTCACTGGAGAGAAATGAAATTGAGCGAAGGCACTAGATAGTGCCAGTCTGGCTAATTAAATGCAGCTGTATCTCAAAAATATCTAGTAAAACAACATAAAAACAATAATATTTCCATGGAGACAGCAGAAAAGTTATGCAATACACTTTAAACTGTAGTGTGATGCCTCTTAGCTGCAACTACACACTTTATTTAGCATTTATAGACCAACATTTTACACTTTATCAAAATGTTTGTGACGATTAAATAAATGTTTGCGACCCTATGGCAGGCTATCATGGCAGAGAACGATCTTGAGAGGACCAAAGAGGAGCTGAAGTCCAAACTGATGGGGGTGCAGATCCAGGACCCCTCCGTGCACCCTCACATGCACGAGCACGATGAGACGGACGAAAGCAGCGCCGAGGCAAGCGCCGAGCTCACTGTCCCGGGGATGGTCAGGGACAGGAGCGAAGAGGAGAGGATGACTGAGGCCCAGAAGAACCAGAGACTGCAGAAGAACCTCAAGGTACTAAACAACAAGTACCTGCTTACAGGCCCTTCTGTTTCTGAGGGAGACTGGGTTTGGTCCTGTTCTAGTCCTGGTTTAGTTCATGTTTAGTCCTAGTTTAGTTTCTGTTTTTATATTATTGTTTGGTGGAATATCAGTGTAAACACATCTTAACAGGTCTGACAGTGCAAATACTGCAAATAGTGTACTACTACTACTACTACTACTGCTACTACTGCTACTACTGCTACTACTACTGTTACTATTGCCACTGCTGCTGTTGCGACTAGTGCTACTACTACTACTACTACTACTACTACTACTACTACTGCTACTACTGCTACTACTCTACTACTACTATTACTATTGCCACTGCTGCTGTTGCTACTAGTGCTACAACTACTACTATTATTACTACTACTACTTCTCTTACTACTATTACCACTACTGCTACTACTACTACTACTTCTCTTACTACTATTACTACTACTGCTACTACTACTACTACTACTACTACTACTACTCTTACTACTATTACTACTACTGCTACTACTACTACTACTACTACTACTAACTGCTACTACTACTACTACTACTACTACTACTACTACTACTATTGCCACTGCTGCTGTTGCTACTACTACTGCTACTCCTACTACTATTACTCCTCCTCCTACTACTACTACTTCTTTTACTACTATTACTACTGCTAATTCTACTACTACTACTACTACCACTACACAACAACAACAACAACAACAACAACAATAACAACAGTGATAACAACAACAACCATGATAGCATGACCTCAGGCATAAAAAAAAACATGGTACTTTGAGCATTAAATGTTGAAATACTGAAAATGAATTTAAAAGTACTAATATATTATGTATAATACAATTTATAAAAGTACTCTCCATCTCTGCCATTACTCCCGATTTGTTTTGGATTATGTGACCAGAAAATGCCCTGAAGCTTTTAACAGTCCAAAGTAGATTAACTCAAAATCAGTCAATTTAGTCAATAATGCCTTATTTAAATAATATGATTGTGTAAATAAGCAAATGAAAGCTTTTAAATGTGTCTCTCTACATTTGTGTGTTTTGACAAATGCAGTGATTTTGACTTTCTGATAGTCTAATTGCCCTCCAAATGCACCCAGTACTAAGTGCACCACATATAATTATTAAACACTGTTCCTTGTTTATTATCATACCATTGTTTTCATTCAAGGTGCAAATCTTATTCAGGTCTAATTTCTATTACAAGTAAATTGAAACTGCCCTTTATACAGCAGCAAGCCAAGCAGGAACTTATTTTTCATCATAATAGAAGATTGAATTTATAAATTTTTTTGATGAAGAATGTACTGTGCAGTACTTTGGTAAAGCTACATGCAGTAACAGTGCTACTGGTACCTGGAGTGGTGCAAAAAAAATAAAAAAAAAAGTGTTGAGAAAGATGTTACAGATTTTAATCATTATAAAACTTTAAACAAACAATTAAACTACCATTCCTTCATGTTTATCCAGTCGAGTTTGGATTTGTTTTCCAGGTTTGATGATAATTCTCAGAAATGTTAATGAATTGCTGAATTTCAAAATATCACAACATACTGACCAAAACTTGAAAGAGATGACGGCAAAATGTAGTTAATGTAGTATTTTGTATTAACACGGTTTGTTGTGATTATGTGAATAGAGGAAAGGCAATGACCTTGCTGCTTCTATAAATGATTACATGAGCTTGTGTCTTCCAGGCCCTCAGTTTTGATCTGGCCGAAGCTGTGGATGAGACCAAGAAGACCCCCCTGGACCTGATCCATGCTGAAAACGTGAAGGCGGGCCGGGACAAATACAAGACCTTACGCCAGATTCGCCAAGGCAACACCAAGCAGCGCATAGACGAGTTTGAATCCATGTGAAACTATGTCCTCTGCATGTATTCATGGAAAAATAAGTTACAATTATTGATATGGTTTTAATCAATTTAAATCCAGGATATCGTTAGATGTATTTATTATTATTATTATTATTATTAGGCTTTTTCAAGGACAGGGGAACTTGTTAAATGAACAGTATGTAATTGATATTTCTAATTGTTCAGTTTAAAGGTGCACAATGTAACTTTGCTGGTGATGGGTCCGCTGTCTGTATGCCTTCATGAAGATTGTAATGCTTTGCCTGGAATGTATCACAGTGTGGCATTAAACTTATTAATCTCCATGGAAACAAGCCGGTAACGCCACAAGGACAAGTTACAGATCAGATTTATGGCAAACGTCTTTTTCAATGTATTTTTGAGCAATGAAAACACTTGTCATAAATGCTACAAATAAGATAAATATTCCAAGCAAAATTATAAGTTTTCAATCGTCCATCAGAAAAGTTACATAATGCACCTTTGAGGGCCCAAAATTCATGAATTACAATTTGATAATCTCATCAAATGAAATCCATTTTTCTTGTGCAGACAGTTTCCAACGGGCTGAACACATTTTATGATGCAATACTACAGTGGAAACACCCTGCCTATATAAATTAGCACCCTTGCTATGGTCTAATCTTTATTTATTTCTTAAAATTTACACTGTAATTACAGATGTTCAGCACTGTTCCTATCAAATAAATATACAAAAACAAACGAATATGTAAATTGCTGTAATTATTTTTTCCCACAAGCTTGTAAAGGGTAATATTACCATAATAACATTAAACTTGAGATATAATAATTTGACCTAAAGTTACATTTTAGAGTGTTTTGTGACGAAAATAAATGATTCTCAGTTTAGGAGTTACTGTAAATCCTTGTAAGTGGATTTCTTGTTGCTATAAGTAAACTAACAAAATAGTAAAGTGCCATAATGGCTGTCACGGTTTTAGTTTGGACCTGTTGCATGACGTTGATGGTATTTAAGTAAGTATTTTGACAATGCTGAGAGCTCGTGAGCTTGTGTCAAATCCCTTTCACCTTTCTCTTGCTGACATCCTCATCCATCATCCCCAGAAATAAACGAACCTTATAGAGTAGCCGGATTAGTCATTTAATATCAGACATAATATTGTTTACATAGTGCAAATCCAATGAGAACTATAATAACAAACTACAACGCGCTGCTGATCCATCCACTTCATTTATACTAACACGGTTATTACGGAACTCTCTAGAAAAAAGTAGGCTATGAAGTTGCGATTGCGGAAGGCTGCGCGCTATTTCATATGTAGAAATTGCGTTTTGTTTTTTGTAGACTCTTTCTCGCGAGAACCCGCAAGGCTTTCTGCTAAGTAACGGGAGGCACGACGCACGTCTACCCACATGAGAGAATAACTAACGCGAGGGCTTACAGTTTCGCGCAAAAACAATCCCGCGTTACAAAGTGCAGAGTCGTCGTGTGTATGGTTCAACTTGTGTCTCTGCAACTTGTGGAGCAGTTCTGGGAGTTCACGCGGGGTAAAAGCAGCAAACACGCACGCACTCGGGACGGGGAAAAGACGGTGACTTTGAAAAGTTGTTGGAAACCCGGTGTGAGACAAGAGGAGAACTATTACAGGATGAATACAAACCCACGTAGGCGACACATGTGAGTGCGCTGAGCTTGAAGACACATGACCAGGCTCGTATGGTTGGGTAGGCGTTTTCCTCTCTGTCTCGCTAGGGTTTCTCTTACCAACTCCTGCCAAAAGTGACGACGCGATTAAAGATGGCCTTTCACGTGAGTCTAACCAATTTAGAAGACAACTCTTTATTGCTGAACGAGGCGGATCGCGTGGATACGACAGACACCTGCGCGTGCCCGAGCACAGTGGAGCTCAGCAAGGCAGTGTCCGTGTCTCTCGGCTTGGATCCCATGTCTTCTCCTCCTCTAAACAACAACAACACAAACGGAAACGGAGGCAGCGGCAACAGTGTGGTTAGTGGCATTGCTTTTATTGAATACTACGCGAGCGCGGAGAACGGCACTGACGACTCCCGCAATATGAACCAGGACGGTGTCAGACTGCTCCACAGAGACAGCAGCCAAAGAGAGGACGAGTTTGGGGAAGTTTGCCACGGCATGCAGCAGGTGAGCTGTATGGATCTGCTGCGTTCGGCGGACGTGGACAGCGCGCACAGCTTTACGCGCGGCCCGGTTATAACGAGAAACGTGGGTCGAGACTCAAACTTGTACATGAACCCGGTACCGGAGCTCCCCGCTGCCCCACACCAGTCAGATGGGATGATACCACTGAAACCATACACTGCCACGACCGCGAACCCCGGCTTGTACAGGGACACAATGAACGGCGTGTGGTGCCCAAACGAGCCCGTGTACTGCGAAGGAACCGACACCGAGCTGGCAGCGGCGGCCCCTTTACCAGCTGGACCGCACAATGGGGTGTGTAAATACTGTAACTGTGTGCGTGGAGCAAGACAAGAGTGCCGCTGCATATGGTACGGAGGCACCAAGCGCGAGCAGCAGGTTGGTAAAGGTGGCATGCGCCCAGAGTATGGCCAAGCGGAAAGTTACCAAAGTGTGGCAGCCCAAGGGCACGCAGCTTGCTCCAGCATCAAAACCGAGCCAGCGATATGGGTGGAATGTACAGAACGCGGCTTCAGGTAATACAAATATTGACTTGGGAAAGCTTGCTCTGTTAGAAGTTATTGTTGTCTGAGATGCGTGTGATTGGCAGATCAGCAGCTCAAAAAAGGGAGTGTCCCGCTGTCAGTGAGAGTATTGTTTGTTTCACCTGCCCTGTCTTGCCTTATAAATGAAAACCAATAGGCCAGTTGTCCTTTGATTTTGTAGCATGCACTGTAGATGAGTCACGGTTACAGTAAATACCACGGTAATTTTGCTTAGTGCTTTATTCCACTGCCCTCGTTTAACCAGTTTAGATTATTCACCGGGTATGTCACTTTTTATTTCGTTCTTCTGATTCCCTGTGCACTGTAACAATATATAGGCCATGAAACCACATGCACTTTAGCAACCCTGTGTTCTGGATTTGGCCTTGGCAAAGCTATGGGCAGTCAGAGAGACTCAAAGTTCAGCCTTTGCTTAACTTTGCGAAGGGGGCTGTCCTTTTTCTGCTGTGTCTATGGCTGTCCACGATTGGAGTTAATATTTCAGGGGCCCGTAAACCGGAGATACACCACCTGCTGTAGCCGAGATGTTTTTGATTCCCTTAAAAAGGCTTAGAGAAACAATTAAATACGTTACGTTTGTTTGCTTGTTCCAGGCGTGAGTACAGTATAATCCAGCAGTGTTACAGGTTAACAATAAAAATACGTCACCTACCTCTTTTTCCCCACGTATTGCCCACATAGTTTGCCATGATTTGCATTTTAATTTGGCAAAAGTTTTATGTCCATCCTGGTAAAATCCTCGTATATAATCAGGCATGGAAGAGTTTTGCCCTGGTCTTGGCAAATAAACATGTTTTAAATGCATTCAGACTTGTTGTACACACGTGTTTGATTGTCGTTTAAAAAAATAACTTTATATCCTTGACCTTTGAATGCTCTGAAGAACACACATTTTAAAAACATCGCTTGCTTGTTTTTGTAGTTTATTGTAATGAGGCTATGTATTAATAAATGAGTAACAGCACAGTGGCAGTTTCCTTTTGTAGTCTCATGGAAATATAGAGAAAAGCCCAGTGTGATCCAGAATTTGATTTTAACTTATTTTATTCTAAAAGAAAGGACAAGAGACAGACATATTTTTGCTTACAAACATTTACTTTGCAAGCATTTCCTTCATAGTGCACTTCCAATAACTCAAACTCAAGGTTTTTGACAATTATGTATGGTTTTATTATTCTTTTAGGGAACATTTACAAGCTGTCATTTTCTTTAAATAAAGCAAACAACTGAGGAAAAATATAGCTTTACACATCCATCAGCCACTTTTATTGACAATGAAAAATGTAATATAATATTTGGTGAATAATAAATATATATGCAGCTTAAGCAAACCGATATAATCACCCAGTTTTTCTTGAGCTGATTCTTGTCAGAAAATAAGTTTTGTTTTTTCATTGATGCAAGAACAATGGAGAGGAGATTTTTCGGTAGAAGAGTTTTGAAACTAGTTTTATTATTGTTATTTATTTTATATGTTAAAAATATTAATTAAAACATCTAGTTTAATACCACTTGCCATTTCAATATAGAATTACTGGTATCTTAAGCATGATGAGATGGGCTGGTTATCACAGGTTTTCTTGAGTGTTACTGTCTTAATCGATTTCAAGTGTTTGCTTTCCAGATAGTTTCATTTAGTTTGGGCTTACACTTACAGTATAAAATAAACAAATTTGCAATTCACTTGATAGATGATACTACACTGTACTGGCTAGCTGCAATTTGTAAATGAATGCAAAGCTGCCCAGGGTCTAAATTCTAGTCTAGTTTCCAGCACCAGAAAAAGTATTACTGCTCAAATTACACACAATTTCTTACCAGTTATAATCCCCATGGGTATTTTTGGTTTAATTTTTGCTGGTTTTGGATGCAGTCATAATCCTGCAATAGTGGTTTAAATTATTAAAGCAAACAGGTCAGCAGCAGGTATCTTAAAGGTACATGGAGCTTTCTGATATGAGGTTAAGTTTATTAATCCCCATGGAAACAAGCAGGTGCAGGTCAGACCTCTTGAGAGATGCCCCCCATTTAATATATTTCTGAGTAATAAAAGAAATACAAGATAGGGGAGATTTCAGACAAAGTGATAACATCTACATGGAGACAAGCAGGTGGCTGAAATGTTACGTAGAGCCCCTTTAAATAAAATTACATGCAGAAGATATGAGGGGAATTTGGCAGAGAGAAGTTGAATACTCCCACTGCACAAAGACATGCATAGGGCACAACCAACCAAAGTAAAGAACGACATATAATAATGACTGTTTTTTACCATAATGCAATGACAGAAAGTCCTCTGCAGGCAACGAAACACTGTAGTTCAGACCTCTACAAATACATTATGAAAAGCAAGTGATTCTTGTATTAGTTTGGTGGTTCATATTTGAGTCAGACCAGTCTTCTCTCATTTCTTTAAATCCTTTTTGATTTTAAAACATGAATTCCAAGTAAAACATAATCTCTGTGGTTGTCCAAAATGCAATTAGACATTTTTCCAAAACTGTTCAGTTTTATCGTGCACATATGTTAAGTAGTTTCCATTCTTATTCAATTAAATGCCTGAATGATTTTCTGTCACATTCTGTTTGTCTCAGTTCATCCTTAAAGATGCTGTACCTAATTTGTACAGAGTTATTTCTCACTAAACTTATGCTTTCAGAGCTTTCCGGAAGTATTCACCATGATGAGTTTATAAGAGGGGGGTTTATTAAAGATAACAACTAGCATGCTAACTGTGAACTTCCTGATTACTGGACATTAAACCGCTTTATATTTAGATGCACACAGCACGCAGAAGACTTATCTGGACCAGGACCTCCTTATACAATATATATTTGTACTGTGGCAGGACACATTTTGCTCAAATACATGGACAAAAATCGGGTAGAGGCCCCAGAGATATGTTTTGTTTCATTCACATCTTTGAGTAACCCAGCATTATTAGTCTGTCCAACAATGCTGAGCTCAAATTGTTCTGCTCCACCTTGTGATGTCATGCAGCGGTAGTTTTCGAGTTACAACCTACCTTTACCTTTTGTTCAGAGATTGACAGGCATACAAATGATAAATTAAGGTGTGACTAGAATCATTTGGATATGACGTACTTCCTGCATTACCACATGACATCACAAGGTGGAAGAGAGTTTTTTCACTCTAACTTTAAAGCCTAAATATGCAGGATTTGTTTGTTAAACATGTGTGAATGAAACAAACACAACGCCTTGTACGGAAACGCTTTCGTAACATAAGTAACTAGAAAAGCACTCAGAGAGCGCAGACCTCCGCCAAGGACTACAGTCCCCCTCATATTAATTGTGTTTTCCATAAATATTTGACTCGTATCTTTCAATTTGGAATATGAAAGAGGATCCCATTGTCCATCCCTGAGTCAAATTTCATGGGGTTTGGTCAATAATTAACCGAGATATTGAGAAACAAAATCTTTGGCCCCATTTACCACAATGTTAACTAAAATTTCAAAGTGATCCAGAATCCAGGATTTCTTCCGGATCACCCCCAAAATGAAATCAGTTCTTCCTTTTCACATTTCCAACAAATCCTGAAAATGTCATCAAAATCGGTCCATTACTTTTTGAGTTATGTTGCTAACAGACAAACAAACAAACAAACAAACAAAAAGACAAACAGACAAACGCCGGCAAAAACATAACCTCCTTGGCGGAGGTAATAAAACAGCTTAAAATCATTGATAGAGTAACTAATAAAGTAAAAGATTTCACAAATTAATGACCATTGATTAACTTTGACCTTTTCTAATCCTCATATTAACTTAAATTAAAAACTAGGAACGAAATGTGCACTATCAGCAGATGCAATTATAGCACTATACGATTAAAACCTTAATTTTAATTATGAGATCTGATTACTTGTGTTTGCTCAGGCATGAAGACCTGTTCCCGGGCGTGTACCTCTCCGATCGGCGCATTTGTCAGGTTTGTGGGGACGACGCTTCCGGGTGTCACTATGGAGCGGTTACATGCGGCAGCTGTAAAGTCTTCTTCAAAAGGGCCGCTGCCGGTAAGACGATAACACACACACTTTAACTTACACATGATAACACACACACGCTAACCATGCCTCTTAGGAACATTACATATAAATATCCATTAATCCAGCTTTTTCAGTTCTGATTCTGATGTTGACACTATGGCTTTAAGTATCAGCCAATACCCGATACCAACCGATACCAGCGCAGAGACTGAAACTGCATTTCAGTTATTTCCCTATACAAAAATAAAATAAGACAAAACTGATCCAGAAGTGTTATGCAGCTGTTATTTATCCCTGAGGTAACCACAGAACAACTTTGTATAAATAAAAATCCAAACATTATGAGACTTCCTTGGCCAACTAGGACCAGTAAATATAGGGTGACCAGATTTTCGAAATAAACAACTGGGAAATCCTAATTTTTGTTGGTGGTTAGTAATGATAAAATTGTGAAATGAGTGCGTAATTAAGGAAAATAGTTATCCAGAGACCATTCGTGACTAACATAGTATAGTCAGTATAGTCACATTTTCTCTGCGTTTTGGTCATTTTTAAGCAGCTTTTCTGTATTTCACCTAAACAAATGACAATGTGTGCCTCTCTTTACTGTTGGCAGGGATCAAATTGGTCAAAAATAGGGACACCAGGGACATTTCTTTTATAAAACTGGGACAAATCACTGGTTTTAGATAAATCTGTTGGGACAGGGGACACAGGGCTCAAAACTGGGACTGTCCTGGGTAAATAGGGACGTACATGAATGTACATGTCCAATCAGGATGTTGTCTGAACTGATATTTGGAACCTGATATCCGATCCAGCAAATCTTTCATCATCAGTGTCAATATCCAGTACCAGTATGAGATCAGTCCACCCCTGACTTACATACAGTAATTTCCAGGAGACTATTCATAATCTTTTTCCCTCAGTTTCAATCTCGATTCAATTTTATGTAGGTTTTGGAAAAATACAATTTAAATGGTTCTAAATACTGGTTTCATGAACATAAATAGTATACACTTCTAAACCTTAACACAATTTAACACACAAAAAAAAAATCACATTTCTTCCTTCAAAATCAGAGCCCCAAAACACATGCTTTTATGACTCATTGTGATTCAAAATCCCCAACAGTATCACTGACGATCAGACATGACGATTCACAGTCTCTCCATCTTTCGATTCATTCCCCAGCCCTATAACTGCACCTCACTTAAATACATGAAAACTCAACAAGACTATTTTAAATGCTCACCTTATGCACTATGCAAGGCAAATGGTGCTCAACTACATGGGAAAAATCTGGTCACTAAAACAAACACACAAACAAACACACACATACACACATTACACTGAATTACATACACTCATGTTTTAGAGACTTATCCTAACCTTAAAGGACCTCTACCTCATTTTTCTTACATAGGTGAATAACAGAACTAGTTTATTTTAAATGAAGATAATCCTCGCCTACCTTGCAAATAATACAAGACAATTTTTTCTCAATTTCATGGAAAAAAACAGGTCTAACCACTTTCACCACAGTCACTACTTGCCTAACTTTATCCCATTTTAGCCTGTATGTACAAAATCTTGCTGTTGGTCTAATAATAAAGGATTTACGTCACAGGGACCTGATTTTTGTCCCCATAAGGGAGGCAGGTTCACCGGATGCGAGTGTGTACAGATTTGTAATGCGATTATGTATCCACCCACACTAGGGCTGCCAAAACAAAACAAAACCAAACATTGAGTAATATTAAGCAGAGATTAAACACTAATTGATACTATTGATAGTATTTAAACCAGTCTTTATTTAGTCGTGTTAAAACGCACACACGCAAAACAATACAAATAGTTTCAGAGTCTGAAAACGTGAGATTATTTGTGTTGAAAACTACTTCCTATTGTAAAATACTTTTAGCTATCAGTGTTCTTTTCAGTGTTGATTATCATAGCTTTTACTTAACATAAAAATCAAGTTCAAACTTTTAGAATCATAAAACAAAACTGTAATCTAAACACAAGCATAGATGATAATGCATAGGTGTTGGTAATATTAATAAAACAGTTAAATTCACAGTGTAAAATTACAACCAAGAGCCATTTAGGTATAGATTAAAATATAATCTAGTATATACAGAATTCTTTCAAAATGTCAACATATTTTTGTCAGTATCATTCCAACATTGAAATATATTTAAAAGACTACTTCAATTATTTAGTAGTTTATAGAATACAGTGCATCTCTTTTCAACGTGTTATCAAAAATCATATTCTGTATTAAGCCTTTTCTTTAATATTGAACTTTTAGCATTGTGTCAAGACCAACACATACACACAGCCAGTCAATATTACTGCTCTGCTTTAATTTATTACTCCCACTCGCCTTGCTGATGCACACAGGACACAGTGACCTAACATTATGAGGAGGGTGAGCTATTTGCCATCAGTAAACACCCACATTTTGTTGCTAGGACTGAGCAAATCCTGGGTAAGGTTGCTGTTTTGGCTGTGTCGACAATGACTGCAAAAAACATCGGAAATTTAATGTTATTGCTTTATTTGGCGAGTGCACTGCCGATAATACAACTTAACTTAAATGTATCGTGGTAATGTCTTAGGCCTCTGTCTGATAGATTTACCCTTTCAATACACTTTTCCATTTTCTTATCAGAGCTGTTATTGAAAATCTATATTGCATAAATGAAACAATGCAGCTTTGGAATCACACACACAAAAACAAAAAAAAATCTGTTGCTTCATGTATTTATTACTTATTTGTAAGAGCCTTTGCTCAAACGCATGGGTTACTTAACAAGTCCCAGTTGTTCATTTCAAACAGATTAACAATTAACATTTGATTCGTAAAATGATTTGTATTTGTTTAACCTGTATTTTACCAGGTGAAACATTAACAGCAAACTACAATCATGACACAGTCTACATTTTCAATTCACTGGGCAATTACTATACACAGTATTTTATTCCAATTGAGCAAAAAGATTAAACTGAGCCAAAATCTGGTTAAAAGTGCATTATATAACTTGTCTTGTGTCTTGCCAAGTTGTAGGTTTTTGCATTAAAAACATGTTAATATGATTAAATGCAAAATAGTTTAAATCGAGATGCTGTGGAGAATCAACCCATGTTTATAAAGTTATTTTTGCGCTATAAAAAAGCTGGAGAAAAGCTTTGCCTGGAACATTCTTCTATATTGCATTAAACATATCTATCCCCATGGAGACCAGCAGGTCAAGCAGATCTGTGGAGAGATATTGTTTTAGTAATTAAATGCCTGTCGAATAAATGCCAGAGGAATTGAAGTGTAATAATACCATTCTACAGAATTCCAGACAAAGCAGTCTTCTTTGAAACGAGTAAAGTTAATTACATCTTACAATTCTGATTCAACTTCAAGCAGATCAAAATCAATGTCAATCTCACCTTCAACTATTTTTAAACAAAGTTACTTTCATAAGTTCCCCTTGTAAACCAACACAGCAGCATTCATATCACAAAAGTAACACCAGTGAGTTTTTCTGGTTAAGCTTGGTTTATCCTTTCGTGAGCCTGAAGTATTATAGTATTAATACTACTGTAATATTTTGTGTCTAATTACAGGTAAACAAAACCACTTGTGTGCGAGCAGAAACGACTGCACCATCGACAAACTGCGACGGAAAAACTGTGCCTCCTGTCGACTTAAGAGATGCTTCATGTCTGGAATGAGTCTGAAAGGTGAGGAAAAGAAGTAGTAAAAGTATATTAGTAGGACAGTAGCAGTAGTGTTGCATTTAGAAGTAGCAGTACAACAAGCAGTAAAGCAGAGGTGTTCAAATGAGGCTCTCAAAGTAAGTAATTCAACCACTATAACATCAGTAAAATCACTTTGTATAATGATACAGACTTAGAATGAATGCTTCTAGTATTATTAAAAGTGCAGCGACCTCAATGATCCACTGTTTTGACCATCAGTTTTTGACCTTTCACTTCGAATGTGTTACAAAATCAGGTCCTCACTGAAAAAAGTTCAGAACAAATTGTATAAAGAAGTGGACTAAAGGAGTGTGCCACAGTGTTCAGCTTTCATACTGAATGGACAAGTAGCAAAATAAAAACACCAGGGTCATGTAGAGCAAGTTATTATAAACATTTTCTAGACCGAAAGTGATGAGGCTCACTGCAGCAGTTACTGTGAGAGAGGTGACAATTTTTCAATGAAAAGTCAATTGGAAAGAGTCGATGTAGCCAGAAGCACCCCCTTGAACACTTCCTATTTGAAACGAGATGGCTAACTATGTCCATTTATATATACAGTCTGGTTTGAACTCCCCTGCAGTAGAGGTATTATACAGTATGTAGTAGTAGTAGCTGTATTAGTCGCAGTTGTAGCAGCAGAAGCACCGCATGTTATAGAAGTAGTTATAATTATATTCTAGTATTAGTTATAGGAATGGGACGAGATCAATTTGTCTTGAGACTGTGCACATGGGGAAAATGGTCTTGTGAGATTTGATCCTCTGCATCGCTCCGGCACTGGAAAACTGCGTAAATTTGAGCATCTGTAGCTAAAAGACAACTCCACATAGAGACTTGTAGCTCATATATTCAGACAGAACATTTGAACCTCTGTCCCAGTTTTTATTTCGTAGGGATCAGACCAATATTGACACAAATAATCGGTGCTAAAGAAGCACTCCTCTTCTGTCTGTGTCCCTCTTCAGGGTGTGCGTATAGTGCAGACAGCAGACAGAGAGGGGAGGAGCTGGAGCAACAGAGAGAACAGAGGAGCACATCCAGTTTTAGTCTAGTAATGATTTAAATAATACAAATGAAGTGCAACCTTCTAGACAAAGCAATAACATCTCCATAATAAAGATGAGCAGCCGGCAGTCCCATCAGTAGCAAAGTTGCACAATGCACCTTACGACTATAAAACAGTGGCGTAGCGTAGTTACGAAAGGTCCTGGTGCAATTTGGTTATCAACGATATGTATATCGTAACATAATATTGAAAAAATAACTCCTTATCTGCATATGGAGAAATCAAATCAAATCTACAAAACAAATAACATTGTTTTTCAAAATAAAACCAAAAATAAGAAATTGAGAAAACAACTATTTTATTCATTATTTGTCTTCAAAACCAAAATGTAAAAAATGGATAACCATTAATTTTTTCAGTTTTCGATTTTGTGTTTAAATGAAAAATGGAAAAAAACAAACAAACAAAAAAAAAAGGATAACGGCCATTTCTCATTTCATCCAATTTTTACCCTTACGGACTGAACCAGGATTGAACCAGGACTGAACTAAGAGTAAATCAGGACTAAACCAGAACTGAAACAGGACTGAGTGTCTGGACGGGCTCGGAGGTGCACCCACGTAGACTGCCGGGTGATCGCAGGTGAAAGGACCTTAGTCTTGGTTTAGTCTTGGTTCAGTCCTGGTTTAGTCCTGGTTTAGTTCATAAGGGTCAAAATTGTATGAAACGGGAAACGGCTGTTATCCATTTTTTACATTTTTCATTTAAACACAAAATCGAAAACTGAAATAACAAACCGTTCTCCATTTTCTCATTTTGGTTTTGGTGCAAATAATGGAGACATAGTTTTTTTTCTTTTTTTGAAAAATTAATGAATGAATGATACAAGGATTATACACACCCGATTATTGTAAATTATGTCAAAAGTCTCATCTCAATCCTGTAGACCCTATATCGTGTCTTGTCTCTTAAAAATTCTCTCTCATCCCATCCATAGTTAATTACAATCGTAGAATTAGAAAGTAGCAGCAAGTATGTCTAATGAGATGCTTGTTAATCAAATAATGTTGAGTATTTTTACTTGAATTATACTGTTTTGCAGTGCTATAACTTTTGCACAACTTTTAAGTATTTCTTGTGAGCCTTCTTCTCTGCAATTGGAAAATCAACAGCTGTCCTTCCCCATATACACAAAATGTTTCTACCAGACTAACAATATGGTATTACCTAAATTCACTGATTCTCAAGAGGCAGACACTCAAAATATAATTATTTTCTCATTTTTTTCTGAAGACAATGTTCTGTTATGTTATATAAAACGGTGACAGAGATTTTTTTATTTATTTATTTTTTAATATGTTGAAAACTAATCCCTACTTGCTAAGAAAGTAGCTGGCAGGAAAACCATTAAGTCTCAATCATATTTGACGGTTAGATCAGTAGCGTACCACACCCTTACATAACACTGAGACGAGACGGAAATAGCGAAATAGAGTGTTAATTATAATGTAGTGTTGTTGCAAGACCAGTACTTGTTTGTATAATCGACTTTTACGACAACAAAGAAAAAGTCATGATAAAGTGAAGTAAAACCTGCCCCGGAGCTTTTTTTTTTTTAAAGGGCTACTGTGTAACTTTTCTGGTGGTGAATCTCCTCGTGTTTATGTCTATGGAGATGTTTTTGTTTTGTCTGGAGTGTTCCACAGTATCACATTGAACATGATCTTTGTCAGCTGAGACAAACAGGTCAAATTGCAGGTCAGGTCAGTGGAGGGGCAAGCCCGTTCACAGCAAGAACTCATGTTTTAGAGCAATTGAATACATGTAAGATAGATATGTTTAATGCCGTACTGTGGAATAGGGCTGCACGATTATGGAAAAAATCATATTCATCAACATTAAAATCATGATTATTCAAATGATTATTTTTTTTGTTACACGATGTACACGATGTATTTGTTCAGCATTTCTCTCTCTTTCTCTCTCAAAAAAAAAAAAAAAAAGTAAATAAATTATTGATAATTTACACAAAACTTTCAAATTGAAAATAATTATAAACTAAAAATATGTACCTTAGAGCAGTTTTGTGATGTACAAAATATAAAATGAATAAAATATACTTTGAACATGAAATAAGGAAAAAAATAGAAAAACATAAATGTATCCAAAATAAACAATATATCTAGCTGTTCTTCAATCTCTATATTTAAAAATTGCTTATTTATATAAAAAATATTAAATTTTAACTATAACAAATATTATTTTACTACAGCTTTATACTTAAAGGTGCACTGTGTTCTAGCTGGAGGGTCTGCCATCATGGAGATGTTGTTGCTTTGTCTGGCATTTTTCACACTATGATTTTAAACTTATTTATCTCCACGGAGACAAGCAACAAGCCAGTTTACAGATCTGGTTTATGGAGAGGTGGGCCCACTTACAGTAGAACGCATATTTTTGAAGGTATTAAAAAAAAAACACCTGTAATTTATATCTCCCTAGCATTTCTCCATGGACACAACCAGGTGCTGAAGTCACGTAGTGTACCTTTTAGTTGCTTTTTTGCTTATGCTTGTTGCAGCTAGAAATTAGTCATGTAATTTAAAGTGATGTAACTACTTCGCATTTCAGTTTCTAGTAGTTTCACTGTAAACAGTCTCGTCCTTGTTAATATGTGTAAAGCACTATCTTTTCATTTGTACCATACTGCAGATGTGAAGAACTATGTGATTTCCAGCTTTATTTTTGTTTATATCTTGCATAGTCATGTTTTCCTTAGTCTAGTTTTTGTACTAGGCAAAAGTAGTCCATAATCATTACATTTCGTGGTACATAGTATGCCCCTGGTTAAATAAATTGTTGCAAATTGAGGGCAAGAGGCTCGTTGTTGACTCCGGGCCCAGCAGCCAAAACTCAGAAACCTTCCCACATGAATACGATAAGCTAGAGCCACCATAGACTCATCATAAAACCAAATGGGCCATTAACACTAAGACTATTCTCGAATTTTGATTATCTAGCCTGCAATTACTAGACGTAACAGCTTGGAAATAATGTCCTCTTATCTTTTTTTTTCAAACTTTTCTTTTTCTGTGTTTTGTAGGTCGCAAGCTGAAGGGTGCAGGCCAGACTCGGAATGGCGAGGAGGAGCTGATAGGAGCGTCCCACTGGGGGGAGAGAGGAGAGAGGGCAGGTAGAAAAGACTTGGAGCCAAGGAGTAGCGCCGTATCCAGGCCCCAAAATGGTGAGACAAACTGCCAAACAAGCGAGATATTATGCAAATGTTTTCAGTGACACCATATGTTGCATAATTATTCACAAGATTTTACAGTTGCCGCTCGGAGATTTATTCAAACTTAGAACATGACTAAGCTGTACAATTACTGCATTAGGAAATCAAGATGAGTTTTCTGCAGTCTCTTGATCATCCCGGTAATTAATTTGTGTGAAATCTGTGAGTGTGGTGCAGTATTCTCAAATGGTGGGGTAGAGATTGGGTACTGTCTGCTCCAGTGGTGGAATGTAGGAAAGTAAAAGTAGCGAAAGTACTGTGATTAAAGGTGCACTGTGTAACTTTTCTGGTGGAGGGTCCGTCACCTCCTTGTTGCCTGGTTCCACAGTATGACATTTAACAGCTCTACCTTACATTTATTCAATTGCAGGTGGTTCTATAGCTCAAAAATACCAAGAAAAACAGGCATTCTGACTGAGCGACATTGTCTTTCCACAGATCTGACCTGTAACTCGGTCTGGTTTGCTCGTCACGAAGATAGAAAGGTGTTAATACCGTACTGTGAATCATTCCAGACAAAGCAATACCATCTCCATTAAGAAAAGAATTTGACAGACCCTCCACCAGAAAAGTTACACAATGCACCTTTAAGTAAAATGTTTAGGTATCTGTACTTAAGTCAGGTTAAGTACAGTTACTTTTCTTTTATTACACTCCATTTGAGAGCAGATACCTTTCTGTTCCACTACATTTTTGAACAGGACTGAAAAGTAAAAGTTTTTTCTTTTTATTGCGTGAGACCTGCTGCTTATTTTTAACACTTTCACAATTACAAGCAAGCAAAAATATAACAACAAATAAACAAATACAACAGCTAGAATAAAAATATCTTTTAAAATACATACTCTTGAAGTACATTTAAACAGATACTTTAATAAGTATACTTAAGTCTATTTTTCATGTGATACTTTTGCTTTTACTTGAGTTTTTTTTTTCTTTTCTCTGGTATCTGTACTTTTACTCTCTGGGACAGCCCCATGCCTGAATAAATGAAGTCAGTTGCATAAAGTATCAAGGCTACTGTGTAATTATTATGTGCACGATCAACTAAACAGGTTAGGCAGGTTTATTTATATAACACAATTTTTAAGTAATACAAATTGCTTTACAAGAAAGCCTTCAAATCGCAATACAAACAAATTCATTTTAAGGGCAGATACTACACTATGTTTTGATCTCTTGTAATGTTGTTGCCTCATCAAAGACATACCTGGAGTTGTGTTTTGTTTCATTTACACATGTTAAACCCTGCATATTTAGGCTGGATTCTTCTTTCAAACAGAAAACACACTGTTCCACCTTGTGATGTCATGTGATAATACACGAAGTGCTCCACTGTGTTTTAAACTCCATACACCTTCATGAGAATAATTTGGATGATTTTAGACCCAGAATTGAAAGTCTTTACTGAACAAAATCTAAAATGTAGCTGTTAACTTGAAAACTACCGCTTCATCATAGAGCTGGGTGATATGGAGCAAAAAATATATCTCGATATATTTTGCTATATCTCGATATACAATATATATCTCAATATGTGTACAGGAAAAATAACTCCCCAAAAACCCCTGCAAAAACAGATATGCCAAATTCGACAAGATTTTTTTTAATTGAAATGCAAGAGGAAGGTAGTTCATGTAAGAACAAAGTGCTTCTGCCACATTTAAGATTACGAAAAATCCTTGATTACATAAATAATAATTTAACTGTAAAATAGAAGAAATAATGCATATTGCCTTCTTTTCATTCATAAATAAAACTCAAGCTCATGTTTGCATTAACTCTGTTAACCGTACAATGACCTTGAGCTCCTTTAGCAGAGGAAGCTCTGGAGGTTCATTATTTTAACAGACCCATGTTCCTCACCAGCGTAAGGAGCTATGAGGCACCCCACAATCCACTGCAGATCCAACTGAACGTTTCCAAATACTATTGTACAAGTTACACTGCAGCAGATTATTCATTAAAATCTTCTGCATAAATAAACTTTACCTGACTACACTTTACAGCATTTAAAGCATAACGACTATAGAGCCACGTCAGCCCGTTTGACATTATAATGTGTTTGATGCAGTTTTGCGCACATATGTTTACGTTTTACAGAAACAAAACTTAAAACTCCATAGCTTATTTGCTTGAACAGCGGCTCGCAACTTGTGCTGCTGGCACCAACTTTCGGCATTCACGGCGGCAGTGAGGAATGAATGAGACACAAGCAGCAAAATCAGGGAGGCGGGAGCGTGTGGAGGCAACGACACAGAAGGCAAACAAGCGAAGCGGTGATATCAGAATTGAATATAATATATCGATATATACGATATGTCAGAATCCATATCGAGTTAAAAAAATATCTCATATTTAAAATATCACGATATTGCCCACCCTTACTTCATGACATCACAAGGTGGAACAGAGGATTTTAAGCTTTGGATATGTAGACAGACTGATAATAAAGGGTTATGTAAGCATGAACGAAACAACACAACTCTGAAGTACTGAGGTAACAACATTATAACATGGCTTAAAGCTCACAAGAGTCAATATTGCTTGATTTTGGACCTTTGAAAGAGAAGAGTGCGGAATAGGGATGTCACAATATCAAATTTTAGTGTTACGATTATTGTGAGAACAATTTAATTGCTATTCACGATTACTGACATATAGCAAAACAAAAGTGAAATCCTTTATTGTCTTTCACCATAACCTATTATCACTCCTCTCGTATATGGCCAGTGTTTTAAAGTCAAACTTTATTGATGCAAAAGCAAACTTACAGTGGTATAAACACTTAAAAAAAGACAAATTTGAAACCTGATAATGTTGACATCCATAGCGCAAAAAAAAACAGAGCCTGGATTTGAACCTTGTCAGTGTAGAGTCTTGTCTCACATTTCTAAAACTACGAAGGAGTGAAGAGTTAAACGTCTGTAAAAACTCTTGTACAGTAGAGTATCTCTACATATCTGTATTGTACTGTTATTGGAAGGACATCACAAAATTATAGAAAAAGATATATTTTAAAAAATTGGATGAAAGTGAAGTCTGTAAGATGTCTTGCCCATACACTATCCCTACATATCCCTATTATTATAGTATTGTATTGTACTCTTATTGGAAGGACATGGTGAAATTTTAAAGATTAAGAATTGGATGAAAGAAGTGAAGTCTGTAAAAAGTCTTGCCCATATAGCATCCCTACATATTATTATAGTATTGCATTGTGCTGGTATTGGAAAGACATTGCAAAATTATAGAAAGAAATCTACAAAATTTGATGAAAGATTTCTTGGTTGCTTTTAACAGGTGATTTTGACAAGTTCACACAGGGCTTTACACAATTGTTGCTTTAACTAACAGAAAGTTTGAAAATTAAACAGTGGAATGGTTGTTGGTCAATAAAAAACTATTATATCTAGGGGTGTCAAATTATCGCGTTAATTGCGATTAATTAATTACAGTCATATTTAGCGCGTTATGTTTTTTAATCGCGTTAATCTCATTTTTAATCTCTAACTTTAGTGTTTCTGTATGTGAGTTTCTTTATTATAAAACCTGTTTTTATGTGTTGTTGGGACAACAACACACACACACACACACACACACACAAAACACATTTATAAATTTTTTTATTTCGGTAATTCCACTCATTGCCGGAAACCCACACAAAACGCGCGCAGTAAGAGCGATGTGAACGTCATGTTAACGTTGGCGGCGTCAGTCGCACAATGGACGAGGTCGAAGAGCCAGTAGAACAGAGGCAGCAGTGCACAGGTAAAAACACATTCGTGTCTTAGAAATTATTCTCCCGACGTGAAATATAAAAGAAAATAACAAATATAATATCGCCTGAAAACAACCTGCATAGACTCATGATGTCTGCACTACTGTCCTATAGTGACCTGCCACATGAGGGGACACGCACACAAACACACACAAACACACACAACAACACAACACACACAAACACAAACACACACAAACAAACACAAACACACACCTTCATCATCGTCATTAACCTGAGAACGCGTGGACCACGTTTCCTTCCGTAGTTACTGCGCGGACACCGCTGTCCTCCCGTTAGCCGCGTGTGGATCGTGTTTTCTCGCGTACGCGGCGTAAACCGAGCTTCCTCCTTTGCGTCTCTAACCCAGAACTAACACCAAGACTAAAACCAGGACTAAACCAGTCCAGGACTAAAACCAGGACTAAACCAGGACTAAACCAGAACTAAAACCAGAACTAAAACCAGGTCTAAACCAAGGTCTAAACCAGGACTAAACCAGAACTAAAACCAGAAAACTAAAACCAGGTCTAAACCAGGACTAAACCAGAACTAAAACCAGAACTAAAACCAGAACTAAAACCAGGTCTAAAACCAGAACTAAAACCAGAACTAAAACCAGAACTAAAACCAGGACTAAACCAGGTCTAAACCAGGACTAAACCACAACTAACACCAGGACTAAAACCAGGATTAATCCATTCCAGGACTAAACTAGGACTAAAGTAGGTCTAAACCAGGTCTAAAACCAGGACTAAAACCAGTGATCTCATATATATTTCTCTATCAATAATATTTTTAATATGGTTAAGGAAAGACTGGACTTTTTATTGTCTTTAAGTAGACAAAAGTTATTATGTTCAGATTTCCTCGTCTTTGCTACTTTACAGCAAACAGTTTCTTATTCATGGAGACTTGGGCTCAACAGCCAATTTGGAGAGATTTGTTAAACAATAAATGACTTTATAAAGTCACTTTTTTAAATCTATATATGAGTCTTTTGATCTGCCACAATAATGTAATAATGAATTTAAATGAAAATACCTCAAATTGAAGGCTTTTCTCAGCAATTTTTATGTGAGATTAAAATGAGATTAATTAGATTAATTAATTACAGATCATAATTAATTAATCTCTCAATTTTTTTAATCGCATGACAGCACTAATTATATCACAAGTGGTTTTCAGTGGCCCAAAGTGACTTCAAAGTATTTTTCCAATGTTGTCTATGAAATATTGGCTTTATTGTGTAGCCATTGAGAATGTAACTTGTTGTAACTTGAGTGTTAATATTTATCTGTTTTCTTGTGAGAACGTACAGTATCTTGGCAAATATCTTTCCACACATCTTACATAAGGTTTATACATTGGCAGTCCCAGATTTGCAGATCTTGTATGGAGCCCTAAAGTAATGTTTGGTGTACATATATGAATATTTATGAGAACCTTGCTGATGCTGTACCACACAAAATATTCATACTTTGCCGCTGATGTCATCAATATTTGCTGGGGGTGTGATGCTAACTCTAAGCACTGCTCTAACTGAGGCTTGTTAGACTTTAATTTAAGCTTTATTTTAACACAATCTGACCATAAAGGACAAACAACAACCGAGCTGATTTGTGCTGTTAAACAAGTCTCTTACACAGTGTCACCATGGTAATTGCTGAACACTCCACCATAGAGATTCATGTACAACACCCCCAGCGTAATCTCTCTTCAAAGTATCAATGTGAAATATTTCCAGCGTCATGATTTAATTGTGATGATTCTCAACTCACAATTGTCTTTTTTAAATTGTTTTCAGAGTCATCATCGTTCTGGGAATTGGCACGCAAATGATTTTTATTCAATAGTTTAGCAGATATTTGGCACTGGTTTACCATTGTCATAATTTAATTCCCTTATTTTTTGGATAAAAAAATACAATTACATAAGACATGTTTGGAATATTTGATTCAGTGTCTATACTTTTGTGCCATTTCTAATCAAATTATATAACAGCAAAGGAAATCGTCACGTACAAAGCCCAGACCTTTTCCAGTTAAGTTTCAGCTTTCCACAGTTACCGACCAAGATGAGTTTGTTTATGGAACTGAAGTAATCAAATAAAGTAAACCAGACTTGGTCAAACAAACCAGGCTTTTGAAGTTTGGAGTAAGTTTGGGTTTGGGACACCTGTGAATCTAAACCAGTAGCTCTAACCTAAGGCTGCACAATCTGTCTGAAATAGCAATTTGTGTTGGCAAATGATCAAATCAGGAAGGCTGCAGTTGTTTAAATAATAGAATAATCTTGTTGTATCTGTAGATTAGACCTCTTGGCAAGGTAAAGCAAAGCAAGTTTATTTGTATATACCACAATTTGTACAGAAATTCAAGGTACTTTACAGAATAATAAATAACCATAAAAAGTAACATTAAAAGAGAAAAGTGTGGAATAAAAAAACTTTCCGTCATATGCACAGCTAAAAAGAACTGTTTTGAAACGTTGCCAAAGTAGAGGCCTGTCTCCCATCTTCAGGGAGGCTGTGCCAGGTTTTAATACAATACAAACATCTTTTGAAATACATGGGATTCTAGTATTAGTTTATCAGTTCAGATTGCAATCTTCTCTCAAATTATAATGCTCATTTTTTTTTCAATGTGCCTTCTACTTTCTGAAAAACATTACAAATCTATAAGGATAGAAAGAGAGGGGTTCGGTCTACGAGAACAAGACAAGAGGAGATTTTGATATAATTTTTAATAGATAAATTGTTTCATTCAGTTCACATTTCGTTTATTTAATTGTACAATATTGCTCTTGTTGTAGTACTGCTTTTTTGGAATTTCAGCTTCTAAGAGGAGTTATTCAGCCAAGTTAACCCCTTTTTTATCCAAGGCAAATGTGAAAATAAGAGGGAAAAAATCAGTGCACAGTCTTGTGGCAATTTCGTCTCACGAGATATTGTGGCACGAGATTTTGTTCATCCTTACGAATCTAATCTTAATACTGTTTTTGTTGTGTTGTTGTTGTGTCCAGGCTTAGTTCAGCCCTCCTCCGTGTCCATCCCTCCATCCCTGCGCTCGTGCCTGTCCCTCCTGAGTGTACTACAGACCATAGAGCCAGCCGTGGTGAACGCAGGACACGATAACGCCCAGCCGGACAGTTCGTCGTCCCTCCTGACCAGCCTCAATGAGCTCGGAGAGAGGCAGCTGGTTACCGTGGTGCGCTGGGCCAAGGCCATACCAGGTACAGACAGGCTCCAGTGAGTTAATGTTCCAGTGGAGAGCAATAGACAGCAGAAATAGTTTTACCCCTCCTGAGACAGCTATTTACACTTGAAATCGTTGGCACAAATTAAAGGTGCATTATGTAACTTTTCTGGTGGGTGTTCACTACCTGCTTGTTTCTATGTACCGTCTTTTCTGCACTATAGGGCGCTCTGGATTATAAGGCGCACTGCCATTGAATGGTCTATTTTCGAACTTTTTTCACATATAAACCGCACTGGACTATAAGGCAAAACACAACAGTTAAATAAGTCAGTCAAACTTTATTTAACATGTTCACAATAACTCTCAACTTTGTTCAGTTGTAACATGTAAAAAAATACTGTCTGAGACGCTAAATTGTTAGCGTATTTACAGTAACTCATAATAGTTCAAACAGTTGGGCGATTCCGGCGTCCATCACGCCCGCATCCCTCTCGTCATTATCCGAGTCAGTGTCGTTACTGTTACCTGGCAGTTCAGTGATGATTCCGGTCTTGGTGAAAGCTCGGACCACAGTTGATACTGATCCTTAGCCCAGGTGTCCATGATCCATTGGCAGATTGTGGCGCAAGTCGCTTGGCGCTGTCTCCCTGTCTTGGTAAATGTGTGTTCGCCTTCTCTCATCCACTGCTCCCATGCAGCTTGCAGTTTAACTTTATAAAAGCCTTGAGTTTAAAGTCCACGTTGTATGTCTCTTGATAGGAAAAGGAATCAATCACAGTATGTATTACTTCGCGATGCTCCTGACTACGGTAGCCGTAATGCTGCAAGTGGTGCGACACCCCAATAAATTCAAATATAAGGCGCTCTGGATTATAAGGCGCGCAGTCGTTTTTTTTTAATGAAATTAAAGGCTTTTAAGTGTGCCCTATAGTGCGGAAAATATGGTAGATGTTTTTGCGTTGCCAGGAATGTTGCACAGTACAGCATTAAACTTATTTATCATACATTTATTTAATTACAGGTGTGTTTATTTGTAAAACTAATATCTTAAAAAAACATGCATATTTACTCTAATAGTTGCCACTCCACAGATCTGACCTTTACCTTTTCCTGGTAGCATTAGCTGCTTATGTCCAGACAAGATATATACAAATATGTTTAATGCTAGATACATTTAATGCCATACTGTGGAGCATTCCAGCCAAAGCAGTTACTTCTCCGCAGAGAGCAGGGGCAGTGCCTAAAACTAGTTACATAGTACACCTTTTAAAAATGGGTTTCCCTTTGATACTGTGGTTGCCCTTATCAGCCTACCCATGACTTAACTTTACAAATCTATGAAAATCAGGTCCTGTGGTGCTGAGCCAAATTTGTAGTTTCCAAAAATAAAACTCTCATGCAAGTAAAATAACTACTTGTAAAAGATACTGAAAAACAGAACTAGTTCATGTAATACTGTTTGCAGTGATACAACTTTATTTGGAATATATGCATTTTCCTAAGCATTTTTCGGACCTGTCAGAAACCAGTTTTAACATGACTGTAAAGGTAACAACTACTACATGCTAACCACACACTTGCCGATTATAAATGAACAATAAATGCTTCCTAGGTACATGCAAACATCATGCAGTAGACTTTGACGTCAAGAGCTGCTTATACAATATCTTTGTACTGAGGCAACAGAAATTTTGTTCAAATTCATGGATAAAAATGGTACAGGGCCTTTAATATTCAGACTTTTAATTAACATACATTTTTTGGGTAAAATTTACCTCAATGTTGTTATTTGTAAAAGATTCACTATGTAACTTTCACTGTGAGGTGTTTGTCACAGCCTGTCTCCATGGATATGTCATTGCTTTGTCTGGAAAGTTCCACCAAGTGGCATTACAGCATTTATCTTTATGGAGATAAACACAGAGCCAAGTTCAAATCAAAGATCAAAGCAATAACATCTTTTTGGAAACAAGCAGGTGGAAAGCCTCCCTTTATAAAAGTTACATAGTTACATAGAGTGCACAACATTTCTGGTGGAGGGTTTGCTACCTACTTAGACTTAGACTTAGACAAACTTTATTGATCCACAAGAGACTTGGACACAGTAGCTCACACATCACAATAAATATAATAACAAAGAGAAAGGCATAACTGTATACATTTATATGTACAAGTACAAAAAAATAATATATATAGAATAAAGTAATAAAAATACTTGTCTCCTTGGATTAAATGCTTTACCAGGAATGTTCCACGGTATGACTTTAAACACATTCATTACAGGCGTTTCTATGGCTCAAAAATACAATAATTCCTTCTGGGAATAGGGGCGACTCTCCACAGATCTGAATTGCAAGGCAGAAGAGTGCTCTAATCTGCTGGTCTGATAGATAGAATTAATCTATACTGTGGAACAGACTAACTTTTCCATGCATTATTACTTTTGTTTGCTATTTTCTTTTGTAGTATTTAGAATAGTAGGGTATTTGAAAAGGTTGCAAGTTCTTGCTGCTCTCTGCCTCTGATTTTTGGTACAAGTTGAATATTCAATAGGGAACAAGAAGTCTGCTCCGGGCAAGACCTCATTCTAGGCAAACAAGATTACTATCCGGACTCACAAACCCTGCGTGCCAAAAGTTTATGGCAGTTACAGTTCTCCCTTGGCCAGACCACTGGCAGTACACAAAGGCCAACAATTACACAGAGTGGCCACAAGAGGGAGCTGCTTCCTCATTTACCACAACACAAAGGCAGCAAAACAATGAACAAACCTTGCAATGTACCAACTTAAGTGTTTGATAGGACTGGTTAAAAGATGGAGAATTTAAAGTTCCTATATTAGGCGAAATTGAATCTTGTGAGCTTTAAGCCATGTTATAATGTTACCTCCTAAAAAACATACCTAGAGTTGTGTTTTGTTTCATTCACATGTGTTTGAGTAAACCTGGTTTATGAGTCTGTCTACTTCTCCAGAGGTCACAATGCTCTGTTCCACCTTGTGATGTCATGTAGCGGTAGTTATCAATGTAACAGTTGCCTTTAGTTCAGTAGAGATTGGCAATTCCGGGACTGAAATTTACGAAATGATTTTATGGTGCAAAAACAAAATTGAGCACTGAGAGCAGAACTCTATGTTAAACCTGTGCAAAGGAAACAAAACACAACTCCAGCTATGTTTTTGATGAGAAATCAACATTATAATTTAGATCAGAAAATAGTGTAATATGGGCCCTTTAAATGGCTGTTTCCTTCACTACGGCAGTCATTTGACAGCACGTTTAAATGAGACAAGAGTAATTACATAATTCTATTCAATTTCTTGTCTACCAAAATGATTTTTACTTTCCTAACAACTACCAAAACTACTAAGATAATTGTAAGGTCCTAAGATTCAGCATTTACAAACATTTTACATAATTATTCGCACTTACTGTATTTGCATATTGTTTTGCAAGACTGTTGTGGTGCTTTCAATCGTAGTCTTCCTTTGTACAACCGATGACCTTTGCCTGTGAAAGTTCCTCTTCTTTTTATTTTATTTTATTATAATTTAACCAGGAAAATTCCATTGAGATTCAAAGATCATTTTTTCAAGTTTCTCATTTTGGTTGTCTTTTAGTAGTTATGGATTTTTCTACAAAACATATTTCTATAAACAACCTCTAACTGGCCATTGAAGAAAGTATTATATGCACTGTATGTTAAAATAGACAGTGCGGATAATAATGTTTGTGTAGTTGTCTGCAATACTGTGGATATTGCCTCATTTTCATTGGATTGTCCCCGACCTTCCTGACTTTTCATTTTTAGTTTCCAGATTAAGTTTAGACTGATGGCTTTACTTAAACAAGTACACAGTTAGGACTATACAAGCATTTAACTTAATCTGTCTTTTATTTATTTGAGACCTAATTCATTCTTACTGTGAGCAGGGTTGTCTCTGCGCAGATATGACCTGCAAGATTTAAGATTTTTGTTTTATTGTCACGGAAAAACTACAAAATTATGAGCCTCAAACACTGCATAGTACTGATGTAGCAATACCAAAGATCTAAAACCACATAAATAACACCAACCATTCAGTGCATATGTAATAAACAGGGCACCAGGGGTAAAGTGCATCACAGGGAAATAGAGTCAGATATTGCGTTTAATGTGATTATGCAACAATACAAAGTCCAATTCAGTGTTATTGTATCAGTGAGTGTCGTTCTCCAGTATAATATGACAGCATGGCCTGGTTGCTCCACCTGTTTGTTTTTTAAGGCGAAGTAATAACAACTCCATGGCGAAAAACACACCCCAAAAATGTTACATAGTGCCCCTTTAAATCATTTTGAACATGCCTGCGGTCACTGAGGCAGATAATATGGGACAAAATAATATAAAAAAAGAGTTAAGCCTGTCACTGTAATTACTATATCGACTTATTGTTCAATATGAAAGCTGGAAGAACCATTTTTGGGGACCAATATTTATCGTGCGTACAATTTCTTTGCAATGGTGAGGGGATTTCAACCATGTTTTCTTACTATTGTAAAATTCAAGCTGTAGAGGATAGAATAAATAATAAATTGGCCTATATATTGGTTCCTTCTATTTATTTGTTACAGCTCAGGCATTTTAATGATAATGTTTATTTAAAAAATGGCTTTACTGGGATTATCCTGCTTTGTGTCAGTGGTATAAAGTAATATTATTGTTTGTTGCAGTATTTGTCTGTAGCAGTATACAGTATTGTGTTTCAAAATTTGTTATTGTGACAGGCCAATATTTAGTTATGATTTCAAAATTGACTTGAGCACCTGAGAGAATGGCATTATTATATCATCTTTGCCCTGTTTTTTTCTTACAACCTCTTTTATATAACTGCAATATACGTTATTTATATTACTATATTTCCATTTTTACTTTACTTGTGCATATTCATTTATGTAATTATTCCTTATTTGATACCAGTCTCTTGCTATTTTTGTTGCTTATTTAGACTGCATTATTACCATTTATATTTTTTCTCTTTGTTATTATATTCTATTGTGATGTGTGAGCTGCTGTGTCCAAATAATTCCCCTCGTGGATCAATTAAGTGTATGGTTTCGTAGTAATCTTGAACTGTTTTGCAGGTTTCCGTGATTTGCATGTTGACGACCAGATGACGGTGATCCAGCTCTCGTGGATGAACATAATGGTCTTTGCTTTGGGCTGGAGGTCCTACACTCTCACCAACAGCAACATGCTCTACTTCGCCCCCGACCTGGTCTTCAACGAGTGAGTGCATCGTATACATGTGTCGACTTAACACTTTGCAGGTTCATTCCCTCGGTGTGTGTTGCTAACTGAAAGCACTACTCTGGTAGAAGCGCTGTTACTCAAGATAGACTTTAATTTGACCGTTTTTACACAATCTGACCATAATGAACTGACTTCGCTGGAATTACGTCCCCCTCAAATAGCAATCAGCTAGGCACCCTTACCATTTTTTTGAAACACCATTTTGTATTTTGTATCTTAACTTTCTTTGCCTGTGTTTGCTATGTGTGCGTTGTGTCTCCGTGGTACCTGCTGAGCATTACGCCGATAGATTTGTGTATTTATACTGCCAGAGAAGACATTGAACTTGCCCATTTGGTTTCATGTGGATAGGCCCAGTAATGACAGAGCTTTTGATCATATAAAAGGTCAACAAATCTGATATCTGTCTGTTAAAGTTGCACTATGTCACTTTTTTGGTGGAGGGTCCGTCAAACTCTTTTCTCCATGGAGATGTTATTGCTTTGTCTGAGATGTTTCACAGTATGATGTTAAACCTTTCTATCTTCATGGAGACCAAACCAGACCAAGTGACAGGTCAGATCTGTGGAGAGGCAACTCTGCTCACAGTCAGATGTTTTTGTCTAGGTATTTTTGAGCTTTAGATCTATGTGTAGTTGCGTGTATGTAAGGTCGTGCTATTTAATGTCATACTGGTTTACATTTAATGGAACAATGGCATATCCATTAAAAACAAGCAGGTGAGAGACCCCCAACCAAAAAGTTACACAATGCACCTTGAAATAGATAAATTCTACAATAGAATTCGGACCTGTCTCCAGCTCAAACTATAGAGACTGCAGAATATTGTGATCACATGAACCCAACCTTTTCGTGCTTAATTATAGTCTGGGGCATTGGACTGGGTGATATAAAGGGCACTTTTTAAACAAAAGCCCAGTGGAAATCTGTAATGACCACAGAAAACATGTGCATGTGTTCCCTGCTACTCCCCTGATTGTAGTAATAAGCAACCATTGCATATCCAGCCCTCTCTCGTTCAAAACACATTTTTGTAATGGATCAATTTCAGGTGCTGCTTTTATTTTATATATAGAGGAAACATGTTTTATATTCATTTAATTCTCTACAAAAACATCCCATATTAACCATTTTTCTGATGTTTTCTATAGATGTTTTGCTGTTGCATTAGTAGTTTATGTTTTAAAACTTAAAGGGCGCATATTACGCTATTTTCTGATTTATATTATAATTGTGTTTCCTCATTGCAAACATATCTGGAGTTATGTTTTGTTTCATCACACATGTTTAACACACATATCCTGCATATTTAGGCTGAGTTCTTCTCTCAAACAGAAAACACTCTGTTACACTTTATGATGTCATGTGGTAATACAGAGATTGCCTCACTGTGTATTTAAACTCCATGAACCTTCACTAGAATCATTTGGATCATTTTAGCAGAGAAGCTGTTAATATACTAAACCTCCGTATAGTAATAAAAACAATTCTTAGTGAAGGTAAATTAAAATGCGCTGAATCAGTCATAACAATTTCACCGCACTGATTTCATGTGTGTCTAAGCACAAAGCACTCAAAACCATCAGGTCTTGAGAACAGAATGGCTTCTGTACACAAGATTACTCAAATATGCAGACATCATTATTGACACAGTGGCAACACAATAGAGGAGGATCAAGTGACTGGGTGTGGATGTAGGGACGAGAAGTGAATTATGTTGTGAAATGAAAAATACATTAAATCTTAACAGCTATTGTCAAAACTAAGATGGTGGGATTATCATGGGGCGTACCTGTCATTGAGAAGTGTATAAGATGCACAAAGGACTACAGGCTTCAGAGGAGAATGAACATCTGTTTTATTGATGCTACAGTAAACACGTCTCATATTATACACACACGCACACACGGGGAGGCTAAGATAATTTATTCTGTTTTATTTTTATGTACTAGTAGATGCCAGTCCTTTGTATCTGCCACAATACTTGAATTTTGACTGTTTCAAACTGACTAACAGTGATTTTTACCAGAAACTTGATGTAATAATACTACATCTATCTTGTGTGTGTGTGTGTGTGTGTTTTTTTTTCAAACTTCTATAACTGTATAGAACACTGTGGAACTTTTTATATAGAACACCCAGCTCTGAAGGATTAGGACTGTTTTGTAACTTAAAGTTTGCAACTTATCTTGCCGGTGTGGCTGATTTAACATTTAAAAGTGCATTGTGTAACTTTTCTGACAGATGGTGCACCACCTGCTTATGTCCATGAGCATGTCATTGCTTTGCCTAGAATGTTCCACAGTATGGCATTTTAACTTAACTGTGTTATTTTAAAGAAGACATACTGTGCTTGAGCCTTCTGTATAGTTATAATCTACAATATCCATGAGTCTTTATGTTGTAATTTGCACATTTTAAATATATTTTAATATATTTAAAATGCTCAATATTCCTGTAAAACAACTTAATAAAAGAAACAAGTCTGTTGACTTCCATGCTAGAAAATGTTGGTACCCAATAGGAACAGATGTTACACATTGTCACTTGTATCACAGAGTATAGAAAGAGAGAATAAATGAAAGAGAAAATAAAATTGGAGAATAAAGTAAGTGTGCTTGATTGACAATATAGCTTCTTGAAAATGAGTGATTAAAAATTGCTCGAATGTGCACAAATCACTCCACATACTTTGAGAGGGTCAATGCTTCAGAGAAACAACTATAACATTGCTAAAACACTGAAAAGTTGAGTTTCAAAAAAATTTAAGTGAATAACTTTAATGCCAAACTCTGAAACATTTCAGGCACAGCAGTAACATCTCCATGAAAACAAAAATTACCGAATGTACTTCTCAAGTGCTTTTAACAGAATCTGAATTTACAGCCTTACTAATTAATCCTGGAAAGATCAGATGAGAGGAGTTGCCAAAAATACTCAAATTAAAGCACGCCACGTCAGTTTTAATATATCAAGTTTTCAAGTGACTAAAAAAAAAAAAAAAAAAAAAAAAGAAAGAAAAAAGCACAATTAATAAAGTACAAGTACAACTGATTAAAAAATATTACCATCCCCATATGAAACCAATAGGTCTCAAGTGTACCCAGTTTGACAGATACTAGATTTGAGTGACAGGAGGCAGGATGTTGTGAAGTCTCTCTCCCTGCCAGCATGAGATACCACTGAGGCCAATTAACACATCAATCTGAACATATAGATAAAAGATGGATTAGAGATGTGACTGTCCATATTAATTTAAATGTAGTGTTTCCGTGTTGACATATTGAAAAAAAGTGCTATCAAATTCCCTGCATGATGAAGTCACTTTCAAGCTATGCACAGCAAATATCACATCTAGAATAATGTGACCCTAGTTTAGTCCTGGTTTAGTTCCTGGTTTCATTCCGAGTTTAGTTCCTGTTTTAGTTTCTGGGTAGGTCCAAGTTTATTGTGCTACACCCCTGATATAACATGATGATTATTTTTTTTTTAGCTGTAGGGCTGGAGGATATGGCAACATGAATCACATTTTTTCCTTGTATCAGTCATTCACAATTTTCTATTTGATCGTTTATATCTTATTAAAAACTAATAAATATGATCTCTACTACCAGAATCAGGAACATAAATAATCCAGGCTTTAAATTGGTAAGTTGTAATGTGACAACGAAAGTCAAATTAAATCCTTCAAAGTCTGAACTCTGCTCCAAACCACATTATTTTTCTGACAGATGATTGGCTGTAGAGCTTTTCTTTTGTGTAGGCTATGTAGTGTAGTGTTGTCACGATACAAAAAATATCAAGCTTGATTTTGATACTAAAGAATAAACTTGATACTCAATACTGATTTTGACCCAAATGATAATTTTAAAAGCTCTTTCTTCAACATCAAAACATTAGTATTGTTTATTATACCATGTGGCCTTACACCAGTTCTTAAAATCAAGATTAAACTGTTCAGGAAAGGACACATTTTCTTTTTTTTTTTTTTTTTTTTTTGGTATTGATGAGAATCTAGTTCTGATACTAGTTTTAGTGCTGGTTAGTATATTATTTGTGATATTTTTGACAACCATTGTAAAACATGTATCAATAAATAAATAGCTACAGTGGCTATATAGAGTTAAAAAGTACATAACCATCTTAAGAAATCAGATTACATTTTTATTGTCTTTATAATAACCGGATTTGCCCAGAAAACAAAACAATTTGACAATTGCCAGTACGTCCATACATTCTAAACGGCAAAAAATTACATCCTGTTATTTATTTTTTAATTATTTCATTTATTGTACACTACATTTTTACCCCTTTCAGTCTGGCAGGCTGTCTTTTTGTGCCATAGCTGAGCAGTCCTTGGTTGGATGTGTCCTTTGGGTGTATATGTGTTTCCTCCTGTATGGGCCCTCTTCCATTGTAATAGATGCTGCTGCCCTTCACTCCGACCCTCATTTCTTCCGTGCTCTGTCATTCTGCGCTTCCATTTCTATCTCTCTCTTTTCTCTCACCTCTCCTCCTGCTCTCTTCCTCCTCTCCTGCCTTTAATTGTCCTCTGTCCCTCCTGCGTGACCCCCTTTTGCCTCCTGTTTGCCCCTCTCTCCTGCTTTCTAAAGTGAGAAAATACACCTACTTCAAAATACTAACATGACAGTATACTATTACCCAGGGGCATGTGAAATGACAATATGAAACCAAATATATCTGCGCTATTTCTATGATCTGAAAATCTGGGGAAAAGATTGTTGTTGTAATGTGATTCAGTGGTTTGCTGCACCCAAATAATTAAAAAGTTGATCCTAGTAAAGTAAAGAAATTGTAAATATTTTGACACTTTTTCTATTTAGATGTTATGTTGTCTTAAATTACACAAACTCAACTCATGTGAGCTTTTTAGAATGTTGTTACCTCACCAGAAACATACCTGGAGTTGTGTTTTGTTTCATTCATACATGTTTGACTAATCCTAGTTAATCATATGCTCTGTTCCACCTTGTGATGTTCAAGTTAACCGTTTTACTTTTAGTTCAGCAAAGATGGGCAATTCCAAATGATTTGAAATTATCCAAACGATTCTGGTGAACGTGTAGGGACCACTTTCTTTATTACCACATGACATCACAGAGGTTTGTGTGTAACGTGTGAATGAAACAAAACACAACTCGATGAGGGAACAGCATAATAATATATAGATCAGAAAATAATATAATATAATAACATGAGCCCTTTAAAATAATGTATACCCTGTATTTTAAATAGATCATATTTCATTCTCTCTGTCTATTGTACCTTATTATTTGCTTTGGATCATCTTAAATGTCTTAAATGTAAAAGGGTAACAAAGATTTCATTTCATGGTCAACAAACACATGTCATCTACTTTTGCCCACCCACTCCCCCTATGGGTCATCTTTAGTTATGCCCCGATTTGGTCCTAGTTTGAGCCCTTATGTCCTGAAACTGTTTGATCCAGTTATAGTGCTTGTTTATTCATGGTCAATCCAGATTAAGTTCCAATTATGTGTGTGTGTGAATGTGCCCCTGGTTTGTTGAATATTACACAGTTACATCAGAAGAGAGCTTTTGCAGCATTGTAACTACAACTTAGAAAAACAAACACAGACTTTTGCACGATTATACCACCGGAATGAGGAAGAACCTTCGAGTAACATCTTTTTGTATCTGCTGCTTAGGTCTGCCACAAATTTTCTTCAGCTCAGAGATGCTATTGCTTTGTTTGTAATGTTTTACAGTATGGTATGAAGCCTTTCTATCTTATTGAGACAAAACCAGACCATGTTAAAGGTTAAATCTGTGGAGAGGTAACCCCCCTCACAGTCAGAATGCCTGTTTTTCTAAGTATTTTTGAGCAGTAATACCACCTCCAACTGAATAAATGTAATGTAGTGCATTTTTAAACCACAAAAGCTATTCTGAATGTTCAATATTGTAAAAAAAAAATCATGAGCTGTAATAAATAAAAAGCAGAATGAGACATTTTAGTTTTAGCTTTAGTGGCATCTGTAATGAGCCACAGAAGTTGTGAAATCAACCTTTTATGATCTGAATGTGCACTGTGTAACTTTTCTGTTTGTCTCCATGCAGATGCTAATGCTTTGGTTTAAATTGTCCACAGTATGTACATTAAACTGTTATTGCATTTATTTGACTACAGGTGTTAAGTGCTCAAAAACACCCTAAAAAACATAAATTGTTACTGTGAGTGGAGTCGCCTCTCCAAAAATCTTACCTGTAATTTGTCTCCATGGAGATTCATAAGTTTATGGCTGTATCGTGGAACATTCTGGGCACATCTCCATAGAGACAAGCAGGTGATGGACCAGACAAGTTACACAGTGTACCTTTGAATCTTATCATTTTTGCTACTTATTAAAATGTGTTATTACTATTTATATTTTTGCTTTTGTTATTATAATATACTGTGATATGTGAGTTACTGTGTTCAAGTCAATTCTCTTGTGGATCAGTAAAGTTTGTATAAGTCTAAATAAAAACAAAAAAACTTAAAAAATAACTAACTAATTCCATATGTTTTTGTGTGTGTCCTCTCTCAGCCAGCGGATGCAGGTGTCCAGTATGTATGAGCACTGTGTCCGTATGAGGGTGCTCTCTCAGCAGCTGTGTGTGCTCAAGGTCACTCAGGAGGAGTTCCTCTGTATGAAGGCCCTGGTCCTCTTCAGCATCTGTGAGTCCAGCCCCACACTGTCACATCTATAATCTATAATATGCAGATATTGTATGTTTTGATACTTTTAAAGAGCCCATATTACACTATTTTCTGATCTTTGTAATAATATTGTTGCCACATCACAAACATACCAGGAATTTTGTTTTACTTCATTTATACATGTTGACCCCACAAAAATCGCATATGCAGGCTGCGTTCTTCTCTCAAGATGAAAACACTCTGTCCCTCCTTGTGATGTCATGTGGTAATACAGGAAGTGCTCCATTGTGTTTTTAAACTCCATACATAATAATAATAATAATAATGCATTAGGTGGTGGTAAGCTACTATTGTGGTGGTGGTTACTATTGTTGCTACAGCTGCCCTAGGACAGATTGAGGAAAGTGAGGCTGCCAATCTGCACCATCAGATCCTCCGACCACCACCAACGCTCATGCTCACACCATTTTCATACTAGGCAGTTTGAGTTAAGGGTCTTGCCGAAGGACACAATGACAGCTTTTGCCACTGGCGCCCCACTGTGGCACCTGGTGTTTGCAGCAGTGTCCCATCCAAGTTCTAACCAGGTCCAGCCCTGCTTAGCTGCTTAGAGATGAAGAGAGTAATCCTGGGTTACTCAAACGTGTGTGAATGACACAAAACACAACTCTAGGTATATTTATGATGATTTTAACATGGTTTTAAGCTCACAAGAGTCAATTTTGTGTAATATATGACCTAAGTGACCATAGGCTATGGTCATGAGCTCTGGGTAGTGACCGAAAGGACGAGATCGCGGATACAAGCGCCTTAAATGGGTTTCCTCCGCAGGGTGAGATAGGGTGAGGAGCTCAGTCACATGGGAGGAGCTCGGAGTAGAGCTGCTGCTCCTCCACGTCGAGAGGAGCCAGTTGAGGTGGCTCGGGCATCTGTTCCGGATGCCTCCTGGGCGCCTCCCTCGGGAGGTGTTCCGGGCATGTCCCGGGAGGAGGCCCCGGGGAAGACCCAGGACACACTGGAGGGACTATGTCTCTCGGCTGGCCTGGGAACGCCTCGGGGTCCCCCCGGAGGAGCTGGAGGACGTGTCTGGGGTGAAGGAAGTCTGGGAGTCCCTGCTTAGGCTGCTGCCCCCGCGACCCGGCCCCGGATAAGTGGACGAAAATGGATGGATGGATGGATATGACCCAAGTATAAAGCATCAATGAAGTACTTCCTTAATTCTCCATTATCATTGCTTTATGTGCTACTGATTCAAAGAGTAGCACAGAATTATGCCTTTTTCCTCTTTTTTTCAAAGTAATTTCCCATGTGGATCAATGACATTTGTTAGTAATACTAGTCGTCAACACAAACAGGTGCCAGAGCTTTCTTATTTATTTTATTACTGTACAATCACTACTGCTAATATGTGGTTGCTGCAGTTACATGCACACTCAAAATCAGATTATTTTCAGTTTTTGCCACAAAGGATCATTGAAATGACACAGCAAAATCATCCGATTTCTATAGCTCTGATTATTCACTTCAAATTGTGCAGTTTGCATATCCTTTAAATAATGTTATAGTTCTATAAATCAGGTCATATCAATATTGCCACTAGTAACTGACTATTACCCACTATGTATGTCACCAGTAATGAAATGTGTATTGATATTTATTTATTATTAACTTTACCTTGTGGTTATTAAAGGTCCCATATTACATAAAATGGACTCTTGTGAGTTTTAAACCAGGTTAGAATGTTGTTACCTCATCAAAATACCTGGAGTTGTGTCTTGTTTCATTCACAAATGTTTGAGTAATGAGTAATGTGTAATGAATTTTCAAGTTAACCTTTTACCTTCAGTTCAGTTCAGTTCAGTTCAGAAACAGACAATTCCAGGGCTGAAATCATCCAAATGATTCTAGTTAGATTCTAGGTGTATGAAGGTTGAACGCAGTTGAGCTCTTCTTGTATTACCACATGGCATCAAAAGATGGAATGGAGTTTTTTCCATTTGAGAGAAGAACTCTGAAATATGCAGGGTTTGTGTGTTACACATGTGTAAATGAAACAAAAGACAACACAACACAACTCCAGGTATGTTTTTATGAGGAAACAACTACAACACAACAATTACAACACAGATCAGAAAACAGTGGAATATGGGCCCTTTAACTACCTTGAACCCTGCCTGATAGTGCTGTGCTCTGTCATCAGTGCCGATCGAGGGCCTGAAGAGCCAGAGATGTTTTGACGAGCTGAGGACCTCCTACATTAAAGAGCTAGACCGCTTGGCCAGTCACCACGGAGAGACCACCCGCACGCAACGGCTGTTCCAGCTCACACAACTGCTCGACTACCTACAGGCCGTGAGAAAATAACACTCACACTTCTACTGTACTACTCTTACTACAACTACTTCTAAGAATACTATGGCTACAACTACTACTACTACTACTACTTCTACTACTACTGTACTGGTGCTACTACAACTACTTCTACGAATACTACGGCTACAACTACTACTACTACTACTACTACTACTACTACTACTGTACTACTGCTACTATAGCTATTTCTAATACACTTACTACTATGGCTACTACTACTACTACTATGAATATTACAACTATTATAACTACCTTTTACTATCATAGGTGGATATATATTTATATTTAGAATATTTATAGGCTGTGAGGAAACTAATGCCACTACTGTACTACTGCTACAACTACTTCTACTGATACACTTAATACTGTGGATACTACTAATATGAATACTGCCTTTTAGTACTATAGGTGGATATATTTTTATAGCTGGAATATCTGCATGCTGTGAGAAACTGAGTTTATATATAAATATAGCACTACTGAGTTTATTTTGCAGTACTGCTTCACTCTACCTCACTAGCATTCTACCATTTACTGCTATTTATATATACTACTACTACTACCACTACTACAGTTATTAGGGGTGGATGTAGGTATTAAAATTGACATTAAAGTAAGGAACAACTGAAATATCTCAGCAGGAAAGCATTAACTTTTTAACTCATTCAGTAGTAGTAGTAGAGTAGAAGTTATAGTAGTTTGGCCTCAGTACCCTCCTCTGACTGCACTTTTTCCATCTCCAAAGTCTTTGTACATTCCTGCATTTTACAGGGCACGGAAATATAAGCAGGGAATGATAACCAAACACACTTGATTTATTATTAACTTTAAAGTAACAACGTGACTCACATTTTACCCCAGGCTACTTGATACATTACATCCAGAAATAAGCAAAAAGTTTTTAGAGCAACCCGCTATAAACTGTAAGACCATTTCTTAAACTAATGTGACTAAAGTCAATCAATATTTCATTTCCAGCATACGCACTATGACTATATTTATCTTTGCATGCAGCCTACATGTACTGGAGTTATACAGAATTACAATGAGAGCATGTGTTTGGTAAATGGAATCTTTTAACTAACATACACTGTTTGCACAATAACACACCATTCATCATTTAGCAGGGTTTTTGTGTGTTTGCATGAATTAAAACAGCATGATTTATAGAAGAATTGCAGTGCCCCGAGTGTGTATGTAGAGTAAAAAAGTACAAAACCACCTAGGGAAGTTTATCATGTTAATATTGGTTTAAAAATAACAGGATTTGCAGAGAAAAACATGATTTGACAATTCACGATCCAACCATACCTATAGTATATAAACCTATAGTCTCAGTTTACCTCGCACATACAATATTGCACTATTTTCTGATCTACTGTATGTTATAATGTTGTTTCCTTTTGTTCTTGTGTTTTTTCTTGTTGTTTTTAATTCAAGACATAATACTTACTCAAATTTAAGTTAAGTTAGTTACTTAAAAAAACAATAAATTTGACTTGATTTAGCTGTAATTTAAAGCAGTGACATCTGTGCTCTTAATTATTGTAGATCCCTGTTATTTTGATACTACCAGTATTACTTATAACATGCTGAATATTGCATCATACATCATGCAGGGAGCGTGTGTCCTCATAGCCACCTCTAGAGCCATATTTAAATCATGATACAAAGATAATTCATTAATGGAGCTACGGTGTACATGTTCATGCATTATTGCTGAGAAACGTTCTACCCGACATATAACACGTACATATGTCTGGTATATATGTCGACTAAATAAGGTAAACTGTCAGTTCATGGGTAGAGGAAGAGTTAGAGTCTTTGGTTTGTGTATGGAGCTCAATAGTGACCGTCCACCTGCAGTTTGAGAACTACATTTCCCATTCATTTTTCTCATAGACTTTCTGAAAAACAAAAAAAAGTACATATAAAGTTTGAAATCTTGCTCAGGGCAGCTATGCATTAACGAATGACCACAAGACCTGTAATTTTATCTAAAATCTGTTTCTGAAATGTTATAAACCACCATGTGATAAATTATACATACATAAAAACATTTAGCAGAGTCTTGCATTTTAAATGTACTTTCTATGGATATGAGTTACCATATGGTTAGCCTCCATGATGCCTTTGAATATTTGAATATTTTGAATGGGAAATGTACTTCTAAAAACACAACACAAGTAGTCTGTGCTGGGGTGTATACATTTTAACTTCTGTGTGTTGTCTTAGAATCTCAGGTTTGCAAAGCACTTAGTAAACACATGGAAATAGGGTCTTCAGCATCACATCACCCAGGCCTGACACATTTTGAAGGATGATATATGGCTACTGAAAAATATGGCGATCAATGATAATATTGAAACTTTGTGCCACTGACAAAAGACATGAGCTACTACAAATAAACAACAGATAAACAAATAAACAGCAGAACTAAACCTTATTACATAAATCTCCCCACTACTGAAAATAATTGTACACCAGATAAATATTGAGCCTCAAAATATACTGTACCAACTTTCATATATTGAATGATAAGTCAATATATTAATTATCGTGGCAGGCCTAACATGACCTCACTTTGTCAATGCATTTCAGAAGCTTTAAATTCCTTTTTTAAAGATGTATAGATCTTGGAGTTTGTCCCCACTAAGGGCACATGTGTGACAGTTATGTAGACTAGAGCATACACTCAAGTGACACTAAATAATCTATTATTTTGAACTGAAATCTGACAAGACTTGTTCAATCAATAACCAACAAAGACATTTTTGCCAAGATTTCGGCAAGATTTCAGCCAACCACAAAGGAGAAAAACAGGCAACACTATACATTACAACATTTGAGAGAACTAAAAATACCATGGAGTATTGATCTGAGGTCACACAGCTCTGCTCCAGAGCCATCTGATATAGATTATAGATCGGTTTCAGCCACTAGGGGGAGTGCGCTGACAGACTTCCTTTTCGTCTTGGTAATTGAAAACCACTACACAAACGCGGACACCCTCTGTAGATATGTTCAAGAATGACATTGAGCACTGGTGACTCCTGGAGACCTCACAATATAAAAGAAAGTATTACATTTGGTACTTAAGGGAGTTTGAACTGCCTTTGTATTCAATATAAGAAATATTTGTACGGAAATACAGTGGCACCTTCAGCATTAAGAAACAGTTTTGGGGGTGTCAGAGAAAATAAGTTTGATATGTCTCTTTGTCAAGTTTTTTTTCTTTTTTTTCTGTTTTGTTATCTGTCCATAATGAGAATAGGGGGTCTGGTCCATCGACTCTGGCTCCAATTGACTTTACATTGACAGACTGTTACCTCTCTCTCTGTAACTGCTGCAGTGAGCCTCGTCATGTTAGTCTTACAATGTTCATATTAACCTACTTTACACGATCCTGGTGTTTTTATTAATACGAAACTGGTTCCAAATTCGCCCCATAACTGCTAACCTCAATGAGCTTCTTTTGACCACTTTATACAGTCTATGATCTGGTCCCAGAAAGTATACTTGCTAGGGTAATTTTTGTCAATTATAACCAAGTTTATTAAAATACCCCTAATAATATATAGATCTGTTGTGATCCAGCTCCGATTATCATACAGTTACCACATATTAATGGCTTTTATCAATACTTTATATACAAAACTATCAGGATCATGTATGACATATTGAAACACCCTTTATTACTGGCCTAAACACTGGAGCAGAGCCTCTTGCAGGGCCCTTGACTCACATTAGCCTGCTCTGTCTTTCAGTGTGGATTCAGTGTGGATCTGTGGTGTTAGCTCGGCCCATGAGGAGAGGAGAGGGGGCAGTGTGGAGAGGGGAGGGGGCAGGGGGGGGAGAGAAGAGGGGCCAGTGGGGGATTTTCTGTTCAGGGCCTTAAAGCAGCAGACAGAGCTCAGTATTTACCCCCTTAAGGTTTTACCCCCTTCTCTGAGGCTTAGGGCAGTGTCAACACTCAAATCTCCTGCTAAAGAAGATGTCAAGCTACTGTCACATTAGAGGGATAAACTCAGCAGTGGTCTGGAGCTGGACAATTTTTATTTTTTTTCAAGCAAATCAAATTATTATTTATAGCTGTAAACAAGCTTATGTCATTAAATAAGATAGAATAAGTGGAGTTTATGGGAAATACTTGTTCTATCACTTTTTATATAAATCAGTTTTCTTTTTTTACCAATTCTTATTTAATTTGCTGCAACTATCCAAGCAGATTGTGTTCTTCACCTTCTGTCACACTAACATATTCCTACAGGCAGAAGTGTCTTGCTCAGGGACACAACAACAATGATAGAAGTCAGAACTGCACTGGTTAAAAAAGTTACAAATTACTGTAAGAGTGTGTGTATGTGTTAAACAGATAAACCTATTTTCAGATTGTTATCAACAGTTTTATGGTTTAAGTTAATAATTAAAGTTTGTTTCAAGTTGATGATTCCAGGAAACGACGCACTGACTCTAAAATCCATTACAATAAGGTTACACAAGTTAAAATACACTGAGAGGTGTGGGTCAGGCAGGGCTTCAGGTTAAACCAGGCCAAATCCATTCATAGAAGTGCATACTATGATACCAGCGGTGGTGGAAGGTAACAAAATAAAAATTGTAAAGTGTGTGTACTAAAGTATACATTTTAGTTATCTGTACTTTACTTAAGTAGATTTTAACAGGGATACTTTTTACTTTTACTTTACTACATTTGAGAGCAGGTACTGTGCTTTCTACTCCACTGCATTTTTGAACAGGACTGCAAAGTAAAAGTATTTTGGTCATGTTCATAGTTTCAGCACTAGTAAAATTCAACACATATCTTTATCAAAATCATCACATTTGAAGCTTTATTATATCTCAAACTCTCTGCAAAATACTTTTACTTCTTTTACAACTGGTACTTTTTTATGTGATACAACTTTTTTTTTGCTTTGGTATCTCTGCTTTTACTTAAGTAACATACTTGAGTACTTCTTCCCCCATTGGACATCAGATACAGCTTTGAGTAGTTTTGACTTTCATGAATAAACTTAATTAAATGTAAAGTGAAACCTCGGGTTGCAACAAGATCTTGTGCCTGAAGATCTGGCAAGAAATAAAATGTCCAAGATTTGCACGTGCGTGAGGAAAATGATCTGATATCTTTTCCTTGTATTTACATTTAGCACAGACAAAAAAAGGTTAAGCAGTTAAGCAGTTTTTGTGCGACATCTCTTGAGAAGATCTAGTTTAAAAAGCAGAGCTACAGTGACAGCATGAATATCTAAAAATCAAAATGAATATTGTGAACTGAACCACACTGTTTATCTATCAATCTATCCATTTTGTCAAAACCTAATTGCGACTCCTTCTTGTGGACCGTATCTTGTATCTTGTCTCATCTCACGGGAATTGTATCTTGTATATCATCCCTATTAAAAACTAGGGATGCACCTTTACCAATACTGGTATTGAATATAGGCACTGAAACTGAAAAATTTGCTGGATCGATTATCAGTTTATTTACAGGCTGATTTTGGCCTAGAACATATGAAAAAGTGTGAACTATTATTTCTACAAAGCTGTTCAGTAGTTATTTGAAAGATAAATAACAGTTGCATGACACAGTTAAATCTCTCATGTAATAAATTAACTGTGTTTTAAGGATATAAGTGCCATTTTCCAACAATTATCAGCAGTTATCAGTATTGGAACTGAAAAAGCTGGATCGGTGCATCCCTACTAAAAACTATATCAAAAAAGTGAAAGCACTTTGTTTTATCCCTAAATGAAACCACTTTCATGTAACTCTCGTCTTTCATTTCCAGATTGTGAAAAAGTTACATCAGTTCACATATGACTTGTTCATCGAGGCCCAGGCGCTGCAAACTCGTGTGAACTTCCCGGAGATGATATCTGAGATCGTCAGCGTCCACGTTCCCAAAATCCTCTCTGGGATGGTCAAGCCGATCCTGTTCCACAACACGGCCTAATGGATACATCTTTCACTTAACCTTATCCATCAGAAACGCCAGATATCCTTGGCTAATATCAACTGTGGTCAGCCTAAGTCACTACATGTTAGCATGAAGTGAAATAAATAAGCTTTTTCTACTAAAAGGTAAATGGAGAGCACAGTAAATTATGATTGTACATTATCAGAAGGCCATTGAGCACATACTTCCAAACTATTGAAATGTAAAAATATCTGCTCTTCTTATCGCTGCTTTTTTGGGTGTACTATTCCTGGAGTTCAAGTGCAAACTAATTCGGTAGAGGTTGGGACAATGTTTAAAATATTAAAGCTACATTACACAGCTTTCTCTGGTAAATGGGTAAATTTTGTTAGGTAAGAGCAGTTCCTTGAGACAAAATCAAACCACTGAGCATTGTTGACTTTCTTGATCGCTAACTAAGAAAGATGCCTATAGATAGACAGAAACTTGACTAATCCTGAAGGGAATTTCTGATCATTAAATAAATAAAACACTAAAATACTTAAGGGCCTATATTACCCTATTTTCTGATCTATGTTATAATGTTCCCTCATCAAAAATTCTCACATGTTTAACACGCAAATCTTACATGTTTAGACTGAGTTTTTCTCTCAAACATAAAACTCTCTGTTCCACCTTGTGATGTCATGTGGTAATACAGGAAATGTTCCACTGTGTTTTTAACTCCATACACCTTCACTAGAATCACTTGGATGATTTCAGTGCTGGAATTTCCAATCTCTACTGAACTAAAGGTAAAAGGTAGCTGTTAACTTGAAACTTACCTCTTCATGACATCACAAGGTAGAACAGAGCATTGGAGATGCAGACAGACTAACATGTGTGAATGAAACAAAACACAAAGTATGTTTTGATGAGGTAACACATTGGTAACAATAAGGTTAAAGCTCATAAGAGTGGCTTTGCAACTATAATAGGACAACTTTGCCTAATATAGGACCCTTAATGTTTATAGCATCACTATAAGGCTTTGAATGAGAGTTGATGTGTGTTCGTCGTCTATCTGGCTTCACTTCTCTGTCTAAAAATGTGTTCTAAAGCTGTGCTAGTGACCAATAAATCATGCATTTGAGTTTGTGAGAGCTACCGATTCATTTAGATCGATTTAAATACCTACTTTTTACTTTCACTGTTTTCAAAATCAGGTACCCTAGCTTTAGTGTAATTGTTAAAAGTTTTTTTGTTTGTTTTTTTTACTAGAAAATTATACTCTATACTCTATTATTAAATCTTAACTCAATCCAAACCATATTGCAACACTTTCAGTAGCTATATAAACCACTAGGGGGCTGCAGTCCTCTGCAGAATTACTACACGACCATAAGCAAATGCAAAAATAAAAAGTGACAGAAATGAAGTTGAAGTGTCTTGCCCAAAAGCACAATGGAAAAATGCACTCAGGAAAGGTTTAAATTATTGATATTGAGACCACTGTACTAGAAATATCCCTGTAACCAAAATACAAATACTCAGATTAAGGGCTAAGTGTTCATTTATTTAATTTTTCTATATTTATTTTCATAATTGTGTTACCTTGTCCCATGTTATTACTATCTCATGACCAAACTTGTAACTTCTAAGGTGGAGGATCTGCTACTTGCTTGTCTCCATGGAGATGTTATTTCTTTGCATATAATGTTCCACAGTATGGCATTAAACATGTCTCTCTTGCATGTATCCAATTACTGGTGTTATATAGCTCAAAAAACACCAGTTCTTACCATGTGCAGTCTTGCTTCTCCATAGATATGACCACTGACTTGTCCTCACGGTGATAACCAAGTTTATTTCCATATTGTGACATAATCAAGGCATATAATCAAAGGAGTAACATCTCCATCGAGACAAGCAGATGGCAGACCCTCCATGAGAAAAGTTACACAGTGCACCTTTAACATTTGTATGCTGTAACGTCAGGCGTTTTATACAGTGTCCCAACTTTTCCTGGTTAAACTATCCTACATCATACGATACATTTTAGCATGCATTCCTCTGTGGGCTACAGTCAGCATGTGAATCCATTATAACAGACAACCGCAGTTCATCAAATAAGTGATTGTATTTGCCTGTGCCGTGTATAGCGTCCCATACTCACAGTGAAATCGTGTTGCGTGTACATACAAAGTGAACAAAGTTGCTTATGAAACTGCATTGTTGTGGCATGCTCTAAAGCATTTTTGCCTTGAGGTAAACTTTTTTTCATTCATAAAATAAAAGGTTGAAGCCAAAATGTTTTTAATGCCAAATTTTCACGTGTACAGGTTCACCTTTTTCTTGAATCCATGTTTCAATTAATATTTATACATTTTCAAACTGAAGAAATAATTGGGTTGTTTTGTTGACTTTTTTAGGCTTTGCTGTTGTGTCTTAAGGCATATTGAACATATCATGATACAACTTTTCTACCCTTTTCTTAAAGTGAACTTTGTAAGCACCTGGCTGTGTGTGTTTGTCCTGATGTACCACTGCCGCCGAGAAATAGACAAATTTTGCTAAGTGTTCATTTGAAAATTGTATCTGCAATTTACTGCGTTAATAAAACATAAGCATGACTATTACATGTGTCTCTATGTGGTTTTAGTAATATTGATACTTGTGTGTGCCGTGACGTCACGCTGGGGGTTTTCTACATGTATCTCTATTGGCAGAATGTTAGTTACCATGGTGACACAATGCACACATTAACAAACAAAGACATAAGATTTTTAAATTGAAAATTCAAGAAAAATACAAAATAAACTTAAACAACACATGTTCAGGAGCCAGTGTTCCTATTTAGATTTTTTGTTTTTTTTTTGACTAACTGAGAAACTTGCTAGCTTCTGATTGTAATGTTTAGGGTGACCAGATTTTCAAAATAAAAAAATGGGACATCCCCGGTTTTTGGTGTTTGGTAATAATAACTTTGTGAAACAAGTGCGTAATAAAGGAAAATTGTTATGCAGATCATTCATGAGTCAGTATTCACATTTTATTTTATTTGTTTTGTTTTGGTTGTTTTTAAGCAGCTTTTTTGAATTTTACCCAAACAGATGACAATGTTTGCCTCTCTTTACTGTTGGCAGGGATCAAAGTGGTCAAAAATAGGGAACAATAAACTGGGACATTTCTAGTATAAAACTGGGAGAAATCAATTGTTTTGGATAAATCTGTTCGTAAATAGGGACGTCTGGTTAACCTAGTAATGTTATGTTTGAGAGACTTATTTAACAGCACAAATCAGCTCACGTGTTGTTTCAAGTCACTTCTTTCTGGTCAGATTGTGTTAAAATAAAACTAAAGTCTAGTTTGCGCAACAGATCTTCAGAAAGAGCAGTACAGTTAGCATCACACACCCTGGGAATATTGATGACTTCAGCTGCAAAGTATCAATATTTTTTTTTTGTCAGATACATGTGTTGGATTCTAGAGTAAGACAGTACACAAAGCCAAATGGAACGTACAAACAGACGGCTCTTATCTATCTAGTGTTATCAAACTTTAAACTTCTCCTTAGCCTTCACCCCATCAAGTATAACCTAATATTTCACAACAGGACACCAAGGAAGCGAGCCTGTCCATTTTCCTCACAAGAAACAGCTGCCCCTGCTTATCTCAAATCTGGGCCTGGACATAATGGCGTTTGTCTTGTGTTGAGTCGCCATCTAGCGGAGACTGGAGGAAGTGGAGAGCAGATAAATTGCTTCACCACAAGGAGGACATCTGGTGGATTCATTGTAATGTAATTGGACACGGGAACATAAAGTGGACACTCAGAGGCGGAGGAAGTACTCAGAGTCTGTCCGTCAAGGAAATACATTGTTGTTATGGTAAAATAAAATAACACAAGAGGAAATTAGGATTGATTTAAAATGTAAGAACAAAGTATATTGTTATTTATTATGTTATGTTATTGCTCCTATTACTATCACAACTATTCTGTGTCTCTTGCAAATACTCCAACAACTACTGCTACATAATACTGTCTTAGCAAGTGTAATTAAGTGTAAAGCTTTGATGGAGGGTCCATCACCTGCTTACGTCACGGAGTTGTTGCTTTGTTTGTAATGTTCCACTGTATGGCATTAACGTTATCTTACATTCACAGTGTTTTTATTGCTAAGAAATCTTTTGAAAGCATGCTTGCCTTTCAACTGATCTGACCTGTAACTTGTCCTAATGGAGTCCGCTGCTTGTCTCAATGTAGTGTAATGCCATACTATGGAACATTCCAGGCGAAGCAATAGCATCTCCCTGGTGACATTAACATGACTCACGGCAGACTGATATGTGTTGCACTCTGAACTGAGTTCTGCACATTATCAGTTGGTTCTTGTTGAAATCACTTGGAAAACGCAGAGCACCATGTTGATTATTTGAATCTGATTGGTCGAAGCGTCACAACTGCGGAACAAGCTGTAAAATCTAACTTTAGTTCGATCCAGTTGAGAGAAAAGCTCAAGTATCTTTGTGCTTTCCTCTGCACATTTTTGAAAAACAAAATAGACTGTATTTTTGCTAAAACTAGTCTAACATAAGTCTATTGTCATTGCCATGTTTGTTTTGGTTTGTTTGGGTGCTTCGCCTTTGGCTTCTGCACAAACCTCAGTGATGCTCTGTGATTGGTCGCCCACCCAATTAACCTTACAGCAGGCACAAGCCAAGAATGATTCTCGTGAGTCTGTGAACTCACAAACTCACAATTCATTTGAATTCAGAATTCAACATGCTGTGCAAGGTAAAAGAAACATAGTGGTAATCACTTGTTTAATAATAATAATAGCCCAATCTTCATGTAAAGCAAGCATATTTTAAATGAATAAACAAGCAAAATTATTTAAGCTTGGACAGTTTAACTTGTATGAAACCACACTTTATAATAAACAATAGAAAAATGCTTGCTACAGCCTCCTTCCTGTAGAGGTTACACAAGTCATATGGAGAGAGCATCAGTAAGCCCAGCCTATAGTCCGAAGTCCATTATAATAGTTTGATTTATGCTTCTCGTGTACACTTGATGCTCTGTCTTCACTCAGCCACATTTACAATAGTCTCAGAGGTATATTTTTAACAGTAGGGTGTTTTCCTTGTCATGGAGTCCATTTTAAAAGCCCAAATTGTAAAAAGCAGTCTCCGTGACCCCTGCCGCTATACTCCCAGACCCATTTCCTGGCCCAAGTCTTTCAACAACTATTTGTCGCTCTCATAAATGAATCGGAGCTGAACGAGCCTTGAAAGACATGCTGAAATATCACTTATTTCTAAATATACGCCCCGCATGACATCCTCCCGCCACTCGTCTTAAAGGGGATGGCGTCTTGGAGGTTTTGCCGCGATCAAAAATGTATGTGTTGATGCGGACATTCGAACTCGAGTTGGTTTTCCATTTGATTTTTCTGTTTGTAACTCTCACATGTATAAATATTGCATGTCTACTCTTACAAGAAGGGGACTTGTCTTGTCAGTAACAGCCACAGAAAGCTAAAACACCAAGGCCACAAACATCTGAAGTTTAAATGGGATAATGCGCAGGATTTCCATGAAAAATTAAACAGAGCATCGTGCAATCGGAAAAATATTCAGTTTCTTCCGCAGTTGTAGATGTTGGACTCTGAAGACATTCCAAGTATAAAACATTTTACCGTTCCAAGTTGTGCTATTTCTGTTTGTGTGGAAAGACTGTTTTAAAAGTTCAGAGCAAAAATACAAACAGCAGATTTCTAGCAGTCTATGGTTGAGCGGTTGTCTTTCATCACAGCTTAAACTAGTGCATACTGGCATTGTGTCCTAGGGCAAGACACTTCACCCACCTTGCCTTTGTAGGAATGCGGTTTGTAAGTGACAGATTGGTGGTGGT